CCGGTGAGTCCTGCACTGTGTAGAAGCCGGCCTGAATCACCAGGGAGGCCACAGGCAGAGGCAGGAGGCAAGTCAGGTAGGAAGGTGGTGGGTCTCAGTGCTGAAGTGTGGAGGTAAGGTTGAGAAGCCCGCAGGGGCTGTATTTCAAAGGCTCTGAAACTATCACCCTAGGGAAAGGGGCTCCTAGCCAAGAGCCCTGTAAGTTTGCTCAGACTGGGAAACCTGTGTTTCCTGAGAGACATAGCTTTCACCACAGGGATGTCAGGATGGAAGCAGGTGGTGGGTAGGCTCCCCAACACCATCAGCCCCACAACTTCCCTGGACAGCCGGTCCAGGGACCAAGCTGGTTCTTCTGGGCTCTGGGGTAACTGAAGAACAACAGACTATAAATTCAGAGACGAGCTGTCTTGTATCCCAGTGACAAAGGAACTTGAGTGATTTAGAGACAGAATATTCTTCTCTCCACAATGGCGCCTGGAGTTGCCAGGAATAGTACATCCACTAAAATTAATGGGCAGAGCTCATTTTTCTTATTTCGCAAGGAGAGACGTTCCATTGGTGGGGTAATGGATGCTGATCTGGATGTGCCGGTGAGCCAGCTGGGGGATCAATCACCCACATGCAACAGTTCACAGCCCTTTAAACCAACAACAGCTGTGACAAATGGAGCTGGCCAGGGACAGGCGGAAAGGAATGCAGACAGAAGATCCATCAACATCCTTGTGACGGCTCATGGGTCCCAGGGGCCCAGAATCCTTCTTAGTCTCCTACAATGGAGCCATTTTTCAGCAGGGCTGAACCAAAAGGACAGGGCTATCTCAAGGAAGACTTCAGTGCTAGACACACAAGGTCAACAACTCCAGTTTTGTCATCCCAGGTGCTACTGTCCTGGGCAACCTCCCACCTCTGCCCCTTTATGTTCCCGGCCTGGCAGAGTTGATGGTCAATATTTCAACAATATTCAACAAACTCAACATTCATTGAGAGAATCAGAGGATGGCTGAAGGATGGGTGGGTGGATGGATGGATAGTTGGATGGATGGGTGGGTGGATGGATGGAAGGATGAATGGATGGAAGGATGGATGGAAGGGTGGATGGATGGAAGGGTGGATGGATGGATGGGTGGGTGGATAGATGCATGGATGGATGGATGGATGGATGGATGGATGGATGGATGGATGGATAGATGCATGGATGGATGGATGGATGGATGGATGGATGGATAGATGCATGGATGGATGGATGGATGGATGGATGGATGGATGGATGGGTGAGTAGATGGATGCATAGATGGATTGTTGGGAGGGTGGGAGGATGGATAGAAGGATGGTTTTGATGGGTGGATGGATAGATGGGTGGGTGGGTGGGTGGATGGATGGATGGATGGATGGATGGGTGGGTGGGGGTGGGTGGGAGAATGAATGGATGGATGGATGGGTGGATGGGTGGGTGGATAGATGCATGGATGGATGGGTGGGTGAGTAGATGGATGCATAGATGGATGGGTGGGAGGGTGGGAGGATGGACGGAAGGATGGTTTGATGGGTGGATGGATGGGTGGGTATGGATGGGTAGATGGGTGGATAGACAGATATATGGGTGAACACTTGAATTATGGAGTTAGGAAATTACCTTTCTTCCTTCTGGGAGACTTTAATTCTAAAATGGAAGGTGCAGTGAGCAACACTTTGCTCTAGAACATGGGTCTGCGGTGGCAGTGCTGTGCATGGAGGAAGACTCAGGGCTGAGTGGAACATGGCTCTGAGGTTTGCCGGTGAGGATTCTGGCTCGTTGTAGAGGAGGCTGCAGCTGTGCAAAAGGCACCAGTGATGAGTGCTGCGTCAGCCACCTTCCCGCTACAGCGACAAAACCCCTGAGACAAAGGTTAGTCTGGGCTCGTGGTCAGAGGTCGCAGTCCTGGGCCTCTTGCCCTGCTGCTTCGGAACACTGTGAGGGAACATGGCAGAGGCAGCTACTTCCCTTACAGAAGCTAAGCAGCAAAGAGAAAGGCGGGAAGGGCCTGGAATCCCGGTACCCCTTCACGGGCATGCCCCTGAGGGACCTAACTTCCCGCCACCACACCTTGCCTCAGAAAGGCCAGGACCCAAGTTGTAACAGTTCTGCATTCCCCACGGGTGGGCTGCTTTGAGGATGCCTAGCCCACCATGATGCTTGACACACGGTAGGTACTCTGAGGACACATCTAACATGAACGAATGGACCAGCGCTCTGACTTCTGCTCAGAATTGTGAGAGAAGATACAAGGGAAGATATGCTGGTCCTGGCCGTGGACCTTGACCAGGACAGATGGAATAAGATCTATGAGAAGCCCAGGGTGGTCCCAGGATACCAGAGCAGGGAGACTGGCCTTAGCAGCAAGGTGTCTTCAAACGACAGCAAGCACTTTGTTTCTCCAGTGACCTCACTTCCATACAGTGGGGACCTTGAGACACCCCCCCCCCCCCCCCCCCCCCCCCCCCCGCTCCTTCCTCATCATGCCTGTCGAGTGCCTGTGTTAGCCCAGACCTCTCCCTTCCTGCCACAGAGTCCCAAAGGCCAGGAATATACTGATAACCTGGGGGACAGCCACTCTGACAAGAGGCTGTGGTGATTTGAATTGGAAATGTCCCTTTCAGGCTCAGGTTCCCAGCATGTGGCCCTCCTTTGAAGGTTCTGGAGCCTTTAGGCTGTGAAGCCTGGTGGGCTGAAGTTGATCACTGTGGGTGGCTTTTGAAGGTTAAATTCCTCCTTGGTTCAGGTGTGTTCTTTCTGTCCCTGCTCTGCACTGTGTGAACAGAGAATGTCACCAACCTCTGCTGTCACCGAATGGGCGGCTCCCACCCTGTGCCTTCACAGCCATGAAGGCTGAGAGCTCTGGAAACCTGAGCCAAGATAAGCCTTCTCCCCCTAACTAAGGTTGTTTCTGTTGGGAGTATCAGTCACAGAGTCACGGGGATGGGAGTAACCAATACAAACCACTGCCAAGTTAACTTGTCCATGTCACCCCAGAAGCCCGAAAGGGACCATGGGATATGCCAGATGCCTTTGTCATGGCAGCTGAGCAGGGTTCAGTGAAGCCTGAACTCCTACGGTGAGTTCCAGGTGGCCTTCCCTGACACATGTCCACCCAGGATCGTGAATGTGAGTTTATTTGCAGGATCAACACAACCTCCATTTAGGGTGTGCTCCAAACCCAGGGGTAACCGTCCTCACAAGTACAGAGGGACCGCTGAGGCCTGCACCCTCAGGAAATAAGATTTGTGGAGACGGAGGCACAGGCTAGAGCTTTGCTGCCAGGACCTGCAGCCACCAGGAGGCAGGGAAGGTGGGGGATGGGGGGTGGGGGTGGGGTCTTCAGAGTGAGTATGATCCGGCATGCTCCATTTCAGACTCTGATCTCCACCACATTTGAGACCTCAGTCTGTGGCTTTAACCACCCCCAGTTTGCAGTCCCTTGTTTTAATACCCACATATCTCAAGGTTGCTCTGAGACCTTCCAAATTGCCTGGGGCTTTTGCAACAGCGACATCTGTCTAATTTTCCCAGTAGTTGAAAGAGCTGCCCATTACCCTAGGAAAGCAGTTACAGAGGGGAAATGGAAAAGAGGGAGAGAGGACATGGGAGCAGGGAGACAGCCTAGAGGGAAGAAAAGCCGCCATCGGATGGACCAGTGTGTCCACGTGCACAGCCAGCTAACAAAGACATCACAGGAGATGGAGGATAGGGTGGCTTTCCTCCTGGCCAGAGCTGACACGGACAGGCGGTGACATGGGAAGTGGGCTGCTAATGAACCCTGCTTGTCAATCGGAGGAAAGCCTTTCTCTCCCTCAGGGCGGGAGAGGAAACTCCAGCCAGGGCCCTGGACTTGTCTGGGGACCTCAGTCTCTCTACAGCACCTCACCTGTCACCACCCAGGCAGCTGACCTGTCAAGGGTGGAGCTGACAGCTAGACTCTGGCTGTGGAGGATGGTGGCTTCAGAAACTCATTTGCGGTGGAGGACAGTGGGTAAGCCCAGTCACAGGTCGGCATGGGGAAATGATCTTACTTTGAGGACCTGAGGGACAGTGTGAGTGCAGGTTCACTTGCTGGAAGACTGAGTGACAGTGGGCAATGGGGGGGGGGTGTGAAGGGGGGAGGGTGCTGCCCCTCCCCCCATTGCAGAATAAGAACCCTGAAGACTTCAATATGCCTGTCCCCAAGACTGATGCTGTCATGTGCCCTGGGATCCCTACAGGGAACTGTTCTTAGAACAATACATCAAAAGATGGAGGAAATTCCCACATGGCAGAAAACAAATTTAAAAATGCACTTGATCTGCACCATGGATATAAAGAGGCCTATTGACTAGAGCTACAGACCCATGTGACCTCAAGCAAGTAACTGTCCCTTCACTGAGCCTCATTTTGGCATGTTGGATAGCCCAGGGCCTCAGTTTCCCCATCTTCATGACGGATATAAGTTCCCATGGGGAGCATTTCACTCAGAATGGGTACACTGTGCATGCTCAGTACAGGATTTTCTAGACACCTCTTCCATTTTCTGCGTTTGTTGTCTCTGCTCCAAGCCCAGAAACGAATCCACATTTACCACAAGTGGCAGCTGAAGCCTCAGTTTCCCCACTCTGCACACTACAGTTGCTGTGAGCATTCCATACTGTGACAGGGGCTGAAACACCAGGAAAGACAGACAGAGTGTTCCCCTCCATGTTGCCTGAGGCCACCCTGTCCTCGGCCTTCCCTATATGAGGCAGAGACCACTGGCCTGAGTCTAGATGCTTCCAGCCACAGAGAAGGCCATCGGTTGGCTTTGGGTCCACCTCAAGAGTTCACAGCCAAGGTCAGTGTTATCTCTCAGCTCATGCCTTCTGTTTCTCTCTCCTTGGTAACCCTCACCAAAAAGGCGCAAGAGTCTGCCATCACGAACGCATACCCACAAACTAAGTTTCTACCCCAGCTCAGATGCTCAACTGCACAAGAGCCCTTGAGGGCCGGGCCTCACCAGCTCCATGCATCGACGGCTGGCCTCCTCTTCCCGCCGGGCCAGTTCCTGCATCTCTGCCTTTAGCTCCTCCAGGCGCCGCTGATAATATTGGCTGTTGTCCCGCTGTTGGGCCTCTGACTTGGCTGCCTGGGACAACTCCTCGCCCATCTTGATCAGGCTGTTCCGAAGACGGATTACTAGGACCTGGGAAGAGCAGAAAGCATGGTTGATCTCACCCGGAGAAACCAGAGGTCCGAAGCAAGGTCTCCCAAAAAGTGGGATCCTTCCCTGGGGCTCTGCACGTTTGTGCCAAGTGATCCAGGTTAAGAATCGTGGTTTCCGTCTGGGCAGCACACTAGAGTTGACCCTGTTATCAGGGTCACAGGTGAGCCAACCCTGAAGGCTTGAGAAAAGGAGAGCTGGCCCTGCCCCCCTCATATGCCCCCTACAGCAATCTGGAGAGAGGGCCCTGCCCCTTGCCTGAGCAAAACAATAGAGCTGGTCCTAGCCACATGAGTGGGGGGACCCAGATCTGAGGGCCCTGCTCCTTGCTGCAGGCTGCATTGGGTGAGCTGGCTGAGGGAGTGCAGCAGAGCTCAGCTGGGTAGTGACAATGAGGGAAAGTCATCGAGCTGACCAACCCAGCTACCAGCCAGGCCTAGAACCAGGGCTATGAGTTGGCCACCCCAACCTCCACTGAATCTGTGAACTGTTGGAGCATGTGAAAGGGACGAACCTACAGATCCAAAACAGCAGGATCTCCATGACACAGGCCAACAACAGGATATCCAAGAGGAGCCCCCAGGGAGAGCCCATTATCCCTGGTGTAGCAGAAAGCAGAGGCCTCCAGCCAGACCAACAACTTGTGATAATGAACACTTGCAAGTAAAGACGGACAGACTGAAGGGTTAACTGTGTGTCTCAAGGGGCCACACCACAGCTTCCACGACAAGATTCTTCTTTTTTGTTTCTTTGTTTGGTTTGGTTTTTCTTTTAAATTTGGTTTTGTTTTGGGGAGAGGTTGAAAGGGCAGAGGGCAGATGTGAGGGGACAGGGAGATAAGTGGGAACAGAATACATGATGTGAAATCCACAAAGGATCAATAAAAGTAAAAAAAAAAAAAATTTAATTGTGGTTTCTTAGTCTTCCTCAGGGAGGAACACTGGCTGGGTTATCCAGTATCAAATGGTCAGTCCTGAAAACATGCATGAAAGTAATATTATATAGCTCAAGCAGGTTATATTTAGGAATATATATGTTACATACATGTATGCATGTAACAACAATCAATGAAACAAGAGGCCGTGACTTTGAAAGAGAGAAAGGAGGAATAGACGAAAGAGCTTGGAGGGAGGAAAGGGAAGGGGAGATCATCTGATTATATAATAATCTTAAAAATAAAAGAAAAATGAAAAACAAAATAACAATTAAATGAAAAAAATCGTGATTTTCGCCTCCCAAAATAAGAATTCCCTTTGAAATAAGAACTATCCTGAGAGACTATGGGACAAACACATGGAGAATCTGCTTCCAAGAGGCTCTGGGTTCAAATCCTGCCTCTGCCTCTTTGTGCTGTATGACCCTGGGTAAGTGATTGGTCCTGTGGTCCAGGTTCTTGCATTTGTGTTCCAGGGCACTGCCAGGATCTAACATGTTAAGCTAGGCATTTGGCACAAACAGGGTTGCAGAAGGGAGCCTGATAATCTTGGCCCTATGCCTCTGAGGTCTAGGAAGTGGAAGGACACCCCAGAGACAAGTCATGCTGGATTAACATCTGCTCAACCAAACTATTGGCTTCTGGGTTTATGAACGAGAGTCTTGGGTGAAGCCACCTTCCATGCTCTGCCTTTCCTGGGGACAGAAACCCGTCAGACATAATGAAGGGATGAAGACATCAGCATTCTAGACACCCCTGGACCCTAGAAAAACCTCAGGGCTATCAGATTCATTAGGCAGCCAACAAGCCTGGAACCCACTGATCTGTGGGACCCAGCGGGCAAACAGCAGAGTGTCAATACAGGCAAGGGTCATGTGACTATTGTCATGTGACTACTTCAAGCCTTGCTGAGAATTCTGGGATCTGTGATTAGAGGAGATGAACTCAGGGTCAGACACCATCACCCAATAGGGAGCTGCCCCTTTAGGATCCATTTTAGAGATTGTCAGGGGGAAAGGGGAGTCATGACAGCATCTCCAGTGACCCTTGGCAACAGGGACACACTGTGTTTAGATAACAGTGACAGAGGCCACAGTTACAAGGCTGGGATCTTTCAGGTGCTACCATCCTGCTATCAGTCGTCTATGCTAGAACTGAATAAGAACTCCATAGAGCTGGCATGGCGTAGGCAACCATTCAGTACAGTCTTCAGTATTTCCAAGGTTCTGGAGGGCCCCTGCCTGGGTAGTTCCTGGATCTGCTTGGAAAATCTATGAAGGTCAAGGTCAACAAGTCTTTCTCCTGTTTATCCATAGCAGCCATATCAAAGACTGCATGTCCTGGGGTTGGGAGAGTCTCAGAATGAGGGGCAGGGCCTTTCACATCCAAACATGCTGTGGTAAAGGGTGAGGAAGGGCTGCAGAGAAATTAGAACACAGACCCCAAGGGGAGGGTCAGGGCAGGTGTCAATCAATTCCTATTTGACCCTCAGCTTGCCTTTGGGGGCCATGCTTCCTCTCTAATGGTGAGGCCTGTCCTTTCTCCCCACCCTGCACAATGTTACTGAATGCCAAGCACAGAGTGGTATGGTGGAGGATTTCAGCAATGGAGGTAACCTCTGTAAATGTCCCATGCCCTTGGTCCACAGAAGTGAACACACACTGGAATTATCACCTCAAGACTGATGTCAACGTCCTCGCCAAACCCCGTCCAAGCCCACCAGGGTCTTGTTACGTGGCAGACCTCATCCTGGAAGCCAGCTGGGCTCTCCATGCTGGAAGGCTCCATCTGAACAGTCCTGGCCCTATTCTGTACTGTGCCTGTCCTCTACATACCAACATGGAGCTTCACAGATGGGTGTGACCAAAACTGCCCACAAATAATTTGGGGTATACGAGAGGATGAGTAGATAGGCAGAGATGGGTAGAGTGGTACCCATGGACTCAAGGGTGGGCCATGGAGCCTGGGGCTGAAGAAGAGAAAGAGGAGGGAGAGGGAAGGAGAGGAGAGGACATAGGAGAGCGGGGTGATGAGAGTCAGAGTAGAAACAGGCTAAAGAGGAAGGAGTTGCCTGAAGATGTGATAGGGGTAGACAGAGGAGGAGGAGGATGGATGGGTGCATGGTCGGCTCCAGGAAGTATGCAGAAGAACAAAGGATTAAAAGAAAAAGGGAGGGATGAGAACAGATGGAGCGGTCGGATTTGTCTCAAGCTAGGCATTCAAACCAAGTGATGAGTGGCAGAGGTGGGCTCACACAGCCCTCCCTGCCCAGCCCCCAGCAGCTCATGCGTCCTAGGTACCTCAAATCTCTTCATCTGCACCTTCTGGAACTCCGTCTTGTTCTCCAGGTCACAGATGACAGCCTCCTGCCTGCTGACGATGGCGCGGTCCACGGTGGACTGCTCCAGGTACTGGATACGCAGCTGTGCCACCTGCAGCTGGGGCACATTGAGGAGTCCACTGGCACCATTGACCCCAGAGTCCCACCCCTGGCACCAGTTCTCCGCTCAACCGCTACACGTTGACCGCCCATACAGGCCAGCACCGCTCACCTTCACCCTGACCCAGAGCAGCAGGTGCTGAGAGCCTTTTGGGGACAAAGCAAGACTTGTATTCATTCATCTCTTCCCCTGCTATGATAAAGGGCCAAGCTGCCTGGGGAGAAACTCCTGCATCTATAGACACAGCAAGGGATGCTGGGAGCTTGAAGCCTGCTTTCTGTTTATGTGAGCAAGGGCATGTCATTTCCTGCGGGGGCTGCCATGTCCCCATTTTCATCACGGGACCAGCAGCCGGCCGGTGGCTAGTGCTGCTTCTCTCTTTGTTGGGCTTGTTGGGATTCAGCGCCTAAGTGTGATGAGACCTGGCCACGCTGACAGGCGCGAGCATCAGCTCTAGCAGGGCTTTGAGAAGTCTGTGGCTAAAAATGGCCAGCTCCGTACTGAGGTTTAGAGGGATGGGGCTCCAATGGAAGAGCTCCCAGAGGGGTGTGGGCCTGACTCACAGGCATCCTCTGTTCTTTCTGGGAGGGATTTCTCAGGGCGGGAGGCAGGAGCGAGAGAGAAGCCTGCCCTGAATGGAGCATGGGCCACCGGTGTGGGGGGCAGGAACAGGCAACTGTGAGGAGAGTGGGTGGATCTGTCCGTCTGCCCACTAGGACTTTCTGGATTCACTTGACACATGACTGAAGTTGAGCAAATGACTGGGTGGTGATCCTGAGGGCCCAGGGGGAACCTTCCCTCTCCCACAGCATGGCGGCTCTGAGCACATACCTGCTCCCGCAGCTTCTGCTTCTCCTTCTTGGCTTCTTCCAGCTGCAGCTGTAGCTCCTGAATCTGCCCGATGTCAGCAGCAGACTGGTGAGGCAGGAAACAAGAAGAAGAGGCCCTCTCAAGAATCACCTCTTCCCCGACCCGCAGGTCCCTCGAGCAGAACTTCGGTGACAACGATTGGGCCTTAAAGGTTGCCTCTTACCCTTTCCCAACACCCCATCTCTGTTTGCTGAGTCACAAGTTCCCAACACCCCAACTCTGTTTGCTGAGTCATGGTTTCCCAACACCCCATCATCTCTGTTTGCTGAGTCAAACTTCCCAACACCCCATCTCTGTTTGCTGAGTCACAACTTCCCAACACCCCATCTCTGTTTGTTGAGTCACAACTTCCCAACATCCCAACTCTGTTTGCTGAGTCATGGCTTCCCAACACCCCATCTCTGTTTGCTGAGTCACAAGTTCCCAACACCCCAACTCTGTTTGCTGAGTCATGGCTTCCCAATACTCCATCTCTGTTTGCTGAATCATGGCTTCCCAACACCCCATCTCTGTTTGCTGAGTCATGGCTTCCCAATACTCCATCTGTTTGCTGAGTCACTCCATGGCGTCAGCTCAGGGATTCAGTGACTGCTGTGTTCTTCATGACATACGTTGGAGAGCCTGGAACAGATGGTGTTGCCCGTGGTGACAGTACAACATCCCAAGAGTGGCACTGTGGTTTGAATGTGAAGTGTCTCCCACAGTCTGGGCAGAGTGGGGAGCTGCTTGCCACCAAAGGGCTTTTGGAAAGTGAGAGTCAGGACTCTGCCTTCAGGGATAATTTAATCCATCCATAGATCTCAAATTTGAATAGGCAGTTGGTGGAACTGTAGAAGGTGCAGCTTAGATGGAGGAAGTAGGTCACTTGGGGTCACAGGGGTGTGCCCTGTCCAGGCTCCTTCATGCCCAAGCTCTGCTGCTTCCTGTCAGCCATGAGCCATACACTCTTGCTACAGTGATGTCCTTCCCAAGCACCTGGGGCCGAACAACCAGGCACCAAACTCCTGAGATCATGAACTAGGGGAATCCTGTCCTCCAGCGACTTCCATCCAGTCATGGCGATGACAAAACCAACTTGAGAGGGAAGCACTGTGTGTGCCAGGGAACTGGGAACCTGCTCTCAGACACCAGCCATAGCCAGCCAGGGACTCTCATGTAACAATGGGCTGAGTGTCCGCTCAGCCCCCTCCATTGGTTAGTTCCAAGGTCAGGGAGAGAGAAAGGGGAGTCACAATGCCTGTAGGATGTGGAGGCGACATCTAAGCTCGGCAGTCTCTGGGGAGCGAGGTTCCTGAGGATGTGGAGGCCTCTTAGCTCCTGCTCTGCCATGTGAATGGTTTTGCTCACTTGTCACAGCACATGTTATGTTCTCCACTTGTGACGGAACAGAACAATTTCCACATCAGACAAAATTAACCACAACTCAGGCACAGGCACTCTATGGTGGCGGCTGGAACCCTGGTGATTCCGTTCCTTATTCGGGTTACATCTCTGTGTATTGCAGACATGCCTGGTATTGGTCTTTGGAGGCAAGAGGACATGCCTCCTGGATCACCACTGGGGATGAGCGGGAAGATGTTCCATGCTCCTGGATTGAGCTTTTATCACCTGGGATATGGTCAGGAACCTGCGAGGGAGCCTCGGCCCATCTCTTACTCCAGCCAAAGCTCTAATTCTTCCCAGCCACCTCGTCTCCTTGCTGCCTGGGTCCACATCCCATCCCCCACTTTCCCTCCGCTTTGCCTCCGCTTTGCCTGACCCTGTGGCTTTGAGTGCCCAGCCCCATGCCTCAGCTCCAGACTCCTTAGGACAGTAGCAGAGTTGACAGGGTGGGGCAGCATGCCAGCCACACCTCTCCCACTCCGCTCCCGCAAAGTTTGACAGCGCTTCCCGCCACCCCTCAAACGAAGCCTCCTGGGAGCCTGGTCTGTCCTCCTTCTCCTGGCCTCCCAAGTGCACGCCTGCTGCTTTCCCCTCATCAGTCTCCAAGGCTCCGTGGACACTTTGCACGTGCCTCCCTCCCACACACACCTGTCCTCCTTCCCGATGCCATGGTTCCACTGCAAACTCATTAACTCCTGATCCTCATTCAGGTTTCCTCCTCGGGGAAGCAGTCCCCAATTTCAGTCCTTTTCTGGACTCTCAGCTCAGTTTGCTAGCCCGCCTCCCACCACATGCTGTTCCGGGTAGCTTGGAGGCAACATCTGTTCGGCTCACAAAGCCACAAACAGGAGAGGGAATGAATGGGATGTCCCTTTGCTTACCCAAGTGTCCTTGACATTGTTTACAGTGCCTAATACTGAGCAAGTCCTCAGTAAACAACAGATAGACAGACAGACTGGATGGCTGAGTATGTGGGTGGTGGCTGGACTGATGGACATAGTGAGTAGATAGTGGATCGGTGTGTGGATGGGTGGGTGGGCACATGGGAAGAAAGACTGTGGTCATTTGAATAAAAATGAGCCCACATAGGCTCACATATTTGAATGCTTAGTCATCAGGGAGGGGCACTATTTGAGACCTTATAATTCCCCCTTCCTCCCCCTCTGTCTCTCTCTGTGTCTCTTCTCTCTCTCTCTCTCTCTCTCTCTCTGCCTGCGGATTAGGATGAAGTTCTCAGCTCAGCTCCAGCTCCACGTGTATCTACCAGGATGATAATGGACTGAGCCTCTGAAACTGTAAGCCAGCCCCAGTTAAATGTCTCCTTTATAAGAGTTGCCGTGGTCGTGGTGTCTCTTCACAGCGATGGACCAGTGACTAAGACACAGCTGAATGGATGGATTGGTGGGTAGATGTGTGTATGGTGGATGTGTGTGGATGGGGAGGTGGTCGTATGAGTAAGTCCATGTTTGCCCTCCAGAGGACACACCATCTTTCCCCAGGGATGCGTGGAACTGACAGTTCCTACCTACCTCTGGGCTGTTACATCTACCAAATTCACAAGCTGGGAGATGGTCCTGACCTGGGCAATGAGGTCTTTGTGCTTCTGCATGAGGCCATTCAGGTCATCCTGGTCCTCGTCGATGCGTTTCAGGAGGTCTGCCCTCTCAAACTGCAGCCGGTACAGCTGCTCATCCACCTGCAGGGGGGCAGAGGGTCACTCAGTGAGGGTGTGTGCGCTAGTGCATACTGAGTGTTCAGGCAGGTGTGGATGCAGGGCCTGTGAAGGTTTCTGTGCCTGTGTGAACCTCCAAGACTCCATGCATACGCATTTAAAGGTCCCGGCACAGGCATGTAAGCACAAACCGGCATTGTCCCTGAGAACAGGGACTTTGTCCTATACACAGGCATATCCCCAGCACTGAGCACCAGACTTGGCATCCAACAGGTGACAAATCAGTGTCTGTTGTGTGGGTGGGTGGGTGGATTTGATTGGGGGGTTTTCCCTCCAAAGGTATTTCTTTTGCACATGTATTTGATGATTTTATATGTACGTGGGCACATCCTGTGGATGTATGTGCTTGTACATGTGTAGGTGTGTCCTGGTTAGTTTTTTTTTTTAATCAACTGGACACAACTTAGAGTCATTTGAGAAGAGGGAACCTCAGTTGAGAAAATGCCTCTCTTTCTCTCTCTCTCTCTCTCTCTCTCTCTCTCTCTCTCTCTCTCTCTCTCTCTATATATATATATATATATATATATATGTGTGTGTGTGTGTGCCTATATATATACATATATATATGTGTGTGTATATATACGTATATATATACATATACATATATATATATATATATATATATATATATATATAGGCATTTTCTTGAATGATTAGTGTGAGAGGCCCCAACCCATTGTGGGTGGTACTACCACCAAGATGAGTGGTCCTGGGGTATATAAGAAAGCAGATGAAGCAATCCATGTAGAGCAAGCCAGGGGCAACACTCCTTTATGGCCTCTTCATCAGTTCCTATCTTTAGGTTCCTGCTCTGACTTCCTTCAGTGATAAACTTCAGACAGTAAGAAAAAAAAAAATAAACCCTTCCCTTCCCAAGTTTCTTTGGTCATGGTGTTTCACCACAGCAACAGAAACTCTAAGTAGGACAGAAAATAGGAACCATGTTGTGGGGGTATTGATGTGATAGATCCAACCATGTGTTTTGGGAAGGGCTGTGGTGCTATTTGAAGTTTGGGCTGCAAAAGCCATTGAGGGCTTTGAGCTCAGTGGGTTGTCGTGTGGGGTCCTGAGAGATAAGAGTGTTGAGAGAAGTGCATACAGTGGTGACCTGACTTATGGAGGACAGCAGCAGCTGTGGAGCAGAGCTTGTCTGAGTCTACAGGTAAGCTGTGTGTGCCACAAACCTCAGAGCTGGAGAAATGGAGCCTCCTGGAGCTCAGAGGATCATACGGGGTCTAAGACATCGACTAGTGGATTTTTTTATGCTGCTGAAGTTTAGTTTTGCTTTGATTTACTATGCTCTGGATCTTCCTTTTTTGAAATAAAAAGATATTCAACTTTTTTTTTATAAGAGCCCACAGTTAAGAGACTTTGGAATTATAAAGAAATTTTGGAATTTTAGAGAAATTATGGACTTTGAAAAGGACTTTGGGTGTTTTAAAGAGACTGAAATTTAAACTGTTTGAATATTTTAAAGACTGGGGGACTTTCACAATTGGAATGTTTTAATAATGTGATATTAATATTAACATGTAATCTTGGGGGCAAATGAGAAAGGAAAGGTTATGGTTGGATAGTGGTATATTTGTGTGTCAAGCTGACAAAGGATCAATTGTTTTGGCTAGTTTTTTTTTTATCAATTTGATACAATGTAGAGACATTTAAGAAGAGAGACTTTCAATTGAGAAACTTGCCCCCTAAATTGTCCTGTGGGGCATTCTTGAGTAAATACTGATGTGAAGGGCCCAGCCCATTGTGTGTGGTACTACCCACTAGACAGGTGGTCCTGGAGGTTGTATAAGAAAGCAGATAGAGAAAGCAGTGAGTAGCAAGCTAGTAAGCAGCATTCCCCCATGGCTTCTGCTTCAGTTCCTGCCTCCAGGTTCCTGCCTCCAGGTTCCTGCCTTGAGTTCTTGCCCTGTCTTTCCCCAGTAATGGAGTGTGATATGAGTGTGTGTAAGATGAAGTAACCCTTTTCTTCCCAAGTCACTTATGGTCATGGTGTTTATCACAGCAATAGGAACCCTAAGACAGTATGTGTGCACATATATGTGTTTCTGGACATGTTCCCCTTAATTTAGAAAAAATAAAATAAAATACAGGATAAAAGGGCTTATTAGGATCCTTCCCAAGCCTGAGTTGGTTCCTCTGCATCTCTATGCAAACAATAGAATTCTGTATATCGAGTGCAAATTTAAGCCAAGTCTGATCATCCAGACTCCAGACATTGTCACCAACATGGTAGATCTACGGCTCATTTGTCCCCATTCCATGGTGACCATACAATAGCATGATAGTGAACAGCTGGGTCTTCTGGTTGCAAGGAGTTGAAGTGAGCCTGTGAGAGGCATGCTTTTCCTCTTAGAGAAGGTGGCATGCACCTGACGACAAATGCCAAGAGTTCCTAGGGCGGTAAGGACACAGCAGGGCTGTGAGAGGGTCCCCAGAACCGTCTCCAGCTGCCAGCACTCACATGGGCACACGATCAGCTGCGTTCATCACTGCAGATGCAACTTCATGCTGCTGGGCACACAGTAGGTCCACAACAGGTTTCCTAGCTTGCCTTTATAAATGGGATCTCACTGCATGCATGTGCATATGTGTATCTGTGTGTGTGTGTGTGTGTGTATGTGTGTGTGTGTGTGTGTGTGTGTGTGTGTGTGTTCTGTTGAACTCAGTATCAAGCACCCAGTAGGTCCATAATAAATTCCCTTTGCTTTTTAGGGAGCTGAGCATTCCGTAGGTCCACACTAAGCTCCCTTATCCTTCTTATAGAGCTGAGTACCCAGAAGGTCTACAACAGAAGCTTGTACCCTCCAGGTGACTCTGAGGTCTCAAAGGGCTGCCCCATAGATCCATCCTGAACATCTTAGTCCTATACGAGGTCATGTCCCCAGCAGGCCAGTGCCAGATCCCAAGCCTGCACTTCTGGGGCTGTGGCAGGTTCAGTTACCAGGCTCTTGCTCCGGGTCACATTCTCCAGCTCACTGTGCATGTTCTCCAAGTCCGCAGTCAGCACCTTCTGGGTCTTCAAGGCATCCTCACATTTGGCCTCACTCTGTGTCAGCTGGGCAGGAACAGGAGAAGGAAGTCACTTCTCTAACATCCTCCTCCCTACCAGCCCAACCCAGCCCTAGCTGGCTACCGCCACACCTTCACACCTGTCTGTCAGCATACATTGTGTGAGCCTGAAGTATCTGTGCTTGAGGCAGCGTGGGTCTGAGCCCAGCACTGTCCTGTGACAGGGCTCTGAACCCTGCTGCAGGAGTCCGGGGATTTCATTGGATACACCCGAGGATGCCTACTTCCCACTCAGCACCAGGCCCAAGACACAGAGGGAGCAGTCAACGGTCCTTCCCAGAGGAGACAGGCAAGGAAAGGTAGGGACAACCTCTCTGGAGAGTACAGGAAGTGGGGCAAAGGGGCAGAGGGATGAAAGGAAGAACCATCATGCGAAGCTTGTGCCTCAAAGGATGGCAGGAGCCTACCAGCCCTGACCGGGGCATGGGTTAAGCTTGTCTGCAAATCTTTCAAAGGAAAAACATTCTGCATGGAAGGGCCTTCCTGTGCTTGCCTTTGACCAGATCTCAGTCACTCAAACTGCTTTCTCATCCCCCGCCTTCTCATCTGTTGGTAGCCTACAATCACCCAGGCACATGCCACCCCCTCAAGAGTGGAGGGACCAGTCCCATGGAGAAACCCACATCAGTACACAGACCCCATGACCGGTATGCACATGGCAGTTTTCCATGATCCCCAGAAGTAGAATCTCCAGACAGAAAACACACACACACACACACACACACACACACACACACACACACACGGAAAACAATGTGGACTCAGATGGGTAGTGTCTCACCCAGAGCTCACACTTTTGAGAAACAGAGGTAATCCCGGGATTCCCCAGGCACACATACTTTCACTTCAGAAACCACTGTCTCCTGAAGGATTAAGGATCTGCTCATGTAGCCACACACCTGTAATCCAGCATTTGGAAGGCTGAGGCAGAAGGATTGTGATCAGACCAATCCTGCCTCAAAAAACAAGAAAGTGAAACAGAAGAACTTGATAGGGGAGGAAAGGTGACCAGGCCTGCCTAAGAGGCCTCTGAGTGAGCAAGCAACAAGCTGACCATGTAAGAAAGGCCTCCAGTCCAGGCAGAGGCTGTGCACAGCCCCCTTGGGAACAATCCCACCTCCTCCAAACAAAGAACAGCTCTAATGTCAAGGCGCTCCACCCATATGTCGCCTTGACCGTGACAATAATTGCCCAAGCGTGGGGGTCAGTGGCCTTGGCTAGGCGCCATCCACAGAAGGGATGAAACTTCAGGCTGAGCTCGATCTGCCAAGCTGGAAACCCCAGGCCTCTGGTGAGGCAGGGAGGCTAGAAGAAGGACTCCCCACAGAGGCAGGGAGCAAAGCTTGAGTCGTGGCCTCGCTAAGGATAAACCCATCCTAACACAACTGGGGAAGAGGTCATAGCAAATGCAACAGGGCAGAGTAAGGGGCCAAAGGAGGGTAGCCAGACAGCTGCCCCTCCCGGGACAAGAGGGGACAAGGCTGAGAATATGTCTAGGGGTCAGAGTAGTTGGTGACGGTAGCTGGTGACTTCGGCCCATGAGGCAGCCCATCCTTTCACAGATGAAGAATCCCATTGCAGTGGCCGGGGAAGAGGGTGGCCCATGACTTGCCAGCATCAGGTTCAAGTCTTCAAGGCCCCTGACCCAAGTGTTCCTGGATCCCCTGGACCCACCTGTGCACAGTTCTTGCTTACAGACCTCTTCCTCATTGTCTCAGCCCTCACCAGACCTTCCACTGTCTCCACACAGCTGCCTCCCTGCCCCCCACTACCTCCGCACTCTCCCTGCCGCCCTACCCCGCCACCGTCTCTCTGCATTCTCACTGTCTTTCCCTGACTCCCACTCTCCCCATCTCAGCTCTTTCTCCACCACCCCTGCTCTGTCTCCACCACCCCTGCTCTGTCTCCACCACCCCTGCTCTGTCTCCACCACCCCTGCTCTGTCGTCTCCACCACCCCTGCTCTGTCTCCACCACCCCTGCTCTGTCTCCACCACCCCTGCTCTGTCTCCACCACCCCTGCTCTGTCTCCACCACCCCTGCTCTGTCGTCTCCACCACCCCTGCTCTGTCTCCACCACCCCTGCTCTGTCTCCACCACCCCTGCTCTGTCTCCACCACCCCTGCTCTGTCTCCACCACCCCTGCTCTGTCTCCACCACCCCTGCTCTGTCTCCACCCCCCACTGTCTCCCCAACACCCAGCACCAGCATTCAGGGAGAGCGACTGAGATCCCCATCACACGCACCTCAACTGTAAGCCCAGGAACGGCTTTGCTTTCCTATGAGAAGCCATCCGCCTGCTTTAAATACTTGGGGAAATGTTTTCTTTGGACTTACAGGGCTTCTAGACAAGTCAGCCAGACATATGGAGAGAGGTGGAACGGGGAAGCTCTATTTCTGTAGAGAGCTTAGATCCTGGGCTCCTGGGTTTGGTTGAACAACTTGCGGGATTTAAAAACACAGAATTGCAAATGCCACAGGGAGAACATTCCACCTGAGTTTACAAGGCTAGACTGGATGCTTTCCCGGCTGGACAGGCCACCTTGGCATGTGGAAAACTCTACCTTTAGTGTGGAGGATTTCTCCAGAGAGGGTCACCCCACAGTCCGCACTGCAGACAGCCCCAATCACACGCAGCAAAAGCTGCCACCGCAAGCCTATTAAAAATGTCCCCTGAGGGCCAGAGAGGTGGCCCAGTGTTTAGGAACACTTGCTGCTCTTCCAGGGGATCCAAGTTTGGTTCCCAGCATTCATATTAGGTGATTCACAGGTACCTATAACTCCACCCCCAGGGCCTCCAATGTCCTCTTCTGGTCTTCATGGGCACCTACACTCACACTCACACACTCCTACACAGACATACGTATATATACATAATTAAAAATGAATTTTTAAAAAATGTCAACAGGCTCAAGCCATGTCTACACAATACAGCTGTGGACGGTGGATGCAACAGATGAGTTCCAAGACCACACGGTGACGATCTCTGTTGTTTGGTCATTTAGTAAACGTTCCAGAATTGCTCCGTTCCGCACGGAGACTACTGTGCATTGCTGTGTCTAGAGTAGCATTTTCAGTACTGAGTATTGAGCCCAGGGGCTTGCACATGCTTGGCAAGCATTTGCTCACTCAGCTACATCCCCAGATCCTGTTTCTTTTGTTTGCTTGCTTTATTTTCAGACAGGGTTTCACTCACTCGACCAGGCTGGCCTTGAACTAACTCTGTACTGTAAAGAAAGAAAGTGGGGGCGAGCCTTAAAGGTTCAGTTTGTGGGTACCACGGGGCATCTTCCACTTTGGCTTCAGGAACAGGCAGGAACATTTTTGCCCCTGTGGCAGGACAAGGGCCCAGGCTGAGGGTGTGTGTGGATATTTATGTGAAGTTAAGTGTGAACATTTTACAGTAGAAATCAGCTTCCACCTGTGGGCTCAGGGAGGCAAAAAAATTGGGGGGCACTTTAGACCTAGTCTGCCCTGGTTTAGAAAACAGAAACTTGAGGGGTGTGTGTGGAGAGAGGGGTGAGGGTGAGACAGGATTTCAGTACATACACAGGCTGGCCTTGAATTTGTGGGGATCCTCCTGCCTCAGCCTTCCGAGGGCCGGGACTCCAGGCATGAGCTGCCATGGCCAACTAGCCCTTATATCAATGTTAAAACTTAGATTTTTGATGAAGGTAAAGGGCACAATGTCTCTCATGTGCTCAGAGATGCTTCGGGAGCTGCAGGTCTGTGAAGATAATTATTAAACAGATTTGGCCAAATGTCCCTCATGAATCCAAGAGCTGGAGATCTCAATGGTAGAGAATTTGTATATCATGTGTCCAGTCCTGGGCTCCACCCCAGCACCACAAACAAATGGCCACATATGGATGAAGGGTGCACCGGAGCGCTGGGGGCTGCTCTCAGCCTCCTGGTACATTTTAAGTTCTTTGTAGAGTGTTTGTCTAGAGTGCAGGACCTGGACCATCAGTGTGGTGCCTCACACCCGGAAAGCCAGCACTCTGAGGTAGAGATGGGTAGATCATAAGTCAGGGTCATTCTTGGTTATATAGCAACATTTGAGGCCAGCCTGGGCTACATGAAACTCAAATCTCAAAGAAATAATTCTTTCAAAACAGACAAATGGTGTGCGTGTATGCGTGCGTGCGTGCGTGCGTGAATGTGCGTGTGTGTGTGTTGTGCATGGTGTATATGTGTACGTGAGTGTGCAGGTGCACACACCCATGCACACGCACACAGAGGCCAGAGCAGGACATAGGGCATCCTCCTTATCACCCTTCACCTTGCTGCCTTGAGACAGAGTCTGAACTAGAAGTCACTGCCCTATTAGGCCAGCCAGCGAGCTCTATGGATATGCCTGTCTCTGTCTCCGATGCTGCAGGTACAGGTACCCGAAGCCATGCCCCACATTTTACACGATGTTGAGGATGCGAACTCGGGTCTTCTTCCCTGAGCCATCCCCCTGGCTCCTACCCATCGAGTCTCATCCGATCCTTGTTTGGCAGGTTCCCTCTTCCTCAGAGGCTAAGCCGCCTCCTCAGATGGGTCATCGCAGTGCTCTGGAATTCGTTGAAGATGGCCGGCAGCCTGTGTGGTCACTGGGGATTTGCTCCATGCAGGCACGTGTCCAAGCACCAGCCCTGGCTTCCTGGAAGCCACTGGGTGCATTTCATAGTCTGGCGTACAGAGTTAGGTCATGGCACAGAGGTGCCTGGTGGTGTTCAAACCACTCACTCTCCTTTTAGTGTCACCTTGGGGGCTCAGGACGCTGCTGCTTGCCTGGCCCTCCCCGGATAAGCAGTGCCCTTTAGACAGAAAACTAGATTTTCCTGCCCGTGATGCAAAAGCTGGCCCTTCTTCACGCTTCGTTCATCACCGCCTTGGAAGTGTCAATATTTGTGGGTGAACAAACCTGTGACCACCATGTTTCCAGCCAATTACGACATGGTCTTTATCTCCCCTGACAGGAGGTTAGGTTAATATTGAATCAATTCCCTCCAACATCATCCTTAGAGAGAAAAACCAAATAAAACACCTAGTGAGGCCATTGTTCCGGGGCTGTGGGATGGAGAGAAGTGTCCCCAAGGTGCCTGGTCACACAAAGACTCCCATCAGGGCATCTTCTCAGGGCTTGTTAATTACCTCTGCTGTCTCACGGGAAGCATAGGTGACACATGGTGACAAATGCCCCAATTAAGGCCACTGGGGATAGATCCGGGGTCATCAGTCTTCTCTGATGGGAGCCCCAGGCTGGTAGTTAATCACAGCTGGGAATTCATGGTGAAGATGGGCAAGGCCTAATGGCCCAGTCACAGTCCCTGGGGGAAGGGCCCACCTGAGCACCAGAGGTTCTGGAAGGATGTGATGCCCCAGGGATGTGGCAGGGCCAACCTCTGAACCACTGGAACCCTGGGTTCAAATCCCAGCTCTTCTTATAGTCTCTGTGATTCCGGATAAGGAGGAAAATCCGGTGGCTAGTGACACAGGAAGGAAGGGCAGAACACGGCGACCTTTCACCCCAGCCATGGGAGGCGTAGATGGCGGCGAGAGATAATGTTGAAGTCAAGGTCAGAGGACAGATACCCATTGGGCAAAGAGGAATCTGAAGGCAGAAACAGAGCCCCCCAGAGGCATAGTCCATGCGAAGTTGACAATGAAAGACAGCAGAGGAGCTAGGCTGGGCACCCAGGGATCAGACTAAAGAACCTAGACTCAGTGCAAAGGATGGCGGGAAGTTGCTTGTAGATCATGCTTGTGTTGAGGTCTTCCAAACCTTCCTCCAAAGGTCAGGCCATGGGCTGTGGCTGGGACTGATGGCAACACCCAACTGCTACACACAAAGCCCTGGGTTTCATCCCCAGCATAAGGGACCCCCAGTGAGGTGACAGAGAAGCTCTCTGGACAAGATGCAAAGCTGGAGCCTTGAGAGAATTCCTGGCAGGAGACGAACAGGTGACTTTTACTAATGGCAGGCAGAGCACAGGGAACTGATTGGGGAGGGCAGCGCCTGAGACCCGTGATGGCAGCTTTGTGCCTAACAGGCAGGAGAGGGCAGGGCCCTGAGTGTGAATTAAGTAAACAATAAAGGGTTCTATACAACGTCCATCTGCCTGCTCCCCACCCCCCACCCCCAGTTAACAGAAACCAATGGCGTGCCTCCTCTGGAAAGGGAGGTGGCAGATGCGGGTCCAGTGAGGAGTAAATGAATAAGCACACAGATAACTAACCAGCACCCAGGAGCTCCACCCACTTCAGCTCTCCTCGGAGCAGGTGCCAGCGTCCGCCAACCCTGGTCCCACAGATGTTACTGGCACAGTGATTATCTCAATTATCCATCTTGGTTGTCGGGATGGCTTGTTTCCAGGTTAGTTTCAGTGAAAACATCCAACGGGAATTAATTAGCACCTTATAAAATACTGCACCCAGATGTCAAAAACACTCCCCCCCCCTCCAGCCCAAGCAGCCAACACAGGTGAGTGGAGGGAGGGAGGGGTACCCAGGGCATTCTTCCTGACATCCTGTCCTAGAGGGGCTCTTGTGATGCAAGGTCCTGTGTTGCTCAGGCTGGCCTCAAACTTGCTATGTAGCTAAGGATGACCTTGAACTTCTGATACTTCTGCCTTTCACACCTCAAGACCCGAGGTGTGTATGTGGCGCTGGGTTGGAAGCTGCCCAGTTCAGGTTTTCATGTACTCTGGGCAAGCACTCTGTCAGCTCCATCCCCAACCCCAATCCTGGAGGTCCTACAAAGGGAATTCTACAGATCCTGTGATCTGATGTTTTTTGGGGGTGTGGTGTCTTCTATGAGATATGACACAGATGTCCCTGAAAGGTAGGGGCTGACTCAGGGTTACCCAGGCAGGAGATGAACCCATTGTACACCTCTGTCCATGCTCCTTACAAGATAAATGACCTTCTCCCTGGGCATCCAACCTTCCATGAGCAACCTGTAAATGCCCTGAGTTCACCCCAGTGTCTGAAGCCCTTATTGGAGTACCTGGAGCAACAAGTGATGACCACACTCCATGTTAGGAAGAGCTGGAGGTAAGACCCCTCCCAATATGAAATCAGCAACACCAGACAAGGTGCTCTGGACTCAAAATTCAGGTCTTTTCAAAGCAGCAGAGCTGAGGTAGATCACATGAACATCACCTCACAGTCGGCATCCTCACCCACAAGATGGGTGGACTGCCAAGGTGAAGGGAATTTTGTAGCCAAGTGGCTTCTGGCTCCTAAAGCCAGCATCAGGCACCCTGATGTGGCTGTTTAACATTCGGATCTGAAGCTGGTCATGGTTGTTCATTACTGTTCACACAGTAATTCCAGTACTTGGAAGGCCTAGGGTGGAGAGTTCGAGGCCAGCCTGGGCTGCATAGCCAGATCCTGCCTCCAAAGATCAAACAAAGCAACCAGTAGAAAGCAAGTTCTTTCTAGCCCAGACTTGACAACAAGAGAGAATGGAGAGGGGACTGAAACGTGCTGTTCTAGAACAATGCTCAGCTCGCTGAGGTACAGCTGTATTCAAGGCTCTGAGGCCAAGCCTGGTCCACACCGGGCTCTGGACACAGGTTAAGAGGATCACATCAGGTGAGCCAAGGTTCAAGAGCTCAGGATGCCCGGCACCCACAGCTCCAGGCCTGTCTGGTTCTGTGCCTTTGGGTAGAGTGCTCAGGGAGCCCCTCAGACTCTGGCTTCTCGTTGGCACAGTGGACTAAATACAGGAATATCTAACCGCTTAGGCAGCAGCAGGGATCGCCTGAACTAACACACGCCTGGTCAGCCAAATCTCACCTGCGAGTCCCATCAATTCAAAACGGAAGTCGGGCTCTGCTGGAAGTTGCCAGTGGCTTCTTTCTTATCCGTTTGGGGTGAAACCCAAGCCTTCCCTGCTCTCTCCCTTCCTCCAGGTGTAAGGAGCTGACCCCAGTTAGCAGTGACCTCTGCGTGTCCCTACCAGGACTCTGCTTCTTCCTCCCCCGCCCCTCAAAATCAGGCCACTGCATGCATTTGTGCCACAGTTTGGCTTTTCCATCAGGTGTGGATTTCATAAGGTGGGTACCTCACCCGCCTTGCTGACAATCCTTCCCATAGCTCTACCCATCACGGGGCACACAATAGTGCTGCATAAATACCCAGTGAGCAAGCACATGGACAGACCGAAGAAACTGTTTGGTGCTATACACAGACAGCAGCGACATGCCAAGCTGGCTGGCTCTCCCTCCTGCTTGGCCTTTCCTGCCTTGGTCCCTGGGGCCTTCAGGCATAGGACAAACACCAGACACCAGACAGGAGCTGCAGTGGTACCAGGAACCATCGTTGCTTTATCTAATTAGCTCCGACTCCTGCATCCGGGGACACGTGTGCCAGGAGCCAAAGCGACTGTACCCTGACCTCTGGTCCAGGAGCTCTGTCCTCACAGTCATTTCCATGACAACGGCGGCAGAGAGCCAAGGCTGTGGATCCCTTTGATGGGCGCCGGATACAGAGAGCAGGAAAGAGAACTTTCAGAAGAATGAGGCTCTTTGATTCTGCCCAAGCTGCCCTCATTAAACACCACAGCTTCCTGGGAACGCACATCTTAACCCCTCAGAGGGACTGTCAGGAAATACTTTTAAGAGGGGGTGGGGGAGAGGGAAAGAAGAGAAAACCACTCCAGGTTCCTTTGTCAGGACACTTGCTTGAGGGTAGGGGTGACTCTCAGAGGCTGGGAAGCAGGAACAAGAGATGTGAGGCCCTCACCCTGTGAGGTGCTCAGTCCCCAGCTGAGTCAGGATGTCCAGGCTGTCCTCCCCACTCTCCTCCTACAACAGGTAGGAAGATGCAAAGTAACACAGAGAGACCCTGGTTCTGCACTCAGAGTCAGAAGCTTCGGGTCCTGGCCCCGTCACTGACTGCTGTGTTACTCCATCACACGCCTCGCCACCGCTGGGCAAAATGTCCCCGTCTGCAAAATGGCCATGGGGTACCCCTCTGCTCCCCGGAAGCTCTCATGATGACTAAGTGCATCTGGCTGCCATATGATCACAAAGCGTACACAGAGTAAGCGAGTGCCCTGCCTTTCCTGGGATACAAGACTTTTAGCGCCCAGACAAAGAAGGTCTGGAGTAAGCCAGAATGGTGGTCACCAGGAGGAGAGGGACCCACTAAGGGAAGAGAGACGGTCACAGAGTGTGGGATGGTGGCCAGTGTCTCCTGGGTTGGTGGAACTTAGTTTGCTTAGTATTCCTTCCCCTCGCCCTCGCCCTTGCCCTCGCCCTCCCTCTCCCTCCTCCCCTCCCTCCCTCTCTCCTTCTTGGCCATGAGGTGAGCATCTCCGCCTCCCATGATATTCTGCCTCAGCACAGGCCCTCAGGGATGGGGCCAAGTGATCTCGGACTGAACCATCGAAATCCACAAATAAGCCCTCTGTTCATTGACTAACAGAAGGTGCTAAGCTGTCTAGAGATGGCAGGTGATAACATGCACAGAGGATTCAGTACATGGTGGTGGGGGGGGGGGGGGCTTAGGCACAGGGAGAGGATTCCAGCCAATGAAAGCTCATAACTCTCATGAAACCTTGCCTGGCATTATTAGCATCCAAGTAGACAGTCAAATGGCCACAGCTGTTCTCCTTGGTTCTTCAAGAAGTTGACTTTGCAATATTAACCCTGCAACTGTGTCTTCTATACGCAGCCCAGGTGGCCACCAAAAGCATTCATACACTCATGCACACTAGCTTCAGCCAGTTGGCCCAGCCCTAACCTGTTCTTGCCCTCCAAACAGACACAGTTGACTCCCCCCAACAGAAGGGAACAGGTCCTACCCCTCACCCCCTACTGCCTTGTGGCTTCCTGGCCCATATCTCCACCTCCCTGTGGGCAGAAGCCTCTGGTTGTGTTTCCCAGAAGAGCCCTTCTCCCTATGAGGGCCCTCCTCACCTGGCTGTGCACCTTCTCCAGTTCTTCCTTGCTGACAGACGTCTTGCTATCCTCCATGGTGGCCAGAAGGAGTTGAACATCGGACAACAAAGCGTGCGTCCTCCTGAGGTCCCGGCGGAGACGCTTTTCTACATCAAAGTCACGATGGCCAATCTGGAAGCCAAAGAAGGGTCAGTTTAGGTGGAAAGCAGTGGCCAGGTCCAAGGTTCTTAGAACTAAGCTCCATGGGCTCAACTTGCCTCTTGCCTCTCACATGGCATAGTGACCCATATCTTTAAACCTAGCGCTGGAGAGGCTGAGATTGGGGGGGGGGACTGCTATAACCTGGAGGCTAGCCTGGGCTACAGTGTGAGATCCTGTCTCAAAACCATAAAACAAAACAACAGAAAGACTGTTTTCCACTCTCATATGCCAAGTGAGACCATACCAACCACCAGGATGCTACGAGACCGGACACTGGCTCAACCTCATGAGTGCTCAGCCCCAGGGGTGCGACAGGACCATGCACAAGACTCCATCGATATCACCATAATCTGGAAGGCCCGGCTCCTTCTGTTCTGTCCTCTGCATCAAGCTAAGAGCTTCCAGAGTCTTTGGAGAAGTTAGGACAGCCTAGGTTGCAGTAGTCATGATTCAGTGATTGTGTGTGTGTGTGTGTGTGTGTGTGTGTGTGTGTGTGTGTGTGTGTGCGTGCGCGCGCGCGCCAGGTGGGATCCACACAACTTCAACCCTGGCTACACTGTAGGTTGCTGTTGGGTCCATCATGACTCTCAGCAGACAGCAGCTGTGCTCCTCTCAAAGCCCTAAATGAAGCTTTTCTGTTTGTTTGTTTTGTTTTGTTTTTCATTTTTTTGAGACAGGGTTTCTCTGTGTATTTTTGGTGCCTGTCCTGGATCTCGCTCTGTAGACCAGGCTGGCCTCGAACTCACAGAGATCCACCTGGCTCTGTCTCCCGAGTCCTGGGATTAAAGGCATGCGCCACTGCTGCCTGGCCTAAATGAAGCTTTTGATGCTGAAGCAGGTTGCCTCTGCCAGTTTAAAGGCAGTCACAGGAGCTGTTTTCTATGGATGGAACTTTGCCCAGAAGTACACAGCTTCCTTGCCCTCCAGAACTCTGAATTTGTCCGGGAATAGTGGACAAGAAGGTCACAGAGATGCCACATCCTGTCTTGAGGACCAGGGCAGTGACTTGGATATCTTGATTCCCAGAGGCCAATGAGATGGGTACGGCCCAAGCATGGAATAGACAGCATCACACTGGGACCGTCCCTTAAAGACACAACAGCTTCTTTGCTCCAGGAACATCCAGGGACAGGAGCAAAGAGCATGGGGCCAGCCAATAGGTGGATACTGAAGAGATTAAGATGGGTGGCTCGTCATAGGGCAGTGGCTCTCAGCCTGTGGGTCTCAACCCCTCTGGGGGTCAAATGACCCTTTGACAGAGCTCGCCTAAGATCATTAGAAAACACAGATATTTGCGTGACGATTCATAACAGTAGCAAAATTACAGTTATGAAGTAGCAACAAAAATAATTTCATGGTTGCGGGTCATCCCAACATGAGGAATTGTATTAAAGGGTCACAGCTTAGGAAGGTTGAGAATCACTATCATAGGGACTTGCTTTTGCATGTTGCGGATCTCTGCCTGCCTGCCTGCTTGCCAGATGCCTGTCCTGGGATGCTAAGGATGCCCAAGAATATTCCAGAAGGGATATGGATTAAGAATGAGGTGGCTCAGGTTCTAAACCTCAACACACCATTTGCTGGCGGCAGGAACCCTGGCGGAGTCTGCTGCCATGGGAATCAGGGCTTCCAGTGTCTAAGAGGGTTTTGAGAAATCCCCATTCTCTGTGCTAAGATAAGAGGGGGATCAGGTGTGATAATGGGCAGCCAAGCACTCTGCGTGTCAAGTACTTTACAAACACAGGATTACAGTGGCCACGTGATGACCTGGCGTGTGCACTCACAGATCCGTGTCACGATTTCTCCACGGCTAGCTTGGAATTCTTAGAATACAGCCTCCTCCCTCGGATGGATGACTGTGGTAAATTTAAAACGCTGTTCTGTGGTATAAATACACAGCCAGAGGGGTGGAGCTCAGGAGCTCAGCTGAGCTGCGCTGCAGGCTGGGCACCCTGCTGCACTCGGTCACGTGTGGTCGTACTTAACTCCCGTGACAATCCCTTAAAATACACATTGTTATCATTATTGCCTTTATGAATGTAACGCCAGCTCACGCTTATGGGAAGTACTCTAAGCAGCAGGAAGGATTCTAAATGCTTTTTGGGATGGACCACGTTAACCCCTGTGATGAGCACATGGTCTTCATTGTACAGGGAGGAGTCTGAGGTGGATAAGGACGATTTCCCAGGGAAGACACAGAGTTGGGGTGTGAACCCAGCTGTTGGGGCAAGAAAGAGGCAATTTTAGCAAGTTCTATCACCAGGGAGGTGTGTTTGTTGCTGACACCTATCACCATCATCATCATCATCATCACCTACATCATCTTCATCACCACCACCACCACCACCATCATCATATTTCATGTATGGATATTTTGCCTGCACTATGTCTGTATACAGTGTACATGCCTGATGCTTGTGGAGGCCAGAAGAGGGCTTCAAATCCTCTGGAACTGGAGTTACAGACAGTTGTGCATTAAAATGTTTGTGCTAGGAATTGAGCCAAGGTCCTCTGCAAGGGCAGTCATTGCTCTCAACCATGGAGCCATCTCTCCAGCTCCGCACTTTAATTCTTACAAGAAGTTGCACTGAGATATGGAGGAACCAGGCACTGGAAGTTGGAACTAGCTGCTCCTAGCTAGTGGTACAGGGAAAGTGCCTCAGATAGAAGGCACTTCAGGAGCCAAGAGAGAGGATAGGTGGTCTGGCATGTGGACTGCTGTATGATTGACAAGGTGGCATAAAAACCTTGGGAGGTGTGGGCAGGTCACATAGTAAGAGATGGCCCGGGGCTCTCAGAACACAGGGACACGGAGGCATGCAGCAGGCAAGTGATCTGCCTGGACCACTGTGCTACCAAGTGGAAACACAGAGCCCAAGGACCTCAGCTTAGCATGGGTGTCTCTAACTACTGTTCCACTGTGTCTAGTGAGACTGTTTCCTGAAGCCCAGAGTCTCCTACTCCACAATCAGATTTTTACCGTGATGTGCATGGGTCCTGTGTGGTGAGATTTTGCTTGTGATCTAACAAATAAATGTCTGGCTCTGGGTTTTTATTACCAAGACCGATTAGGAGTCATGCTACAGTCCTGTCCTTGTTCTGCTGTCTGCTCTCCCTCTGGCTACAGCACGTAGCTTTCCTAAGAAACAAGTCGGCCTCGGTGATGGCACCGGCCACGTGGCTGGAACGGCTACAAGCATGGTCGCCACTGCAGCCCCTTGAAACGCTGGCATTGCCAGCCTTTTCCAGGGAGCTATGCAAATGGAATCCACAACAAAACCTCAGTTCAGGCTGTCCTTTCCATCTTAAGGAAGACAGGAAGGAGAAGAGAGAGCCTCCTTAGGTTGGCAGGAACTAAGCGTCATCCTGGGAGCTCAGTGATTCAAATTTGGATAAATGAGGTGAATGGTTGACCATGGAGTCTACGTGACTCAGGCTGTTGTGGAGGCTGCACTCAACTCCGTTTGTTTCCCCTTTATCATAAAGGCAAGTTGTTGGGGACAGTTGTGGAAACACACTCATGAGCACTATTAAATAGGATCCGGAAATACAGTTAGGGATAGATAATATGGCCACTTTATGGGTAGAGAAACTGAGGCTTAGAGAAAAATGCGTTGGGTAAGGTTACAGAGCAAAAGAATTTGTAGAGAGAGCCTGCCCACTATAATTAAGTACCAATTTAGAAAGTACAGTCTAAAAAGATGGTCCACAAGCATGGGTCTCTAGTTAATGGGACCTAGAACTTTTCACTTTTTGAAAAAATGGTCTCAAGTAGCCAAGTCTGGCCTTGAACTCTTGATCCTCCTCCTTCCACTGTCCAAGTGCTGGAATAACAGATGTTTGCCATCACACCAAACTCTGGTACTAGAAATTTTAGGCAACAGCCTGTTACTAGATACAAAAATGGCAGACTTCCAAATAGCACAGGCTGAGCTCATTTCAAATCCACTCATACCATTGGCCAACTACTCAACCCTGGACAAGTCACCTCACTTTCCTCAGAGTCTTACATCTTTCAGTTGTATGAAGCACACACCATTGATATAAAAAAAAAAAAACCTAAAGTATCTTAGAAAAATTATAACTGAGTCCTCATAACTAGCCACTAAAAGAATAGAAATACAACTGAGAGTTTCTGACCTAGCAGTAGAACCCAAGGCAACATAAAAACACCAGTTTATCAAAAAACAGAAATGGTATGAAATAAAGACAGGGACCCAAAATTAACAACACTAAACACAAAACGAGAGAACACAAATAAGTTCAAATAGACTAGCCACTCCAATAAACGTAAACGAGCTAAATTCTCCTATGAGAAGTTTGAGACTGAAATATTGGATTAAAACACGCCATCTGTTTAACGGTAACGTGAGCTAGTCATGCACACACTTACACACAATTGTAGAGGTTGAAAATAAAGGGAGGAAGGGGACCCTGAAGACAGACTGACTGGAAGAATCAAGTACAACAAAATAAGGTGAAAATCACTCAATAAGGAGAGAAGAGGTCAGACTTCATGCTTGATGGTAATAACAGAACCTAGGCCACGTCAAGCATTTGTCCTGCACCCCAAAGGGTTAAAAAGCAAACTATTTCAAAATTTCAAGAATTACATATCCAAACTTTAAAAAAACCACTGTCCTGAAAACAGATGCACACTGATTTTACAAGGTGAGTTCGATCTTGAATAAACCCTACATAGAAAGAAAATTATAAATCTGTATCATGATTTCAGTTTCTAAAAATCCCTTAAGTGTCACTATCTAAAAGGGCAACTGCTAACAATCTGGTGACTGGGGGAGAGAGATGGGGCATCAGTTAAGAGTGTGCACTGCTCTTCCAGGTGACCCAGCTTCGGTTCCCAGCACCCACATGGTGGCTCACAACCACTTGTAATTCAGCTCTGGGGTATCTGGTGCCCTCTTCTGGCTTTCTCAGGCATTGCACTTACATGCACATTCTGACCACAGAGACACAACACACACACACACACACACACACACACACACACACACACACATCATCATCATCATCATCATCATAAAAATAAATCATAAATAAAAATAAAATAATCATAAATAAATAAATAAACCATAAATAAAAATCAGATGGCTAAGTAAATGGATGTGGGAGATGGATCAGAAGACACTACATTCCTTCATGGGTGAAGCCAGTATGAGGGAGCTCTCCCCGGAACAGCAGCATGTGGTGAGAGTCAGCAGTTTTTTTTTTTTTTTTCAGTTCTAGAAAACTCGAAGATGCATTTAACCAGACAAGAGATACTGATAACACACACACTGGAAATAGTCACATGACTAAACCTTAGCCGCATTCCTGTTAAGACAGGTGGATCAGAAAAGCGCATTTCCTAATATGTCCTTATGCAGCTGAGACCAGAGGGCCAGTGAGTAAGTTGGAGGGGAACCAAGAGCAACAGTGTTCTCATTCTCAAACGGTAAGATCTAAAACAATGGACAGGAGAAATATTACAAAAGCCCCGGGTTCAGCAAGTTTGCCAGATACCAAGCTAATGTCGCGCGAGGCTAATGTCTCCTGGGCCACAGAGGACGAGTTAATAAAAATCAGAACACAGAAACAAGCACTGGTCATAAAGCTGTGGAAACCCAGAGTTTCCTAGAAATGAATCTAATTCAAAGGTGTGTGACCTGTGTGGTTAAGAGAGAAACACTGTAACAAATAGACAGGATGGGGACTGAGGACAAGGACACAGTGTTACAATGTTTCAATATGGGACTGTCAGCTGTCTTCAGTCTAACTCGCAAATCAGCCATTCCACTGGATCAAGTTTCCTCGTGGAGTCCTTTTCCTTATTTTATTTATTTATTGTTATTTTATGTGCATGGGTGTTTTGCCTGCATGTATGTCGGTATATCGTGTGCATGCCTGGTGCCCACAGAGGCCAGAAGGGGCCTTTGGATACCCTGGAAGTAGAATGGTAGACAGCTATGAGTCACCGTGTAGGTTATGGGACTAGAACTTTGGTCCTCTGCAAAAGCAGCAAGTGTTCTCCAGCCCTTGAAATCTTTTCCTGTTGAGTTTTCTGTGTACGGTACATGGAGTTCCATGCAGGCCAGGTTAGCCCTCTTTCACTCAACTACACCCCAACCTGCGTCTTATGGCTCCTGAAGACTCAAGAAGCCTAGATTATTTTCAAAGACAAACAAGATGCCCCATGTTGCAGTTTCTTTCCTGCTACAAGTGATAAAAACCATGACCACGAACAACTTGATGAAGGAAGCATATATACATGGCTTATGCTTCCAGGTTAGAGTTCACCATTAAGGGAAGTCAGAAACTTAAGAATTTGGAGCAAAACCATGGAGAAATATTGCTTGCTGACTCACTCAGGCCCATGTTTTGCTAGCTTCTTTCATATGGCCCAAGACCACCTGCCTCGGGAATGGTGCCACCCACAGGGGGCTGAGCCCCCCTACATCAATTGACTGTGGAGACAATTCCCCACACGCATGCCCACAGGCCAACCTGATCTGGGTCATCCCTCAGGTGTGACTCTTTCCTAAAGGGATTTGAGGCTATGTGGAATTGACGGTTAAAGCTCTCTAGGACACTGTAGTTGATCGAAAGCTAGTCAGTAGGACCAGATTGTGCAGAGACAGAGAGGAGAATGGGGACCTGTACACACCCACGGCACAAGGGATGGTGGAAACGAAGATTAGCCACAGCAGAAAAACATAGGTATCGACTTCATACCACACACCCACGTAAGGTGGATTAGAACCTAATCATATACATAAAAAGAAGCTTAGAGCTTTAAGACATATGGCGACATACGAGCTGAAATTAAGGAAAGCAGCTTTCAAGTAGAGAAGCCTGAGCCATAAATGTGGTTAATGTGGCTGCATTAAAGACTTTATTAACTGAGGGACGTTATAAACAAGGTGGGGATTAGCCACAGGGCAGAGCTATTGAAACGTGTATTATCAGAAACTGATTAGCATTTATACGCAGATCATGAAGCGATTCCCAGAAAATACAGAAGCCAATTGTCGTGATCGGATGAGTCATAGGGAGGAAACCGCACAGCTTCCCCAGGGACGAGGGACCCGAAGTGTCAGCTCTGGGAAATTACGGTACACACTCTGGCTGTGCCACGGCTGTGGGGTGCGGAAAGGGCGGTCCTCAGACAGCAGAGGGGACAGCAAAAGCTGCTGGGATGGCTTGGGAGAGGGGACAGTTTGGGGGGTAGTAATTCTACATGTGTACCTCTCCAGGAGCCATTTTCCCTCAGCCACGCACCCTGGAGATGACGCAACTCCCACGTGTGCTAAGACATGAGTGAGGATCAGGCTGTGGTTTTTGTTTCTGAAGGGGCGGACCACAGGGCACACGTGGACAGAAAAAAAGGTTTACTGAGGTCAGAACAGCAGCGAGGCAGCTGAATTCTGGTTGTAGGAGGCCTTGTGGACTGAACTCAAAACCAGCATGGGAGGGACAAGGAACAGCATATTAAAGACCTCATGTACCTACGTGGGACCAGTGTCAGGCTTTTTTCGGTGGGGGAGTTTAAGGAAGAGGCCACCAAGAGGCCTCCAGATGGTTGGGAACCATTTCGTCCCTAATCAGGTGGTCATCCAACATGGCGGTGTGTTTGTCTATGCGATCCCGTGACTGAACACACACCACCCGTGGTGTTTGCCTGCTTCTCTGTAGGTTTGGCAAAGATCACAATGAGAGCATTAACACGATGCTGGCGTCATAGTTAGGATGCAAAGCGCTTCTCGAGGCTCAGGTGCAGAAGGCTCATGCCTTGCTGCTGCTGGTGCAATTCAGATGTGGTCTGGTCCTGGGGATGCTAGCCTCCGTCACTGGACCCTTCCTGAATGGGCACCTAGGAGGCAGGGTCTGGTTGGAGGAAGTGGTATACTGGGGAGAGGTGTGTCCTGGAGGTCTTGTCTGCACCCCTTTTTTCCCTCTCACGGTCCTGGCTACCCTGTTTGCAGCTCTGTTGCTACGCCCCATGTTCCCTCCAAAATATTCTTCCTCAGCACACGTGGGCCCAAAACACAGTGGCAAGGGACCTGACGAGCAGTGGTGGGCTGCAGCTTGGTGCTGGGACATAGCCTTCCCCCCTGCTGCTCAGCACAGTTTGTCACAGTAGCTGGAGGGGCTCCCAGCTCTGAAATCAGAGTGGCTCTGAGCTCTCCTGGCTGCTGTGGACAGCTGTGGCTCTCCGGAGGGAGGTGGCGGGGAGTGATGTGTCCAGGGACCCTCGGAAAGGTCTGTCGACTTTTCTGACTGGCACCCTGGGGCCGGTGCTGAAGGCAGCTCCTGGTGGCCGGCGTGCTCGGCATCCCACAATGTAAGACTGTCCCCACCACAAGAAGCCTCATTTTCAGAATGCCACGGAGATATGCCGAGGACCCCAGGACAGTGTCGGGGTCAGGCCGAAGGAGCCCTGCTGCTCCCCATGCTTAGATCCATTAACAAGCTCACCTAAATGCAGACAGACAGACAGCAGAGGTGGAAGGGACATCTGCCTGGCTCCCGGTCTGGTTACTTCCCTGGAAAAATCGTGACCCTACAAGATAGCTGTAGGCAGGGTGGCCGTCCATAGCCACCCTGTTAGTGCAAGCACTGTCCACCGCTCACTCCCGGCAGCCACTGAAGGTCACACGGCTTCATCTGCCCATCCCAACTGAGGCCACGCTGTTTACTCCTTTGTGTGTTCTAAGAACTCGGCTGGTCACCAGCTCCGGAGATTTTTGATGAGCCAGTGAGCGTGGGCAGGAAGGATGGGTGGAGAAGAATGTGCTTTGGGGACACAGGGATGAACAAGGAAGCTCGCCCTGCAGCTGGCTTTCTCAAGCACCTGCCCATCTCAAAAAACCAAGAGGTGGGTTTTGAATACCCTCGAACGTCCCCATCCTGTGTGCCTTACCTGGTCACACAGGGTTCCAATCAAGCCTTCCAAATCACGCTTCTCATGGACAGCCACCTGCTTTTCCTCATATTCCTGCTCCAACTGCATCTCCAGCTGACGGAGCTGTGGGCATATGGAACAGAGGTGAGCACCCTTGAATGAGCCCTGGGCAGTCACTTGGAGCCTGTGGCCATACTCACTGCCTAGAGAGGGGTAAGTCTGCAAGAAAGCATGGGAACTAAAAGCTTGGGACCTGGGCAAGAAAAGGGAGAGCTGGCCAGATTGGGGGACCTCATACCCTATACTGTGAAGTGTGTAGTCATGGACACTGCTTGAATATTTTCTAGTCTTAGCATGCTGTGTGTGTGTGTGTGTGTGTGTGTGTGTGTGTGTGTGTGTGTGTGTGTGTGTGTGTGTGTTTACACGTGTGCATGCAGGTACATGTTGACCTGTGTGTGCACTTGTGAAGGTCAGGATTTGATGTTTGGTATTTTCTTTTATCATTCCGTTCTCCACATTATACTTTTGAGACATGGTCTCTCACTGAATCTTGGGCCTGCCCATTGACTAGACTGACTGGGCTTGTGTCTGTCCCCCAGAGCTGGAGTCAAGGAGGCTCCACTCACACCCAGCTTCGTCCAGTGGGTGGGGGAGATCGGAACTCAGGTCCTCACGCAGGTCCAGCATACACTTTACCCACCGAGCCATCTCCTCGCCCCCATCACTCTGAACGCTTAAGGCTGTGTAGCACATGGCAGCCAGCCTGCTAAGATACACATCTGTCTCCCTGGCTTTCTATTATGACGAGGCTGTAAAGTACAGCAGCCCAGGTACACACAAGGGTATCTGGTGTTATGGACTATGTGAGTTCCCTCCAATCTCTAGTGGGATGGGGTTTAGAAGGGGCCGTTTGGTAGGGTTGGGGTCAGAGGAGGCTATGAGGGTGGCACCCCCAGAAGGATCAGAAAACCCAAATCAACCTCTCTTCCCCCTTCTCCTTCTCTCCCCTTGACTCCCACATAAAGAAACAACGAGAGGTGGCCATCTAGAAGATGGCCTTCACCAGAACCTCTCATTCCAGCACTTTGTCCTTAGACAACTGCAGGGTCCCAGATCAGTGCTTAGTGAACACCCTCATGGGAGCCCCAGGCTACACTGTTTCCCTCCAACAGCTCCAACTAAGAAATCTGACTGATAGCACTTCATTTAATTTGCAACTCATTCAGATTTCTCAGCTATGACCCGACACACAGGGAATCCCTTACTTGAACACCCCAGCAGAAGTGGGCCGGCGGCTCTCCACGAGTCTTGCTCACAGGTGAGACCCCAAACCCCTTCACCCTCCACTTGTGCCGGGAGCCCTCTGTGGTCCTTGTCACAGACCAGTAACCAGGCACTCCTGAGAGGACCTGGTGTCCCTTCTGCCACCGAACACCCACAGTATCCCCTGGGGTCACTAACTCACGCACCCGCTTCTGGCAGGACTGACGCACGTCCTCCATCTCTTCCTCCCGGTCCTCTCGGTCCTTCTGATGCATCTGCTTCATCCTTTCAATCTCCAACTCAAACCGCTGGCGAAGCTGGGGCCACGAGACAGGATAGAGCAGGAAGGTCCACAGTGCGTCCCCAGCCCTCCACACCCCCCAAGGCACCTCCATCCTCAGCCCTCCACACGAGCAAGGATGGAGCATGAAGGTTCACACCCATATCCCCAGCCTTCTACTCCTCCCTCAACACCCCTGATCCCAGCCCTCCACACCACCCTTGGCCTTCCTCTCTAATATGTGCCTCAGAGTGAAGTCACCTCCCTCCTACCCTGAAATGTCAAAAGAAGCAGCCGAACACCCAGCACTGCCTCTGCCCCTTCCCGTGGTGACACTCATCCATCACCTTCTCCCACTGGGTTTAGGTGCAGCCTAGGAATCCTTTGTGATGTCCTCCGAGGGACCTAAAGTTCTTCTGTTTTACAGGTTTGCAACTGTTGTCTCTAATGTGGAGACACAGGCAGGAAACAGAAGAGCGAATCTGGACTCCTAAACTGTTGGGGACATGAAGATGCTAATGGACAACGTGGCCAGAGCCCCTGGCACAGCCTGATTAAATTAGCCAAGATCGCAGCTCCTTCCCCCAATCTCACACATTGACGGGGGTTATGGGAGGATGATCCCAGTCAAGGGGCAGTGTGAGGAAATATAATATTTCTTTTTCATTTTTTCCAGCCTCTGGGGCACTCCTGACATCTGCAATACCATTTATGTCAAGCTTATATGAGTTAACATAAAACTCCCAGGGAAAAGTGCCTTATTGAGATCAATAAATATCTGCCTGGCCTCTGTGGGGATGTGTGCTGTGCAAGGGTCCAGGGCTACTGTAGCATCCATCCAGCCTCTCTTCCCCTCCCATTTAAGGTTGGGGAGCTGGAAAGGTGTGCCGTCTCCACCCTTAAGGTCACAGTTCCTGTTTCTGCTTGTAACCCTCAGTGGTGCTGGGAAGAATCTTCAAGAAATGATAACGGGGATTTTCACAAATGCCTGCTGGCTTGTTCGCGCTCACAGACACCTCCTGGGGCTGTCACACAGTGCTCCGCCAGCCTCGGCAGTCCCACCTGTGTGGACTGCTGTGATCATCATCAATTAGACCTGGGGCTTGAGGATGGGCAAGGTTCCTGTCAAAGAAGGGAACCATCTAGAAACCCCAGGGCTTGCCTGAGATTCTGTGGACAATGAGATGACTCAGGAGTTCATCTCAGTTGCTAGTCTTTGGGTGTCCCATGACTCTGCGGCCTCTGGGCTTTTGCAGGAGCAGTCTACCTTGCCTGGAACCCTTGTTCAGCCGATCCTGACTCAGCTTTCAGCTTTCACTTCCTCCAGTGAGACTGTCTCCCTCCGCCCTTCCCAAGACTGGATCAACATGCTCAAGGTGCATTTGATCCCAGCAGGACTCTGAGCTTTGGGGAGGCAGAGAGCACCAGATTCCAGATTGGCTCCTCCACCTGTGAGCTGTCTGATGCAAAGGAGGTGTTTAATAACATGACCAGCTAAGGAAAGCTCGCTGGTCACTCATGAGCCTCCGAGGCCCTCCAGACCCTGACCCTTCACTTCTCACACCTGGGTCTCCCATCCATGAGGCTGAGCAAGACACAATGGATGGCACCCTGGCTTCAGTGGGAATGCACAGAGTCCATCCGCTCTAGCCACTCATGTTGCCCGGCACGTGTTCCCACAGTGGGCAGGGTTTAAACAGAATTGTCCATTACAACATCCCTCCAAGGGAAATTTAGAGCTAAGCACTGGAACTGCCCTCCCCTTGAAAAACTGGGTGGCTTTTACCCCAGGGACAGAACAACACATGTTCCCGCACTCCCGGTATCTCTCTGAAAACCAGGAATTCTAGCGCTGACACTATTGTATAAGGACGTGGGTTTTGTGTATCACTGTCCCCATCTCTCCTCGGTGTCCATTTTTGGATGGTGGATTATTTGGGGGGTGGGGTGGGAACAGGGTCTGGTATTATATCCCACACTGACTTCAAACTCTCTATGTAGCCCAAGCTGGCTTGGAATTATTCACAGTGGTCCTTCTGTCTCAGTCTCCAAGAGTGTGGGGACAAGTGTTATCTACCACACCAGCCCTTAGCATCTACTTTAATGTGTGCTTTTCTGGCTCACATCACTGTATTTAGATTTTTTCTGTTGCTATGCATGTGTCTCCTAACTGCCTCAAGCACCATGGCTGGGCATGTACCTAGAAACCAGATGTTTCCCTGAGGACATTCTGTGGGAGGACCCAGCCCAGGGCAGAGCATCCCCCCAGACAGGGAGGGTCTCTTTACCTGCTCCAGCTGCTTAATGGTGTTTTCCTGCTGGCTGTGAACCTTCTCTTGCTCAAGGGCGTTGGACTCCAGCTCCCAGACCCTCTCTTTCAGGCTGGCCACACCTTGTTCCCCGACAGAGGCGCAGCCCAGCAGCTCCCGCTTCTGGCCCTGCAACTTTTCCACCTCCTGCTTCAGCTTCGAGGCTTCCTGCTCTTTTTGCTACAAGGAAAGGGGCCGAGGGATGGAGTCACATGGCCACAGTCCTCTCTCGGGAGGACTCCACCCTCTACATACAAGCCTAGCTGTATCCCAGGCTCAGCACCATTAGACAGGGTCTCCCCATGCAGTGCCTTGGTTCCCCCAGTGCTGAGATGACAAGCTTGTATTATCACTTGGGTCCCCACTTTGCCCTCCTCCACTCTTGGTCCCTCACAGTGTCCCTGGGGACACCAGCATGGCTGTGCTTTGAGAAGGTTCCGAGGGACACTGATGGGTGGAGGGAGAGGGACTTTCCTGCAGTTAGATCTCATTGCATGTAAGGAAAGTGTTTATCTTGCTGAAAAAGGAAGCCAGGCACCGTGTTAACCCTCAAGGAGGCAGAGAGCCCAGAAGTGACTCATCCAATAAGGAAGCTGGGTCCCAGGGCAAAGTCTGCAGGGTCTCTCATGAAGAGGATGCATGGCTGGCTAGAAAGTACACGGGTCACCTGAGGGGTCAAAAGGAGCCACTGAAGGATAAGGAGCAGCTGAAGGATAAGGAGCAGTTGAAGGATAAGGAGCAGCTGAAGGATAAGGAGCAGCTGATACCACAAACTCCCTCTGTATCAGAGACTGCTTGGGGCCGGCCATGGCTCTTGGACCAGGTCGTGACTGACTCCATTTTATTTTCTGTTGAGCCCCTGGGACCTCCCAGGTAGCACTGGGACCCTGAGCCTATGGCTGGAGCACAGTGCTGTGGAGGATTATCTGCCTGACATCATGACTTTGTGGGCATCATAAGGACATGCTGGGAACAGTGGTGCCAGCTGTCTGGTGGACCATGGCACCCACTCAGGGCTTTCTTCCACTGTCCGCTGCAGCAGGTGCATGCTGGGGATTCTAGAGAGTCCGGACAGCTGTGGGTCCCCCCTGTTTACCTCCAGCTGCTGCTGTAGCTGGCCCAGCTCCCAGCGCACGCCGCTGTTCTCCTGGTTCACTTTCTCCCTGAGGGTCTTCTCGAACATCAACTCCCCCAGTGCCTGGGCCAATTGCAAGTCAAACCTGCTCAAGGCAGAATGGATACATCAGGGAACTGTGGTAGGGGAAACTGAGGCAGGGTCAGGTGTGAACAGAGTTATGAGTGTGCTGAGAAGCGTGAGATGAGAAGGGGGGAATGAATGGGGTTTTCTCGTGTGAGGTTGTTGTTGGGGTGGGGTGGGGACCTGGAACATCATGGAGGGAGTTTCAGGTTTCTAGAGGATTTCCATCCAAATACTGATAAAAACATAGAAACAAAAAATTAAAGTATATTTAAAATTAAATAATACATGTTTATAATAAAGAAGATGGATATTAGAAAAGAAGAGGGTGAGAGAGAGACAAAGGAGGAGAAACAGAGTGGAGAGGTAGGGAGAGAGGGAGAGAGAGATAGGAGAGAGAGAGGAGAAGAGAGAGAGAGAGAGAGAGAGAGAGAGAGAGAGAGAGAGAGAAGCTAACCCACCCTGTTGGACACCCCCTTCCCTCTCCAGGCCAGGTTTGCATGTAAATGTCCCTGACCAGCGTGTCGACACCCATGGCTCTATTTTCTGTTCCATGACACAGGGGCCAGCACCGGCTGCAGATGATACCAGGCCCTCACAAGCCACCTGTCCCTTAGGTGTGCCCTAGCAGCAGCAAACAGGAGGTGGTCTGTAGGTCACCAGAGGAAGGAAGGGCCTCCTGCCCCTCCGCAAAGGTGACCACCATGGGGCTGCCTTCCTGGCCCTTCACACTGGCTCATTGGTCCCGGCTTTCCACCTCGTCAGCAGCGGTGAGCACCCCTCCAGAGAGCTTTGCCAGGCCACAGTGAGGGGTGACTGAACCACACACAGGAAGCCCCCGCTGCTCCAACAATCCTGGATTGTGGCCGTTTAGTGACAAGAAGGACTCCCGGTATAAGATCCTCACACCAGATGTCATTCATAGCCCCAGGCTCCCAAGAAAGCCAATCAGAATTCTCTTTAGAAAGCCCTCCTGCTGGAACAGCCAAGAAGCTTTCTGATTGGCTTTCGGTGACATCATTTCGGAGGCTCTGTCTGCTGCCCCTGAATCTAGGGGAGATCAGGTGGTTCCAATGTCCTGGGCCTTGGGCTGGGCTCTCTGCAGTCTTTAAGACAACATGGCAAGTGGGTCATGGGGAGCTACAGAAGGATGAGGAGCAGCCAAGTGAAGAAGGGACAGAAGTTTGAAGAGGTGTAGTGGTTGAGTCCCAAATCCCACAGTGGCAGAAGTGAGCTTGAGCCCAGCTTCCCCAGCCTCATAGCCAATCTACCTGTCCATGCCCTGGGGCAGGTGAGGCAAGACAGCAGAGGGCAGAGAGTGACCAGTGTTCCGGAGGAGTTCTTGTCTTAACCAGACACCTGATACCAAAGAAAGGCTCCGATAGACCCCCAACTTCTAGAACACACACACACACACACACACACACACACACACACACACACACACACACACACACACACTTCACTCCACACAGCATGGGCCTGCTCAGACCCCAATCTCTAGCAGTTGCAGGGTCAGTAGCCTGACACACGGCTCACTCCCAGAGCTCCATCAGCTCGTGGAATGAAGCTTTATGACCCGTGCATGGGGTATCCATGGCAACAAGGCTCCAGCACCAGATGGAACCATTCTGGACCACTTGAATGCAGGAGCCAAGATGGGGATGGAGCTGTGAATGATGGAGGCAGCTGGGCCTGAGGCTGAGACAACCCTGGAGAGACACACCGGAATGCCTCTGGCTTCTGGAACATTCTGTCACTAGAGGTGTTCAGTCAAAATGTTCACTGAACTGAGACTTCAGCCACCCTGTGGGCTCCTTATAAACTGCTCATCTACCTGCATGCCCCATCTGTGTCCACAGCACTGAAGCATCAAAACCCACTTCTAAGACAGAGCTGATAGTGGACCCCACAGGCAGGCTAGTTCAGAGAGAAACAGAAAGGCCAAGATGAGGGATGAGGCCCTTTCCAGGGCACATCATACGAGTCCCTGAGGTGAGGGAATCCATAAGCCAAGTGCCCCAAGCCAGTGCCTCTCTGTCAGAGAGACGACATCCTCGGGAGGAGCAGAAATCCCGGAAGAGGACCAAGAAGCTGGCAACTAGGAGAAACCCGGGAGGTGTCGGTGTGTTTGGCGCTCAGCTTATAGCTGCAGCCTTTCAGGGCCGTTCTCCAGTGGCCTGTGGCTGTCTCGGAGGCCTCGAAGAACCAGTAATTCCGTGGCTCAGAGAGGTGCTTGTCGTTGGACAAGGTCAGGTAGCAAGTGGTTGATAGGAAGTGGGGCCGTTTTCCCTGTGCTAGAGTGAGGGCTCGCTCGCATGCCCAGGTGGGTGTAGACTCGCCCGTGTGCCCAGGTGGGCGTGGAAAAGAGAAGAGAACAAAGGATCAGTGAGGAGAGGCCAGCCTTCCTTTGGGGAGTGTGTTGATGATGTGCAGAAGGTCATTTTGGGATGAAGATGCCACCCCAGGGAGCTCCAGATAAATGCAAGCAGGAGGCAAGCGTGGAGCTGGGTGTGGTGGCTCACACTTTAGTCTCCAGAGGTGGGTCTCTGAGTTCGAGGCCAGCCTGGTCTACTGAGAAATTTCCAAGGGGAGGGTGGGGGAGGGGAGGGGGGAAGATGAGGAGGAGGAGAGGGAGAGCAAGCAGAGAATTCAGAATCCACAGTACCACGGTATGTGACCCTGCCTGCAGCCTCGTGGAAACCACGCTGCTCAGCAAAGCCAAGGCCGGCCCGTCTGGGACACATGTCAACATTTCGTCATGCCTGTCCTCACAGAGGCAGCATTCCCCCCACTCCGCAGCCTAGGGACTCACTACTGTGGGGGCAGGCCCTCCTGAACCCCTTTACCCTCACCAGGAGAGAGTCCCAGACCAGACATGGTCAAGCTCAAGGATGGAGAGCCACAGCTGCTGGAGGGTGTAGGTCTTGGTACCAGCCCTGGCTCCTCTATTGCCTAACCGTGCCAGCATCTGCACAGGAAAGAGCATGTCATGGAGTTCTCTGCACAAGCGAGAGACCTCACACCAATCTACAGGTGGGCATCTGGGGCCCAGAGGCATTGAACGCCCAGCTCAAACACCCACAGCTAGAAAGAGAAACAGACATGAATTGGTATGGTCTCCTGAGAGGCACGGACTCTCGCCCATCACGCTAGCTCACACACTCACTCTCCACAACAAACCCCTTGATGAAAGGAGATGCTGGAGCCCAGAGAGGGTAAGTAATTTCCCTAAGGTCACAGAGCCATCGGGAACAAGGCAGGCAGGGTGACAGTTCCTGGCTGGAGTCTTGAGAACCTGACAGGAATTCCACGTGGGGGTGGGAATGAGGGTCTGCACTCTGTGCTCAGGGATGCCGGACAGAAGTGGGGGTGGCTTTGGAAGAGCACCCAGAGACCTCAGTGTCCCCCCTCACCATGCAGCCCTCCCTGGTGGGACATGACTCACTTCTTCTGCCTCTTCTCCAGCTCATGATTCCTGCTCTGCTGGTTCTCCAGCAGCACCCGTGTGTCATCCAGGTCCCAGGTGAGGTGGTGGCACTTCCTCTTCAGTTGGTGGGCCGTCTTCTTGGCCTCTTCATAAGCACTCTGCAGCTCCCCGAGCTGTGGAAAGAAGGGAGTCAGAGGCTCACGGGCACCTCCGTTTCCAAGGTCAGTGTCATGTAAGGAAATGGATGCTGGGAGAGAGAGGACCTCGGAGGAGGTCCTGCCAGCTCCAGGAAGCTGCTTCCCCGAACTCCACTTTGCTGGGAGGACACATGGGGTGAGTCCTTCAGACCCTTGGTGATCTCTCTTGCTTTGCCTCAGCCAACCTCCTGCCCTCACCTGGAATTCATTTTGCCCTGCCCTGCCCGGACTGGACACTTTGACCAGCGGGTGACTGATGGATCTGTCATCCTGAGAGACGTCTGAGGATTAGCTACAGAGTCACCAAGAGGGCACTCCCAGCCAATCCGAGCAGAGCAGGCACCCTCCAGGGGGCCCCCACGGGAGCGGGCACTGGGCACCGCAGGGTCCCTGGTGCGGGCTGAAGCTCACAGCTTACTTGGGGCCTTGAACAAACAGGAGCAGCGGAGCCTCCTGCATCTTCCGAGAACGCGGCTCCCCCCCACGGTGTCCTAGTTTAGATCTGGGGAGGAGTGGGACTCGGCACACATGCTTTGAAGAAGTGGCCTCATTAAAAGGCTTGCTTTAAATAAGCAAAACTCTGAGTTAATGAGGCCTGTAATTCTAAATTCCGTATTTGAAGGCAAATGGGATGTTTTCTTACGTTCCGCTGCTCGGAGAAGGTCGCAGGTTTATGACTTTTTAATGTCGTGTGAATATCCCCCCTTCCTTGGGGAAGGCGACCCGACTTTGAAATTTGTTGTTACAGACCCAGGCTGAACCTTTCTTTGTCGCTCTGTGTGTGGACACCCAGGGTGTGTCACTTAAGTGTCACACTGCTGTGTCCATCTTGGAAGTGATGGTTAAAACCTCCACCAGCAACACCATGGCAGGGTGGGGAGGGGGCTCACCCTACCTCTCTTCCACAGTGATCGTCCCTCAGCCCCCTCCATAAGATATCACAGTTTATTTTCCTCTCACTTTGAAAATATAGTAGCAGGACCAGCCAATAGAAGCCTCCACCCTGTGGCTCTTACAGAGAATGGGAGGGACCAGGAAATAGATTCCTCTACACGGCAAGGGTGTAGTTCAGACTCAGGGAGCACGGCCAAGGGATTCCCACCTTAGGCTGTGTTAGCCGAGGCTTTGGAGGAAGTGGTGTTTGAGGTCTTAGGTAGGATGAGGATATGTAGACAGAAGAAAAGTTCCATCCTCTGAGCCACTGAAGCTGCACCACATGCAAAGGCCCTGGGCTGAGGGAGAATTGGGCGTTTGGGGAGGAGGAGGAAATGGGTGTAGCTCTGGGATGGGCTCTGAGGCTCAGATCTTCCAAATTCATCCTCCTAACAATTTGGAAGGGATTATCTTACCCTTTCAGACAGAGCTTCATGTGGCTCAGTCTTGTCTTGAACTTGCTGAGAAGCCAAAGCTGGCCTCAAATGCCCAGTCCTCCTGTTTCTACCTCAGGTGTGAGGGTAGCAGGTATGAGCTACTACACCTGGCTCAGGGTGGTAATTTGAAACCGACCGTGGGAGTGTTTATGCCATGGAAATTAGCCAGTGAGGTGCACTGTGGGAGTCTGTGCCATTTACCTTCACCCCAAGGGTAGAGTGCTAGCCAGAGAGCAAGTAGCAAGTCAAGAGGCGGGGTGGTCGCAGTGAACATCCAGACAGGAGGAGAGAAGATGCTATGACATTGCTAACAATGAGCTATGCCATCAGGAAAGAAATGGAAGTTTGGCCTGGTGGTGCAGGCCAGTCATCCCAGCTGGCTGAGGAAGGAAGATCGCAAGTTCAAGGCCACCCTGGATAACACAGCAAGAGGCTGTCTCGAAAACAGTGAAAAGGAAGCCAGTGATATACAGCTTCGTAGCCGAGTGCTTGCCTGGCACAAAGGGCAAGGTGGTATTCAATTTCCAGCACTAAGAAATAAAGGGGGTAGGGTGGGGGGATTCCAGGAGGTTAGATATGCAGTTGACACAAAGGCAGAGTGGTAAAGGTAGACACCGGCATCATGGTGGCCCTGCCAAAAGTGAGAGCAGTCACCAGATCCCGACCTCTCTGCAAGGAGCGATATGTGAATAGACAGACAGACCCCGGTGATGGACCTTGGGCTTGGATCCTCAAAGAGAGGTACCCGGAGAGAAGGAGAAGAGGAGTGGGACCCCCAGCCTGTGGTAGGGAAGTCTGAAGCCATGGATGAGGGAGGAAACAATTGCCCAAGAAATCTAACCCAGGCCTCTTCCAAGCGTATTTCTGACAGGGATCCCTCTGTGGGGGTTTGGTTGAAAACGGCTCATAGGGAGTGGCACTATTAGGACGTGTGGCCTTGTTGAAGGAAGTGTGTCACTAGGGTGGACAGGGAGGGTTCAAAAGCCCAGGCCAGGCCCAGTCACCCTCTTCCTGCGGATCATGATGTGGCTCTCAGCTACCTCTCCAGCACCATGCTCCCTGCCATGACGATAATGGACGAAGCCTCTGAGACTGTAAACAAGCCCTCGGATAAATGCTTTTTATTATAGGAGCTGCCTTGGTCATGGTGTCTCTTCACAGCCATCGAACTGTGACTAAGACAGTGGAGCAGTTCCAAGAACGTGCTGTGGTTGAGTTTACAGAACAGAACTTAAGGCCCAGATGCCAGTGATTTCTGCTGGAGCCAGACCTCTGGCACGGATCTAGCTTCAAGGCCGGTGGGCACCCTTCCCTCAGAACACACACCCTGTGTCCCACGGGGACAGCATTTATTCCAGTAGTAGAGCACAGGACTGGACAACACAGTGGCCTCTCACCACGGAGGGGAGAAGGCACCAGCTCCCAGGGCCTCAGGGGTCCTGACCCCCCACCTTCTCTCACCTTCTGCTCCAGCTCCGTCCGGGCCTTCATCTCGGAGTCCAGTCTCTCCTCACACTGCTGAAGGCGCTTACGCAGGAAGTCATTCTCCATCTGAGCACAGTCCAGGCGCATCTGCCACTCATCCGCTGTGTCACAGGGTCGAAGGCTGGTGAGTGAGGCGGCAGATGTGGGCTTCCCCTCACTCCTTAGCCCTGTGCTTGCTACTTCACAATACTCCTGGCCCCTGAGCCTCAGCCTTGGTTTCAGGGTAAGGACTGAAGTCCAAGTCAAAGAAAAGGCCGAAGCTCCCTCCAGGCAGCCTGCCCTGACCACATCCAGCTGTCTAGAGTGTTGACTTCACAGCTGTAAGGTCAAGTCCCTTGCACTCTATAGGCTGCCCAGATGTTTCTCCCATAATCTGTAAGGCAGGGAGCTCTCTAGTCATTAGTGTTTCCCCCAACATCATCTAGAAGTTTTTCATACAGAGGGAAGGGACATTTTCCAGATACCAATGGACCCAGCAGAATCATGGGGCAACGAGAGCCATGCTCCTGGCCACAGGCTGGGTGGCAGACTGTTAGCATTGATCTCGGGTTGAGTTACTAGATAAATGAATGGGTAATCATTCAATAAACTTGGATACAAGGTGCCCTGAGAGATGTTATGTATACTAAATCCCTTGATTTGGTTTAAACAAAAAATCATGCATTGGTTGAATTGAAACTGTTTGGCTGAATTAGGGGTTACAATGTCATATCTTCTGATAATCAAACAAGAGAATAATGGCCTTTCAGTTAATGGAGCTGGGGAAACATCCTTAAGAAGTAGTCAGTCCACTTCTTTATGGTCTATGTACCTTTCCATCCATCTACATCCACCCATTACCCATTGACCTGTCCATCCATCCACCATCCATTTATCCATCCATCCATCCATCACACATCCATCCACTGGCTCATCCATTTACCTACCCATCCATCTATCAATCCACACATCCATCTATTCATCCATCTACCCATCCATCCATCAGTCCACACATCCATCTATTCATCCATCTATCCATCCATCTATTCATCCATCTATCCATCCATGGGACTGTCATTCCATGCACTGCTTTTCACCAGTACAGGAGATAATTGCATTAATAACAAGTCATTTCTACTTGGCTTCTAGTATAATTCAATGCAGAGTGAGAAACATGTTCGGAGAGAGCTACAAACTAGTTTTCTCCTGGGAAAACTTACGAGAATCCATAATCATATCCAGAAGGACTATCCTAGGACATACTATGATGTTGAGCACATGGTAAGTGCAAAAGAGTGTTGATAGATAGAGATAAATAGGTAGACAGATAGATAGGTAGGTAGATAGATAGATAGATAGATAGATAGATAGACAGACAGACAGACAACAGACAGATAGATGGTAGATGAAGAGATAGATGGCTGGGTAGATGGTAAGATGGTAGAGTAATGGATGTATGGTTGATGAGCAGGTGTAATGGTGGATGATAGAGTAGATGGATAAGTGGATGCATAGACAATGGATTGATGGGTAGATGGGTAGATGAGATGGGTAGATGGCCAGTGAGAAAGTTGATGAATGAGTGAATAATTTAATCAGTTTGTACAACAATGCTCTGAATTATCCATTCACCTATTTCCTGGCTTTCTGTCATCTGTATCCACATTTATGGCCAGTTTTCTGAGGGAAAAAAAAACAACTGGAATTCTTCTGTAGCCCCCAGTGTCCAGCCTAGTGCTGGATGTGTATTATAAAAGACTCACTCTAAGTATTTAGGCAGGCATAAAGAAAGCCATGCTTTTTTTATGATGCACAGAGGCAGGCGAGAAAGCACCGCAGTGGTGGGTGAAAGTGTTTTATTGCCTATTTCAGCCTCCCTGTATTTTAGAGGTTTCATGTAAACAGTGTGTGTGACTTTCATAAGGAAAAACAGATTATCTGTGGCCTGGCTTCCCAGACTGCACATCCAGAGCTGAGCACCCGCTTCATGTAGTGACTGATGCGCCTGTGAGCTAAGTGTGTCTCCCACATCATCAGCCCCTTGATCACTGCAGAAGAAACACACACCTGAGAAATCTCATCCAGACGTGTCTTGGATGGATGGAGCCTGTTCTGGGCTGCCTCTGGGGAGGCTGTGCTACCCCACACAGTTGGCTCTCTACCAACAGATCCCTCACTCCCGTGAAAGTAGAGTTCCTGGGCAGTGTCACAATCGGGGCATACCAGGAAGGCCTGGTGCCACCTGCCTCTCACTGTGTGGTGACTCTGAGAGTCAGTCAACTTCCTCGTGTGTAAACTATGTTGATGTGAGAACATGTAGGGATGCTGTCCCGCATGATGATAAGGTAGCTGATGTCTATGCAGCACTCTACTCTATATGGTCCAGCGCTCCTCAGTTATCATCTGGGACCACCTGCACTTGAAGATAGGGCATCTGAGGCTCAGTGAAGGCTTTAAATGACGTGGTGCAGCTTCTTGGGCTCCACCCAGGGTCATCTTCACAGAAATGTGCACTTAAGGTATAGAAGACTGTCTAACACATAGACACCAACTCTTCTTGAGTGTATGTGTGTGTGCCTGTGGGGGGGGGAGTGTGCATGTGTGTATATGTGAACATGGAAGCCAGAGGTCAACCTTAAGTCTCAGCTCAGATACCATCCACCTTGTTTTAGTAAAACAGGGGTCTCTCAATATCCTTGTGATTCATAAATCAGGCAAGGTTGGTGGCCAGCCAGCCCTAGAGAGTCTCTTGGCTCTGCCTCCCCAAAGTTAGGATTACAAGCCTGTACCATTGCACCTGGCTTTTTTGGGGTATTAGGGGTCATTCCTGAAGCTGGCATAGAAGCACTTTACCAAATGAGCTGCCTTTCCAGCTCTTCCCTGCCTTTGAACATGGACCTTCACCCATCTAACGCCTCTCTCAGTGATCAGTCTCCACTGTGAATTTGGTCAGATGGCAAGACAGCTGTTACATCAGACTGTAAGCTGCCCAAGGGCAAAGCTGTGCCCATTGACCTCAGCAGATGTGGTATCCGTGGGACATAAGTGCTCAGTGCATATTCAGTGCACAAACAAACTGAGTGAAAAGGTGTTTCACCTGCCAGTGTCCAACCCCGAGGGTCCCCGGCTGCTCACCACCTCCTGCGTGCTTCTCTTCAAGGTTGACCAGTTGGCTCTTCTGCTGTGCCTCCTCCAGCTGCTTCTGTACTTCCCCCAATGCCTCCTGCACTTGCTGGTACTTAGCCTGGAAGGAAGGCTTGGTGACGGCCGAGGTTTGGAAATGATAAAGTCTATACTCCCGACCCTATGTTCATGCATTGGAAAACTAGTCCTCCGCATGGCACTGTGAAAGGTCAGACCTAATGGAGGTCCTCACATCACTGGGGCCCTGGAAGGAATTACAGTGGTTCTTGTGAGACCCTCACATTAGTTCTTACAGAGGGCTATTATGAAAGGAGGGAGCCCGGAGCCTCCCCGCCTTGAGCTTTCTGTTTGGTACAGTGATCTTTCCCCTCCTGGCCATGACGCCAGCTGCCTTTGGCTTTTACCAAAGACCGAGCTAGTGGGGCTAGCCCAAGACCTTCAGCCTCCAGAACCATGAGCTAGTTTGCTTTATAAAGAGACCCACTTAGAGATATTTTTGTTGTGGTAATGAAAATGGACTAAACTGGCCAAGACCGACCATTTCACGTGTGACCATCCAAAGCCAGGGTTTGGTCATCTATTACACATTCACTCCTGAGACGAGAATGGTGTCCCCTGCATTTTTCCCACCCAAGTGTCTTCCAAGGTCACATGTATGATGCCTCTATTGCTAAGGTCACTACCCACAGCACCTCTCAGGCCTTGCCTTAGGAAGACCCAACTGTCCCTAGGAGCCAGGACACAGAAGTCAGTTAGCCTGTGTATCTCAGGCTAACTGGTCCTGGAGAAGTACTAGTAACCAGGATGTCCTACTTCTAGGCACCCCACTAGATCCCCACGAGCTCTCACCTTGAGCTCCTGGACCTCTCGGAGTGCCTGAAGGCGCTCTGCCCGCTCACTCTCCAGTGCCTGGCAGGCCACGTCACCTTTGAAGCGTTCATCAGCAAGCTCTGAGGTCAAGTCTGTGATCTGAGGAAGAGAAACCACAAGGGCCGCTAACTCTCCTTTCCTCTACACACCGCACACAGCACAGGACCATCCCGGGACACACCACTCCTGGGAAGAGGAGAGGCGATCCTTCTCCATAAGCAAAAGGCTAAGAGCTCATACTTCAGGTTGTAACTGTTCATGGTGTGGGAGCACTCTGCCCCAGCCTCTCTGATTCTCAGGTTTCTCCACTTTGAAAGGAAGGGAGAGAACTAACAGAACTGTTGTGGGGAATAAGTGAGATAAGTCCTGGAGAGTTTAGTACAGTGCCTGGCACACAGAAGGTACTCAACTAAGGACAGGTGCTTAGCAGAGGTTTTTAACCATCAGTGAACCTGAGCCACCCTGTGGGACTGAGCATCGATGTCCCCCAGTAAGACACACACACACACAGTTGGATGCTCCATGTGGAGCACTCAATGGCTCTCTGTGGACTGTGTACCAGCCCTGTGCCTTCCTGGCCTGTCTTCCTGGTGCACCTGACCTGTAATCTGTCCTTAGCAATTACATGTTAAGGGGACAGGGAATTAACAGGACATGTGAGCTGGGTATTTCTGAAGGAGCTGATAAAGGTGCCTTGCTTTCTCCTAAGCTGGCAGACACAGGCACCAGCACCATAGGAGAGGAAATAAAGTGGAGATCTGGTCTCTCAGTCCATGCTGCTTTCTTCTCGGCTGTTTGAAAGCATGGGACTGTGAATTGTGTGTGTGTGTGTGTGTGTGTGTGTGTGTACAGATACTGTCCCAGTGATTATACTGTGAGTGTATCCTGTGTGTGTGCACACATGTGTACATGACATAGTCTCATGTAGCCCAGGCCATCCTTTAACTCTGGGTAGCTGAGGATGACTTTGAACTTCTCATCCTTCTGGGGTTATAGGCATGGCCCAGGTACATGCCATGCTGAGGATGGAACCTAGGGCTCCATTGTGTATTTTTAATTACAAGCATTATATATATAAAGTCGAGAGTCAGAGAATGTGAAAAGGAAGCAGGTACTCTTGACCCTTCAAGTCTAAGAACATGTTGGCTTCCTTGGTCAATCTTCCAAGCAGAGCCTTGATCATGGGAGCGGTACACCTGCCAAGAGAGGTGGGGTCTTCTGCCCTTGGCACTTGGACTCTGGGTAAAATGGACACATTGTCTCATATATGTAATGAAATATGGTTGCATCCATCCATCATTCCCCCCTCAATGTGCCTCATATCTCTCAGTACCTCCCCCTCCCAACTTTGTATTTTCTAACCCACTAAGCCCGGTTAGTGCTGCCCATACATGCGCGGGTGTGGGCCATCAATGGGAGCCCCAGAAATGTCCATTTCTGGGTGACTCTCCCTTTCATTTTTTTTCCACAGGGGCCCCAGTTGCCCTGAGACGCACACCTGTATTGTGGATTTATTTTTAATCCTTTTGGAATCAGAAAACAAAACATTATCATGAACGAAAGTTCTGGGAGGAGCCCTGCCTCCCACAGAACTCTGCCAGTCTGACAGGCCGCTTACAACATCAGCCGCTGGGGAAGTTGGAGTGGTGCAAGTCCAGAGTCTCATCTTGATTTGTCTTGGGTTATCCTTAGCCCGTCTGATAACCATCCCTTGTTCTTTGTCTGACCTGACGTTCTGTGACCATCTGTGAATGGAACCTTTTGTGCTGTATTAACTTAGCACACCCCTGGCTTCCTGGTCACAGGCTAAGGATGTTCCAGCATCTGTGACCTGTGATCTTGTTTTCCATAAGCTACAACCGATGTTTTCCCCAACCTACTTGAGAAGTGTTGATTCATGGTTCCGCTACTATAATACTTCATGGAATGGTCACCACGTTGGATCGTGGAATCATGGGTAGCCTAGGTCCGTTCCCAGGACGTGGTCACTCATACTTAACTCCAGAACAAGTGACCTCTTAGGTGAGAGCCGTGTTGTCGGGAAAACAGTTGCGCTACAGAAATCGAGGCCACCGCGTGGTCTGTGGGCTGCCTTCTCTCCCTCTCCAGCCTGTCCTTGCCCTACTGTGGCCCAAATCACAGAAGCAGAGACAGCAGCCAGATCATGAGAGATGGGGAAGAACTCCAAGATCACAGAGCAAGCCAGCAGCAGAGCTGAGATTTGAACTCACATCTGTCTGCTGGAACTAGCGTCATGGCTACAGAAGTAGGGCTTCCAGGGGCTCTGGGTGGGTGGCCTCTGAGAGGAGCCCTTCTGTGCTTCCTCAATCTGCTGGCTTTAAATCATACACCCGAGAAGCCTTGCACACTTTAGGGTTGGTTAAAGTGCAACCTCGCCACCAGAGTCCCAGGAAGGACTCAAGGACCCAAGGCGCAGCCAGGAAGCTGAGCTCAGGAGTAGAGGACAGAATAAGTGTGGCCCCAGTGTCCCTCTCCCCCTAACCCTGGCCTCCCTTTGCTTTGGGCAAGTTAGATTTATCTGTGGCCTTGCAAACACTCCACGAGGCTGAGACAGTGATTGGTACAATCCGGGAACATCCAGGGCCACGCTCCTAACCACCTCCCACCCTGGGAATCCGCCTTGATCCCAAGCAGGGGCCCAGCAAAGGCTCGCTCAGACAATTAGTGTGAAATTTAATTTGTGCTAATCGGCCTGAGCATGGGGAGCACAAAATTAATATAATGCATTAATTTTGAGTCTCATGGAACCCACAGTCTGGAGCCCAAAGGATAGTCAATTCTCTCAGCTACAGGAGACTACGGGATGCTCTCACACGGCCAAGTCCACACAAACCTTCCCATTCCTCCTTCCCTCCCCCCTCCTTTTCATCCCTCTCCTCTCTTTTCCCCCTCTCCTTCCCCTCTTCTCCTCTCCCGTCTCTTCCCCTCCCCGCTCCTTCCTTTGAAGCATGGGTAGAAGCCCTGTCTATGGAGGGGAGGAGAAAACCCCACACTCACAATTTCGAAAACCAATTTAAGGATGGGTGAGCTGGCTTGCAAACATAGCAGATTTTTACAGATGTCACAGGCCAGTTGACAGGAAATTGCTTTGACAACCCTCCCCGGATCCACCGGGTGCTGGAATCAGCAGAAATGCCCTTTCTACTTAGGGACAATGGCCCCCGAGGACAAGCTGGACAGGAGGGGACAGGAATGGCTATACTCGTTTCTATAGAGTCCAAGGGAAAGGAACTGGCCGGGCCTGGTGGCACAGGCTGGTTACCCTGGTGACCCAGGGGCTGAGGCAAAAGAACAACCTGGTTAAGACCAACCTGCGTGAAACAGGAAGACACTGTCTGCAAAAGAGTGTGGGGTTGCAGCTCTGTGATGGGGTGCTCACTGAGCGCGTGCGAGTCCTAGAGCAATCCCCAGTACTGAGAAAAAAGCATCCAGCACAGTGAACAGCCCAGGGCAGAAACCAAAAGCAGAACACAGCTGGGGGTTATGCCTGTCATTACCCGTGGATCCTACAGGCATTATGTGCACACCTACTGTGTGTCGGGCCCTAGACTAAGGACACACAGGGTAATTAGAGATAAGTAACTACTGGGGACCCATATATCTTAGGTTGCCCATGCCTTCAGGTCCAACTTTCAAAGATTCTCAAACCTGGGAAGAGCTCGGGGGAGGTGAATGGAGAGAAGAGGGGTCTCAGATACAGGGTCAGCCACAGGGGGATGCAGCTAGTGTTCTGCAGAGGGCAAGTGACAGACAGCAAGCGCGGTGTGTGTGTGTGTGTGTGTGTGTGTGTGTGTGTGTGTGTGTGTGTGTGTGTGTGCAGGCACATGTGTGGAAACAGAGGACAACCCTAGGTCTCTGTTGTTTTTCTCTTTGTTGTTTTTTGCTGTGGACACCAGGCTACCTGACCTGAGAACTTCCGGCATTCCCGTGTCTCCGCCTGCCATCACCCAGTGGGAGCGCTGGGATTACAGATCCTGTGCTATATACATTCAGCTTTTACACGCGTGCAGGGACTCAAACTCGGGTCTGCATGCTTGGTGGCAACCGTCTCCCTGGCTCTTAATTACATGTTTCAGCACAGCCAACAGACAGGATTTAAATGTCCCCAACACAAAGACACCACCAGTGTCAGCCACGTTGAGTGTGTGGTCACTCTGCTTTGGCATGTATGCTGCATATGTGTATTGACACGTCCCACTCTTCCCCATCAACGGAACAATTATGACAGTGTGTTGAAGTCTGTACAGTGGGAGCCATTGCCCACCAGAGACAGGCTAACCTGGTGCAGATCGAAAGCCAGATAAGATGTGGACCTCTGCTGCCCTTGTGGGGCTGTGGCCAAAGACCCTGTGTGGACCTCTGACCCATCTGTTGAAAGAGAGAATGAGTCTGCAGGGCCAGGACGGCCCCACTGCGGTGTCAGGCAACTCAGGTGCCGAGTGTCACAGAGATGACCTGGTGGCTCTGGTCTGGTGTCCCCGCCCTCACAGCTGCCCTGGTCATCAGGCAGTTCTAGAACAAACATCCAGCACAGTGGCTGTTACGCTCAGTTACCTCCACAGACGGCCCAACCAGGCACACCATCACTGCTCAGTAACAGTATTCCACCAAGTGATCGTGTCCACGAACGGACAGTGCTGACCACAAGCCACTCTGAGAGACGGAGCTGACTCGGCCTCCTGACTGCAGGTGGGGGGAAACTGAGGCAGGAAGGTGCCAGCACCGGCCTAAAGATGCGGAACCCACCCTGACAGGAGAGTAGATATTCTAAAGAGAGATGTGTGTCTCTCCTTGGCCATCAGACCATTCAAACTGGAACTTTGAAAAACAAAATTCAAAATGGAATTTACCCCCAAGGAAGTTCATGCAGGACAAAGGAAAAGGCTGAAGCCTGATGCTTGCCAAAGGACAAACTCATAACTCAGATTTCACCCGGTTCTGACAACCTGCCAGACCATGTGAAGGAGGAGAGAGGGAGCCCAGACAAGATGGGTCAGAGGTAGGTAGGGCCACAGCTTGGCCAGGGTGCTTAGCTATTGGAGCCTCTTGTAGACTTGGGTCACCGGGCCTCTCTATTCTTCCTCCTAATGTGGCCACATTGAATAAATCTTTCTCCACTTTCCCTGACGTGTCTAGTTGGCTTAGCCTAGTTCCTCGGGCTGTGGGGACCAGGTGCTTACATCTGGTGACAATGCCAGCCAGCTACAGAGCCCTCCTCCCCAACCACACCAACAAACCATCTCTGGGGCCTCATTTTACAAATGTGTGAGGGAATCTGGTAAGGAAGCAAGGTTTCCACAGGCCTGTCCTGTCAGAGAGGGTGGGACCATGTTGAGAGGACACAAAGAGGGGTTCTGAGAGCGGGACGCGTGGAGGTCACTGGCCAGCCTTGGTGTACATTCAGGGAGAAGGGCTTTGAGGACTCACCCAACGCTTCACCAGAGAGGACGTGAGCCCTCTGTCACCCACAGAGGCCACCCTAATCTGGGTTCAGCATCTCTAAGTCTGGGGTCTGGTTGTGTCTGCTCTGTTAGGCTCTACAGGGACCTGCCCCAGATTCCACAGTAAGACCCACACATCTGCAGCTGAGTCATCTCAGAGCTGGTCAAAGAGGCGGGAAGGTGGGGATCCCCCCTGGGTCAAACCTTCCACGGATGAGGCCTGGAGAGCTGCAGCACAGTGCGTCCCTGGCTCCTCAGGCAGAAAAGACCACGCAAACCAGTAATAGTTATTTTCCAGCACGGAGATTAGCACCTTCCTTCAGACACAGTGTTACGTGGCACCGGATGCCGCAGTCTCCAAACCTCATTGACAAGATGGGATTCGAGATGAGAGAGACACTGCCGCAGTGGGCGTGAGCTGCTTCTGATTACAAAAGTGATCCCCGCTGACTGTCAGAGGGCCAGAAGGTGCCACACAGGCCAATAGGGGGGAGACAAGTTACCAACCAGAGCTGGACTCTGCGTGCTACAATATCGACCTGCCAGCGAAGATGTGTCCACAGGAGTGACAGAAGCAGGAAGGTTATGGGGGTGGCCAGCGGCTTTCTGATCAGATCTGAGGTCTGCCCCCCAGGTACATGCCTGACACTGTAAATCCTGGGGGAAGCCCGTGGCTGGGGAGGACCAGAGAGATGGGACAGGAGAGGAAGGAACAGTGTCCTTCATCCTTGAGGCTGCCTGGATCACGCACGACTATGACTTCGTGGTCAACCACACTCTGGCATTGATAGCCTCCTTTGTATTTTCAGTAGAGCGCGGTACTACAGAAACGCTTCCACGGGGCCAGCAAGGTGGCTCAGCAGGTAAGCATGCTTGCTGCCAAGGCTAAAGATCTGAGTGCAAGCCCCAGAACCCGCATGATGGAAGAAGGGAGGCACCTCTTCTTGTCATGTGTGTGTGGGTTAGCATCTAACACAGAAGCCTGCAGTGGCATTGTGGGCTGCAGGGTGCTGGCCGCTTATCTCTGCCACACCAGCTTGTTTGCCCACGGTAACACCGATTCGCATGCCAAAGATGTGGAGGCAGCCACACATGTCCCGGCCGACCCCACCCCCTCCAGCCCTTTTCCATGCTGCCTGTCTGGAGCCTGAAGTGCACTTAGCGAGGCACTGATTTGCATTTCCTGATTGCTCTTTAGACAGAGCCTCTCCTCCTCGTGAGTCTATTTGCACTCTTGAGCATGCAAAGCTTTGAAATGAGAATGTCCCTGATGCCAGAACTTCATGGAAGATGGGGGAGAAAGAATGTAAGAGCCGGGGGGGGGGGGGGGGTGTGTGTGTGCGTGTGCGTGTGTGCACGTGCGTGCTGTGAAACGCTATCTTCTGGTTGTACTCATGAGCTCACAGCGACTGTGAGAACCTGCACAAGATCAAGCCAATCAATGTTCCAGAAGGGAGGGGAAGGGACTCATGCCACACCCCAGCTGAGGCACAACTGCCAGGAGGAAGAGTCGTCTTCTCCAGTGGCATAGACGCTGGTAAGCTACCTGTGTTCCTGTAAGTGACCCACTATGCACACACACACACACACACACACACACACACACACACACACACACACACGCACACAGGCACACACACATTCATCTGTATACACAGTCACACACACAGGCATACACAGGTACACACACGTACATACACAGGCACACATACACACACATACACACAGGCACACATACACACACACACACATTCATGTGTATACACAGTCACACACAGGCATACACAGGCACACATACACACACGCACATGCAGACACACATGCACACACACACAAATACACAAGGCATGCACACATGCACATACACACAGAGAGACATACATGTGCATGCACACACACACACACACACACTGCTAATTAAATGTGGTAGACCACCAAAAGAGGACAAGAAAGCAGGAGAAGACTTGTTAGGAATGAGTTCAGAGGAGTGGGAGTGGGTGAGAGGGGAGTATAATCAAAATAGATCATACAAATGTGCGGGATCGTGAGAGAAGACATTTTCAGAGTATATGTGCTTAGGGGCTGGAGCGATGGCTCAATGACTATAAGGACTCACTGATCTTCCAGAGGACCTGAGTTTGGCTCCCAACACCGGTAACTGCCTATAACTCCCACGCCAGGGAATCCAGTGCCCTCTGCTGGCCTCCTTGGGCCCTGCACTCACATGCACAAACCCACACAAACCCAGAGACAATTAAAAAATAAAAACACATTTTAAACAACAAGTTTACCATCATCCTTGGCCACACTGACCAAGGCTGTAGGAGACCCTGCCTCAGAAAACAAAAATTCAACAGAGAAAACATCTGCGCAGTAGAAATGTTAACAGTGGATGGCGGCGGGTCCCCAGGGAAGGTGAGTGGGCTTCTCGTTCACAAGGACTGTGTGTTTCCTGTAGCAGCTTTTAAATAAATTATCAATAATTTGAGGAAAGGCAAAAAGGAAGCAGCCGGCTGACTCTGGGAACCATCTGTCCAGATTTTGATCAGTTTTTAATTTTCCCTATTGGATGGTTTGTCTTCCGGCAGACCGGAGCAAATTCTCCAAATGTTCTGGACTCTACCCATTACATGTGTGACAACTTGGACTGAATGTATTTATCAGTATTTAGTGTGTCTTCACGCTCTAATCAATAGCCTCCCCTTATTTGGACATGGTGAGACGTCCCTCGCCCCGACCCTGCTTTCTCCTTTCATGGTTTATGTAAGGAGCTTTTGTAGCATCGGCTGATTGTGAGGGGTCGGGAAGATGTTGGTGTGCCAGGGCCTCCCTTCCCTCCACCGTCACCACAAAACGGGTGCCATAGCTGCCTGAGCATCATCCGCCACGGCAGAGGCCCTTCCCCCCTCAGCGGGTGCTCAGGGAGTCTGGGTGGGCAGAGGATGGCCTACCTTGCTCTCCAGCAGGTCCGTGTTCTGTCTGAGCTCACTCCTCGACTTCTCCGACTTCTGCAGCTTCTGCCTCAGCAGCGCTAGCTCCTCCTGCAAGATAAACACCCGTGTGGAAGCTGCCTCGGACGGGCCTTACGGTCTACTCCTGTGACGAGAAGTCTCCGGGGGCGAGGCTTCAGGGACAGGAAGCTATTTAGTGAGCTCTTCAAGGGCTACAAGGAGGCCCATGTAGTCCACATTTGCTGAAAGGATGTGAAATGCTCACATCACGTTAGTCGGGCTCATCACTCCACACACATCACGGCATCAGGACTCTACATCCCACTCCATAAATTCACACAACAATTATTTTTCAATTAAAAATAAAACTTTTTAAAAAGGAGTAGCTGGCGATGGCATGGTTATCAGTCAGCACGCCTGGACTGTCACCCAGATGCTGTCACCTCCCCTCCATGATTTCCACAACATCCATGCTCTTAAGAGCCTGGCCCACATAGCCTAGTCTAGGGGCTGAGTGCCCAAGTCCAGATGGGGGCAATGCTCAACCTTAGACTGCATGTATGTGGCTGTGCAGAGGGCACTCAGTACTTCACCCCCCATAAGTGCCACTCTCTCGCCAGGGGCAGCTCTCCAAGCCTGTGATGCCATCGTTGGAAGGAGTAGCCGGTGGCAGGGTGAAGCATAGGCTGTGAGCATAAGGGAATACTATACTGCACTAAAGAAGAATGAGGAAGGGCTCCCTGAAATGCCCCTGGGGGTATTTAGAATAGATCAGCAAGAGCACAGCATAGGCTTCACAGGGTATGTGTCACCCACAGGGCCTGGGATCAAAGTGCTGGATTTCAGGCTCTTTCCAATTTGGGGACGTTTGCATGGACTTGGCCGGTGGTTATTTTTAGATGAAGGATGCATGCCCTACCTCCTGTTTACTGTTTGTGCGAGAAATAAAAGAGCCTTGTGCGTAACTTGATCATCTTTGTAAAAAAAAAAAAAAATAAACATCAGAAAGCATGTATCAGGAGCTGTCCAAAACAACTGCCCACACGAGACGTATATGTGTGTGTGTGTGTGTGTGTGTGTGTGTGTGTGTGTGTGTGTGTGTGTGTGTGTGTGTTGGGGATGGAGGGATGACAAGGGTTTCTCTGAGAGATACAAAAGCCCCGTGACTGAGGTCAGAATGAGCCATGTAGCCCAAGGAAAACTGGTGCATTTGACCAGCATCCCAGAGAACAACCGTACTTGGGAACACTTCCTCTGTCGATGGAAGCCTCCAACCAAAGGCATGGAGGACTGTTGAGCGGCTGGTCACTGCCCACCATGGCCTGGGTGTTGGGAACAAGCATGAAGGCGGGTGAGTGTCGCCACCCAGAGGCACAGACCCACCTCCTTGGCTCGAAGCTGCTCCATGCTAAGGGTGGGACTCAGCAGGGGCCGGAGAGATGCCAGAAGCCCCCACCACGGCCAGTCCTTGACCTCCAGGAACACAGCCAGGTTCTTCTGGATGCACTGTGTGGCCAGCTTCCGGATCTGCAGAAGGAGGATGTGGGTGATTGGGGGTCTACCCACCTGGGAAAGAGGACGGGAGGACGGGAGGATGGGAGGACAGAGCAATGGAGGAAACAGAGCAGCGGCCTCTGTCTATTCCAGGTCATCTATAGCACCGGCCAGCAGGGGATGGCCCACGCCACAGTGAGCTCTTGCATTAGCACTTGCTCTGGGGAATCCCTCGGATGGGGTCTCATGGGGGATGCACAGTCATGCACGTTCACCCCAGATCCACATGATCAGAGTCTGCTGATCGACACAACACAGTACCTTCAGCTTCTTAAATTCCTGGCGAGACAGAAAGCCCCTGCAAGCTGCTTGGAAGAGAACGATGTTCCGGGACACCAGCTTCTCTCGTTGCCTCTCTAGCCTGGAAACCACACCTGCCTTGAGGAAAACCTGGGGGCCAGGAGAGGAAGACACAGGTGAGGCCTCTGCCTAGCCGGGATGTCTGGGGCTGCCACTTGGAACCTATCTCTCTTCTCATGATGCAGATGCAGCTTAACGGGAGTCTCAAGGCTGGAAGTGGTCTGTCTTCCAGCAGCTCCTCCGGCCTCCGGTCCCTGGCTACCCCAGCGTGCTCCAGGCATCTGTAGCAGGATGGATGCCACCCTAGGGCCTTACAAAGGCAGAATCTGGGGCTGGGGATGTGGCTCAGTTGGCAGAGTGCTTGCCTCGCAAGCAGGAAGTCCTGGAATCTATCCATACAGCATGGTACTACATGTGGGAACCCCAGCACTCGGACAGCGGAAGTGGGAAGTTAAGAAGTTCAAAGTCATCTTTGGCTAGTGGTGAGGTCAAAGCCAGCCTGGGCTACATGAGACACTGTCTCCAAACAAAAACAAACCATGGCAAGAACACAAAGGAAAAGAAAAAAAAAAAGGAAAGGAAAGGCCCCGTTGAACCACTGCCTGAATTCCACCCTGATTCTGGTGGAAAGTTTGACAGTCACCACCAGCGTAGAGTGCCTAAAGTCCTCTGGGACAAATTACCCCCCTGGATGGTCTCGTCCCAGGCTCTCTTGAGCCCATGCACTTGGGCTGGCCCCAAAGTGTTCATTTTTTGATCATTGACAAAGCTACCTGACAGATGTTTACTAAAAACACTCAGATTCAGCGTGGAAGCGGGGGCAGAGGCTGGGGGAGGGCATTGCCCTCCTGGCTCCTGTACCCTTCCCCTGAGCTGCTAGGCTCCTGCCAGAGTCCACACCTGCCAGGCTGCAGAACATCAATAATGGATGAAGATGTTGGTGGTGTTGAAGTCAACTGTAGCACCCCATGGGGCGGTCCATGAACAGACTGCAGGGAACAGGGTGCAATGACTCAGAAGCTCAGGGATGCTGTGGTGGTATTGTGTTCCCCAAAATATTGTGTATGCTAATAAACTTATCTGGGGTCAGAGAACAGGACAGCCACAATATTAAACATGAGGATAGGCAGTGGTAGCACATGCCTTTAATCCCAGCACTTGGTAGACAGAGCTAGGTAGATCTCTGTGTGTTCAAGGATACAGCCAGCATTGGAGACACATGCCTTTAATCTCAATCCCAACCATAGAAGACCTGGAAGTCTCTACACACAGGCAATGACGAGGCAGTCATGTGTTTGGGTTTACAACCAATGAGAAGGCAGAACAGAAAGACTATATAAAGACATACACACAGGAAGTAGGTCCCTTTCGGAGAGCTCTCTTGGCTGAAGCAGGAAGGGTAAGGCTCTTAGCTCTGACCTCTTGGCTTTTTTCTCTGAATCGGCTCTGTGCTTCTTATTTAATAAGACAGTTGGTTACACCTACAGGATGCCTATCAGTAGAAGTCAAAAGGCAGCAGGTTCTGGGTTTGGGTTAAAGGGATTTTAGAGACCAGAGGCTCTGGAGGCAGGGTGTGTCCTTAACTGCACACCCTACAGTTCAGTACACCCTCAGTATACCCTTGGTCCACCTCCCTGCACACCAAGGAACGATGTCTTAGTGGCGGACTTGTCAGAAGGACCCAAGGGTGTCATCTTCTCTTACGTCACCTCATGGCCCTGAGTAGGTGACATTGTCAACTAACGGATAATGTTTGTCGAGTGCTTAGAACAGACTAGAACTTGGCAGGCAGGATTGTAGATGTTTGCTATTTTGACTTTCATTTTTGTTTTGTGTTTTTGATTTTGTTTTCCCTGACAGGACTTTTCTGTGTAGCCCTGGCTGTCCTGGAACTCATTTTGTAGACCAGGCTGACCTTGAACTCACAGAGATCCGCCTGCCTCTGCCTCTCAAGTGCTGGCATTAAAGGTGTGTGCCACCACTGCATGGTGATTTCCCCATTTTATTGGAGGAGAGACAAAGGCCTCCTCCATGCTTGGTTACCAGTGTGCACCACCACGCCCAGTTTTTCACACGAGTTCTGGGATAAACACTTTAATTGCTAAGCTGTCTTCCCAGGCCCAGGCATCTACAGTTTCCAAAGCCCTTTGTTCTGTGTCCCAAGTTTAAGCTCCAAATTGTCCCACTGTGGAAATCAGTCACCCAATTAATTCAATAGCTGATGTCTCAGAAAGCGAGACTTGAACCCAGGACCTGGGTTCACACATCAGAAGTTTGAATTCCAAAGGGAATTTGAATCTAACTGAAACAAAGTTCTCCATCCATTCTCATTAAGGGGCCTCTGGGCCCATGGATCAGATCGTAAGCCCAGGGGAAGGTGAGAATGAGCTCCACTGAGGAGCCAACTGTTTCATAGATCAAAGAGTGCTTGATGTGACCTGGGACCACCAAGAGAATCAGCCTCACTGAAATGGAGACAGAGCCATTCCTGGCCCTCAGATTGCTCAATAATGACTGTATTAATTTCACAAACTGGTGAGTCCCAAAAGCTGACATTAAAAAAAAAAATCAATGATCAAAACGATGACAGCATACTTCATATATTACAGTAGGTGGCGGGCGCTGCCCAATCCAATATTGATTAAGTATGAGGCTTTCATTTAAAAGATAATTGGAAAGGACTATGCAGAGGGTGGGAGCAAGTCCACAAGACCTCGGCCCTGCGGAAGCGGGTCTTGATCTGTGTCTTTTTTCCCTTCTCCTTTTGAGAACACATAACCGAGCAGTCCAACTGCATGTGGAGTCACACTTGGTCTAAACTGTCAGGGCCCACAGCGCAAACCTTGATAAGGTACCAGGGGCTAGAACAATCACAAGAAAAAAAACCTAAATGATCCTTTCCTCATGGATTCAGCTGCTTGTCGGACCTGAGCAGAGAGGAGCATCCTGCATCCCACCTCTAAGGAACACACCGGGGCTCACTGCTATTCTTGATCCAAAACCGCAGAAGCCAGGCTTTCCAAAAGGTCTTGTTGGGGACAGTTCCTGTGTACATGCTAAGGAATGAGTTCCTCTTCTTGGAGTCATTCACAGACGAGAGGAGTTTTAGTTCTTTTAAAAATAACAACAACAAAAAAAACATATTTCAGTGCCCTAAAGACTCATTATCTTTAATATGTATTTGTGTTCACCTGCATGCACGTATGTACACCACACTGTACACACAGGTGCCGAGTGGAGGCCAGAACAGGGCATTGGATCCCCTGGAACTGAGTCACAGGCAGGCCACCATGTGGGTGCTGGGAACCAAACTCGGGACCTCTGCGAGAGCAGCCAGTGCTCTTAACCAGCAAGCTAAGACTCCAGCTCTGAGGGGTTTAGGTCTTTAAGGATTAGAACGTGCCTTTGTCTGATAAGTAGCTTTACCCCCCCCCCCCCCACGGATAGATGCATTCTGTAAGGAGCAGTCGCGTGGCCCTGCTAAAGGACCCGGGCCGGAGGCAGAGAGCAGGCTCCACACTACAGATGTGGTGACTGAGACAAGAGCCAGTGAGGAAGTTTCCAGCCTGGGCAGGGATGGGGCAGCTGCTTCTCTCTCTCCAACTGGGCTTTTCTGTGGCTTCCCACCTGTCAGATCCCACAATGGCAAAATTTCTGTACCTGTCCCAAGGCACCCAGACCGGTATTGAGCTTGGCTTCTCAGAGGTCACCTTGACCTCGGTCACTGCCGGTGAAAACCGAGCATTATGCAACGACAATTATGTGTTGTTATCGGAGGTTCAGGCTTCCAGGCTGCCAGCCCCTGCCACGGTAAAGCCACACAGTAGCTCCTGTTCTCCCCCTTACTCCTAAGTGGCTGCGGGGACTGCGGGGACCAATTTCTGTATTCATGAAATAACGGGGTAATTATCTAGCCCAGTGGTTCCCAGACTCCAGCATGCATCAAAGTCGCCTGGAGAGCTCATGACAACAGCCGCTGGGCTCCACCCTGCAGTTTCTGCTCCAGTAGGTCCTGGCAGAGTCTGAGGATTCGGGGGTTTGTGCAAGCTCTTGGGTGATATTTCTGTGGATGGACGAGAGGGCTGAAGTGGGTGGAACTGAGGGACAATCCCTTCCCCCACCCTGAGTCCAGACTCTGGGGCCTGTGTGTGAACACACTCTTCACTTCGACCAATGAGCAGCAGGACCTCATGGTGTGGGGAGAACCTTGGGGTTCTGCAGCCGTCACTCCCTGTGGGTCTCTCGAAACGAGTCAGTTACCCAGGGCCCAGCCTCCTCATCTGGGAGGAAAAGGCAAAAACATGAAGCCATCTGGAAGTCTGTGGCTTATGGTGAGAGCCCAGGACAGGCTGGTGTATTCTTCCTATCAGAAACATCTGCAAAGGACCATGGGAGCAATCTGGTTGAGCCCACAGTGAACCTGCAGCTTGGACCAGAGTCCAGAGTGAGATGCTAGTGTGTTTAGAACAGGTTAGTGAGCAGTGGGCAGTGGGCAGGCTGAGAGCTCACCAAGAAGACACCTGTAGGAAGGTTCCATTACCACAGTGTCTACAGGGAGAGCAGAGTCCTTCCCAGAGCTTCATATGCACCTGCAGCTGGAGGTCTGGCCACTCAGGTTAACTGGCTATGCTAACCAATCTGTGAATCATGGGATGGTGAGGCACCACCCCTTTCCAGTTTGGTTTCTGGGTTTGTCTCTGGTGTCCTGCCCAACACTCACACGGTTCTTGAGTTTGAAAACCTGTTCTTGCTTCCCAAGCAGCTTCCAGAGCTGGTAATGAGGATGTCATAAAAAAAAACAAAAGACTGAAGGTTCTGAGGTCAAATTTGGGAACCCTAAAATACCATGCTTCCTTTCTTGAAAATCAACAGCACACAGGCATGCTGGGGAAACACAGGATCCTCTGTAAACATCTCAGCAGATGGGGAAGAGTGCTGACCTTCAGCCCCTTTGCTATCTCCCCTCAGATCACCCCGTTCCCTCCTCAGGCTACGTTCTCCATCCACTGACTGCAATGGACTGCCCAGGACGAGGGCTGTGTGACAGCCACTTGCAAAGAAGACCGCAGGAGGCCATATCTGCAGACGCTGGCTTCCTTCTGATACAAGGTAGACAGGTAGTTAGACACAATGTAACTGAGGAAAACCAGATGTGTCTGGGCAGCTGTCTCCTGATGGTCACTGGCATTTAACTGTCAGGAGTCATCCAACACAGATGCTATTAAGGGTCTGTGCTGTGGTTTGAGTGTGAAACACCCCTTACAGGCTCATGTGTTCCCGCAGCTGGTCCCCACCAGCTGGAGGGCTGTTTGGGAAAGTTATAGACCCTTTAGGGGGTGGAGCCTTGCTGAAGGAAATGTATCCCTGGGGGCGGGCCTTAGGTTTCAGAGGCAGGCTGTACTTCCTGCTCTCTCACAGCTTCCTGACTGCCCATGCAATGTGACCATCCGGCCACCTGTTCCTGCTACCACCCCTCCCCTGTCATGGCGGACTATACCCATTGGAACTCTAAGCCAGAATAAACCCCTTTTCCCATTAAATTGCTTTCGTCAGTTATTATGTTGAGGCCTGACATCATTGGAACATGGCTTGCACAGCGGTGTTCACACCCTTCCCCGTTTGTAGGGATTGCAAAAAGAAATACCCATAGAGGACGATTTGGTAAAGAAAGGGTCCTCCTCCATGAGTATGCCACTTTAAAAAAAAAAGATCTAAAACCCACTGGGGTGTTCCCTGCTACGGGGCAGTCCATTCTAATCTCTCTCTAAGTACTTTCTTCGTTCTGCTAAATGAATTTCTGCACAGATGGGTAGTCTCCTGCCTGTACTCTTTCCTTTAAGAACACTTTCAGGCTGTAAGCAGCTCCTTCTGGAGCTCAGAATGTCATTTCAAAACCCAAACGTCAACTCTTCCAGACTCTTGAGGCTCCCAGGCCAGGGGACTCTAGGAATGACATTTCTAGGATCACCTCCACCCATGTGACACCAAGAGGGACAGGGACAGAATTCATTTGTCCCCTGTAGCCTAGAAAAGAGAGACCCAGAGTGATAATAGGACACCAGGTGAGACAAGAACTGGGTGCTCGGCTCCTACATGGAGGATGGGTGTCCTCAGCAAGATGCGTACTCACTTGGCTGTGCCCCACGGCCACCGCTTTCTTCTCCAGATCCAGGGTCTGCAAGAGTTCCTCCACGGCCTGGGGGGGGGGGGGGTGCGGGTGCGGGTGAGGGGGAGAAGAGAGACATTCAAAGAGAGCATGGAGTAAAGAGAGGGTCAGACTCACCGCAGGGCGGGATGCAGGAGGGAGGAGCAATCGGAGCCCCAACTCAGAGGGGTGAGTGCAGGAGAGAATCATGCCCCGGGGCCCCTGCCACACACTGCACACTCCATCGGAACCTCCAGGAGGCCCACGTGTCCCATCCCTACCCCACACCCATTCCACGGAAAACACCTGAGACCCAAGGTGAAATGATGTGGGCAGCTGCTGGCCAGAAGAGAAAATCTGTGTCTGTGACAAGGTGGCTATTAACTGTGCCCATCTGGCCTGACCCTCGGTCACACACGGGGGAGCCTGCGTTTAGCATCTCCTCTTTCCTCCAAGGCACTAAGGCACTTCTCCGTACAGACAGTGAGGGCTCAGTGAATGGGGAGAAGGGATAGCAGAAGGAGTGGGGAGAGGGATTGGGGACCCAAGTCAGAGAGATCCAGACGAGGCCAAAGGAGGCAGTTCCCTGCGGGAGAAGTTAATTTCCTCGGAGATGTTGGAGAAAGTGAAGACAGATTCCTGTGGAATCTTCCTTTTGTCAAATAGTCACAGAAACTGTAGAACAACCTGCTAGAGCCTGGCCCCTCAGCTTGCCTGCCCCCCCCATAGGACCAACATCGCCCTCCCACCCCACCCCACCCATGTGCGGCTCCCCCCATAGAGAGTCTGAACAGCCGTTATCAGGATAAACCTCCCTGAGTAACTGCAACGCTCGGAAGAAATGAGGGTGCAGCAACTGTGTGAAACAGTTGCCAGGCTCCAGGCCAGGGGCATCACGGGATACTTCCTGAGACACCCCCCCTAAAATTGCTCATTGGAAAACCTAGTCCCAACCACAATCGGCCTCCTCTTCTGACACCCTGGAAGAGCCTCCTTATCAAACTCCTCGCCAGTCTGAATGGTTTCATTTATTGCATTTTAGCCCCAAAGAAAATGCTCCGAGGGAATTGTAGGCAGCCAAGACACATAAAGCCACTATACCCAAATATAACATCTCTTCTCTCTGCACAAGAAGAAAAGCATGATAAAAATTGACTGAAAGTAAGACGGATAGGAAAAGCGGAATCCCAGCCAGAAACATTTTTCTCTGTCTCTTTTAGAGGCAAAGGCTAGAGTGTGTGCTTAGAGAAAAGGTGTGCAGATCTAGGGTTAACCCCAGCACTTTGGGAGCCTGAGGCAGGAGGATTGTGAGCTTAAGACCAGTTTGGGATACCTAAAACACCCTGATTCACACGGCAAGACGCCGGGCAGTGGTGGAGCATGTCTTTAATCCCAGCACTTGGGAGGCAGAGGCAGGTGGATCTCTGTGAGTTCGAGGCCAGCCTGGGCTACAAAGAGAGTTTCAGGAAAAGCGCAAAGCTACACAGAGGAACCCTGTCTCAAAAAATCAAACGGCAAGACCTGGAGCTGCATCCCTCTGGGACCAGGTCTTACTTTGATCGGCCATAAAAAGATCCCAGGCCAGGGCGTAAAGCCAGCCTCGGACTCCCTTTGAAAAGATGGAGGAATGAATATCAGCTGTATGTGGGACCTCACATACCATGTGATCTACAGATATCACACCAGGGAAGCTGGGCCCCAAACCACGCCTGCCGCTTCGCATTTGCGAACAACCCTGGGAGAGGCTCTAACAAACGAGAAACTTCATGTTCTCAGCTGCAGTGTAGACACCCCCTAACAGTGTGCTCAGACACCATAGGAACGCAGGGATCTTCTCTAGTTCTTGGTTTTCTTAGGATTCCTCAGACATGGACAAGAACGCCAGCCCTAGGAAAAAACCCTTCTGCTTTGTTGACTTCGGAGAGAGACCTGTGAGAGAGTTCTGGTCTAGCTGACGGAGAGCAAGGGAGTGATGTATCTCTGATCTCTGCGAAATGATGGTAATAACCCTGTCTAGACCTTAAAGCCCCTGGAGAGGCTTCATTGAGCAAATAGGAAAAGGAATTTGTAAATGACTTTGCATTTAATTATTTAATTGCTGTTTGTGTTGTCTTCATTAATATTAATATGTGATTGAGCCATATGGAAATGCTCTCTGTTTAGGCCAGATATCAATTATTTAATTTAGTTCAACACAATGCAATCATTGTCCAACAGCCTGTTATAAAAAAAAAAAAAAAAAAGAAAAAGAAAAGAAAAAAGGATGTGGCAGGGATCCAGGTTGCTGTGTGGAATGGCCTCCTTGTCACATCAGCTCTCCCACAGTCACCCGAGGCTCACACCTTAGCATGGAATGCTGGTCTGTGAGTAAAATATTGGCCATTTTACTCCAAAAACACGATTTTATCAGGCACAGAAGCACACGACTTTAATCCCAGCACTCAGGAGGCAGAGGAAGGTGAGTTCCAGGCAAGCTTGATCAGCACGGAGAGTTCCAGGCATCCTGATCTACACAGTGAGTTCTAAGCAGCCAGGACTACATAGAGAGATCCTGTCTCAAAAGAGAAACAGTTTTCAGCCTGCCTTTTGATCCCAAGTGCTATTCCAACGGCCTGGACATTATTTGTATCCAAGCCTTTGCAATAAATAATACGTTTTTCTCCTTTACCAGGGAAGCAACTGAGGCCCAGTGTGATGGGAAGGGTCATGGTCCAGGAAAGGATGCTGTAGGATCCAGGAACTGACTCCCATGCTCTCCTCCCTCTGACACTGGCACCCAGCCCAGCTCCTCCACTCACTGGCTGTGTGACCCTGGGTAAGCTGCTTCTGCTCTGATCCTCAGTACATGGGGTCATGCACCTGGCTTAAGGAAGGGACTTACAGACGTCATAGGAGTGACAGGCAAGAGAGAGGGTCCCAAAATGGTGGAGCAAGGAGCTCCCTAGCCCCTCTCTTCTCCTCACAGCCATCATGACAACAGCTACAATTTCACAAAGGAACAAATTTAGCACTCAGCAAATCGAACAAAAAGATTCAACAAAATGAGAAGAATCAGTGGTTCCAGGAAGCCTGCTGAAGCCGAGGTCGGAGCCATGGGAGCTGGCAGCCGTCCTGACTGGGGCTCTTTCATGCCTGCTCCCTGCACCCCGACCAGCTCTGACTGTGCAGTGGGGCCACCAGGTAAGTCACACTAAGAAGGCAGCAGATTCTCAACCAGAAAGGGTTTGCATATACAGTGCAAGGCATGGCTAACCTATAGCCCAGGCCGGGGGTGGGGGTGGGGGGTCAGACGCAGCTGGGAGCTTGGTGGCACTGCGGCGGCAGCGGCAGCAGCAGGAGCAGGTAGGGTCAGTCACCCTAAGATGGCCACTCTGACAGAAGCAAGCAGGGAACCCTACAACCAGGAACCTCACAAGTTGTAGAAAATGAATCAGCCAGTGGGCTTAAGAAGTGCCTTTACATTTCTGACTCCACACTAAAGACAAAAGAAAAGAGCCATGGGCATGGGCATAGGAAGACCAGGGGCAGACAGAGCTGCAGATGCCAGAGCAGAGTGCGGACACCCCAGATGCAGACAACTCTCCCTGTTGTACCCAGACTCGTCAGGAAAATAGAAACATGCACAGAACAGCCTCTGCAGGCCCCCAAAGACGACGCAGATGTGGCCCTCGCTGGGGAGGAACCAGGCCTCGAAATAAAACCATGGGCTTTAAAAACAGACAGAGACACTAACGGTTCACACTAGTCAGAACAAGTCACAGAAGACCTGTGCCTGAAGTCATTAGCTAAGACACCCAGTTTCCAATAGAAATGAAAACACACACACACACACACACACACACACACACACACACACACACACTGCCAGATATTATGACTCCTACTCATGGAAGGAGGGTGTGGCCAACAGGATAAACCTCCTGGGCTCAGAATGTGGACTGAGTGCACGGATTTTCAAGTATTCACTGTAGATTTGTTCAAAGACCTGAAGAAATTGCCACTTAATGAGTTAAAAGACAGAACAGGCTGTAGGCGCCTGTGTGGCAGACTCCCTGCTGAGCACCTGCAGGGTCTTGGGTTTGTTCCCCAACACCAAAAAAGAAAAGAATTTCATAACGAGCATTGGATGTAAAGTACCAGTGAAGAGATGTACAGACATAAATGACTAAAAACTACACATAGACATTCTTCATTTTGAAAAAATCAAATATCTGAAACGGCGACTTCACCGTGGGGCTCAACGGCAGACCAGGGCCTGCGGATGAACTGGTGGGCTGGGAGTGACATCAAAGGGAATTGCCGGATCTGAAGAACAGAGAGATGTGGGAATAAAGAAAAGTAGTGAGTCCCTCTGGGCAACAGAACCAAGTCCAGGATCTGCACGGCAGAGCCTCGGAAAGAGCAGAGAAAAGGGAAGAAAACGGGGCAAAAGGTCACGGCTTCAAACTTCCCCAAAATAAAAGCCACCTAGAGACCCCGGAAGGTCAGTGAGTTACAAATAAGATGACGAGTGAAGGTGGTCCAGAGCATGGGGCAGCGTGGAAAAGAAGCCACCCGGATCCGGGAGCCCTGAGAGCACAGGAGGGAAGGGACCAGTGACCGGCTGGTTTGACACAACCAGAGTCACTTGGGAAGAAGGAACCTCAGTGGGGGGATCCCCTAGGTCACACGGGCCTGTGGTCATGTCTGTGGAGTATTTCCTTGATTGTTCATTGATGTCAGAGGGCTCGGCCCACTATGGGTGACACCATTCCCTAGGAAGGTGGTCTTGGGCTGTGTAAGAAAGCACGTACGTGTGGAGGCACAAGAGAGAGAGAGACAAAGAGACAGAGACAGGGAGACAGAGAGACAAAGAGACAGAGACAAGAGACAGAAACAGAGAGACAAAGACAGAGAGACAGAGAAAGAGAGAGAGAGAGATAGGGAGACAGAGAACATGAACACTAGCAAGCAGTATTCCTCCATGACTTCTGCTTTAAGCTCTTGAGTTCTCGCCCTCATTTGAGGTGTGATGGATGATGACCTGTAAGCTGAAATAAACCCTTCGCTGCTCCCCTAAGTTGCTTTTGTTCATGGTATCTGTCATAGCCATGGAAAGCAAACTAGAACACCAATGTCCAGAAGGCCATGGGATGACACAGTGAACCTGCTGGGAGGGAAAAGGCCCTGTCAATCAAGGCCCCCACGCCTTGCAGAGCTGTGCTCCCAATCCTCCCAAAACAAAAGGACTCAAAACCCCACCCAGGCACACACAGGGTAAGAAACCATGTATTAAAGGCAGAAAGAAATAGCGACTCAAACCTTTAAAGGCTCAAGAACAGCAGAAAGTATAAACATCGAAGAATGAGAAAATAGTATAAAGCCCTGTGTGGTGGTGCACGCCTCTAATCTCAGCACTCGGGAGGCAGAAGCTGCCAGCCTGATCCACATCATGAGTTCCAGGACAGTCAGGGCTACATAGTGAGACCCTATCTCAACCAGAGAAAATATCACAAAAATATTTTAATGAACTTAAAAGATGTAAGATTACATGAAAGAAAAATATAAAGTTCTATTAATGGATTTATAATGTGTACATGGCACAGAGGCATCAGGGGGAGGTGGATCTGTGGGACAAAGGCTCTTCCTCCCACCAGAACCAGGTTGATATCAATCTGAAGGAAGCCTGATGAATGAAGATACACTCTGTCTATCATCTCTGGAACATGGACAGGTTCCTCAGATGGTCCACGAGAAGAGCAACCAAACCAACACAAAGTGAATCAGACAGCTGCTTGCAAGGGATTCAGTCCAGAGCCCAGCTGAAAGGGCAAAAATGAGGTAAGCAACACCCTTCAAACGATGAATGTAAGACAGACGACGTCGACATTTCGAGTGATGAACGTAAGAGAGACGACATTGGCATTTCAAACGATGAACGTAAGAGAGATGACGTCGGCATGGACACAAACAAAACTGGACTTAAACCAAAGCCATCGCTACAGACAGCTAGAGACATGTCCGGTGATGGAAGGGTTAACCCTCCAGCCAGACAGGCAAATTATCTCAGCACCTAGCCAGAAAGCCCCAAGACATGAGAAGCAGAAAATGGATAGAATTAAAGAAAAGCAAGACAGCGCAACATTAGTGGCCAGGGGCATTAACACCTGTCTCTTAATAATTGATGGATCAATTAGATATAAAAATTCTGCCCTAGAGTTCTGTCAAGAGCTTCCTGGGTCCGGGATGTCGAAGGGAGGGTGTAGCCAGGAAGAATATGGAGTGGAGTCTCACATGGGGCTGTGAAGTCCTGAGAATAACTCGGGGCTGTGCTGGACACTGCTTTCTGTTTGCCTTAGTTCAGACAGTTACCAGGTAAGGGGCGTCAACCCTCGGAAAGCCAGGGAAGAAGATACAATTTGAAGTCAAAGCCTCTAGTTCTAATGCTCGCTCAATTTGAACCCATGAGTCCCTCCCTTGCACATTAACCACCTCACGGTTGAAGGCAGACTGCATCATTTAACCCCCAGGGTGCCGACTAAGCAGCATGTGTACAAAGAGGCATGCCAATGGACACCCCACACATGTGGCGGCATCGGCTCGTGCGATGGAGAAAAGCAGGGGTTAGAAGAGCCACCCAGAGGCCAGAACCCAGCAAACCACAGAGCAAGGTGGTGGAATTAACTTCCAGAGGGCTGAGCTCCACAGGACCAGGGCAACAAGTTCAGCACACCCGGTGTGGACAGCTCCCTCTGGGCTGAGGCGGGCAGGAAGAACTGAATTTAGGTGGATACTGAGCAAGCAGCTCCATGTCCCTGCTGCCAGGGGCAAGAGACACTTCCACCTCCACCAACTTCTTCCTCTGCCATGACGGTCTGTGCCCAGAGCTTCCTCCCTTCAGCCTCTCCTCATCAGGTCCTCACAGCGAGAAACGTGGAACAACTTTAGTCACCACAATAGGTTTTTAATTCATTTTAAATGAATGTGTCTGTGTGTCTGAGTGAGCGTATGTGCACCAGGTACAGGCAGGTGCCATGGAAGCCAAAAGAAGGTATTGGATCCCCCAGAGCTGGAGTTACTGGGGGTGGTGGCTGCTGGGAAATGAACCTGGGTCCTCTTCACAGGTGAGCAATCTCCCTGCCCATAATAATTATTTTTAATGCTCTGCATAAGGACCCAGGCTGAGAGTCTGGGTTTGAGTCCCAGCTCTATTCCTGCCTGGCTCCACAGTCCTGTTTCAGCCACCTCTGCTGAGAAACTAATTCCCTGAGCAGAAAGCTTTGTTTTGGAACACTGTCTCAGGCTGTAACTCTACCACCTTGTACCTTGGGGGATGAGTGTGAACTCCTGACCTTTCTGTCTCTACCTCCTTAGTGTTAGGATCACAGGCATGCCCCACAACACCAGGAAACTATGTTGTGATGCCAGCGTGCGGGTACCCAGAGTGAGATCACTTCTCGGAGAAGCCGGTACAGCTCGCAAAGACACCACAAATCAGGGGCAAGGGGGAGTCACTAGGGCTCATTTTCCACCCTGGAAAGAATCCCCTCTGCCGCCGTCTAGTGTCTAATGTCGACACTGACCTTTTTCCCGCTGTCAGATGTATCTCACTGAATCCTGAGGTCTTAACCACTCTGTGAGCAGAGCCTACCGGCTTACCCACCAGAGCACATGCTCATGTATAATTCATAGCCCATCACGTTTCCTGACGAATGAATATTTATCAGCATTTTCATAAGAGACAGGATGGTGTTTTCTTACTTTGCTACCAAAATTCTATGCCCCAGCAAATGAAATTTGTGAACAAATATATATATAAAAAAAATGAGAAGCAGAAAATACTCCCAACCAAGTCCATTGCCTCAGTAATTTTCCATTCTCTGGCGCCTGGAGTGTGTATGGAGGTGGATTCAGCTTAGCTGCAACAGAATCCTGCCGACTTGTCCAGCGTCCAAACACCGCCATGAGCCGTACCCATCGCCCCCACAGGAAGCTCCTCCACACCCCCAGCCTGCCTCATTTCCAACTGCGCAGGAGCCCCAGAGTCTCCAGACTATGGACCCTCTGTGTGGTGATCGAGCATGCAGGGACCAAGAAGAAAAGACCTCACATGCTGATTGGTTAAGAGCCAAACCAAATTACGGGGCTTCCAAACTGTGCGGCCAAACAGACAGGAGACAGCTGACTCAGAGAGCAGGCAGATTCACACAGAAGGATCTGTGTCTCCTGCTGGAGGTGCCCTGTGTCCTGGGACAGTGACCAGAAACCAAGGGGCCTAAGACTGTGACTCTGTTTACCCCTCCAACCTCATGGTTCACTGAGGATGGCAGTGTGGAGGATTCTACTTCACACACACACACACACACACACACACACACACACACACACACACACACAGAGGTGATGGTTCAGTGTGGCTGTGAATAAAGTTTGTGGATCAACCACCCTTCAGCCTGACCCTGAAAGATCACCACCACCATGGCTGCTGCTATTGATAGAAGCAGTTAATGTGCGTGAAGCCCCTCCCATGCGCCCGGACCTGTATAGAGCACTTTGGCTACTCTACAATATCTTCAGAGTGCTGATGGAGGCAGCTGCTGCTGCTGTCCCCACTCTAGAGGTGAAGAGACTGAGGTGGACGGTCGCTTACCCGAGTGATAACTGAAGTCACACATATCTGACCCCGAGATCCACATTCTTCCATCAACCCCCGCCCCGGAATTTAGAAGCTGCCTTTCAAGGAACAAGCCCATGAACAGCCGTGGAATTCATTTCTAAGGGCCTGACATTTGCTTTATCTTCCAGGGTAAAAGTATACAGATAGATTGTGTGTGTGTGTGTGTGTATGTGTGTGTGTGTGTGTGTGTGTGTGTGCCTGTATGTGTCTATGTGTGTGTACAAGCATGTGTCTTGTATGTGTCTGTGTGTCTGTGTGCATGTGTGTACTCACATCCACTTACACACACTTGTGTGTGCATATGCACACGTGTGCATTCATCCATCTGGTTAAAATTAGTGAGTACTTGCTGGGAAACTTAGTTTCAGTTAAGGCCAGGGACTTCTGAGACATCAGAACAAGAGGACTCAGTGGTGAGTGTCCCTGAGCTGGGGCTGGATAGCAAAGGGTACATCAGAGAGTGTCCCCTGGAGAAAGGACAGCCTGTGCAAAGGCCCTGAGGCAGCCTGTTCATTACACTCTCATGTGATGTACTCCTCAAACACTCCCACGGGCCATCTCAGGGTGCGGGTGCTGAACCGGTCCCCTTGGGTTTTGTGCTGCACAGTCCTTGTGAGGTGGGAAACAGGACACGCTCTTTCCTCTTATTCTTTTCTGGGCATCCTCAGGGAGGTTTCAGGAGGGCATTCTGGGTAGGGATGCAGTCTAGGGCTGAGGTGTGCCACAAATCACCGGCTACTCTCTGCACTGCCCCAAGGCCTCGCTCTTAGATCCCTCATGCTCCCGCTGCCCTTGAGCAGTCCATACAGAACAGGCTCTGTGGCCCACAGGGGAGCATCTGGCCTCCTACTGCTCGGGAGCCAACTCCACATACCTTCCTCTCATCCAGTCCCTCGGAGGTCAAGTCAAGCTTCTTCAGCAGTGGAGGGTCCAGCACCTGGAACCGACGGCGGAACTGAGCGAGCCCCATGTGTTCAGCGTAACCTGGGGACAGAGCAGGCCAGTCACGGGCGGGAAGTGCTCAGTCAACACTGGGTGTTGCTCACATGTTCCTGCTCTGGGACTCCTTTGTACAGACCCCCTCCTCAACAAGACCTGGAAAACTCTACAGCATCTTCCTAGGGCTTTCTCTCAGGTGATTCTCTCTCAATAGCTCTCTAATACCCCTTCCCTCCAGTGTCCCACAGAACATGCATCTCTGTTCACCCCGAGGGACAGATCGTTAAAGCCTTTGTACACTGACCAGGGCATCATGCTTCCCATATAATCTAAGGGGCGAGAAAAGTACTGGGCACAGACAGGAGATGCCACACACATCACATACCACACACATATACACACCACACACATCATACCATACACATCACGTATACGCATATCACATACACAACAGACACACACATATTCATACAGACACAAACACACCACACACACACACACACATTTACACACCACACACACATCACACCATATACATCACATACACACATATCACATACACACCAGACACACGCATACTCATACAGACACAAACACACCACACACACATACTACAACACCACACACACAAACTCATGAACACATACACACATATATATTCATACACATGCATACACACAAACTCATGAACACACAGACACAATCACATACATATATATATATCCACACACTCTATGATGCAACCATGCCTGCTACCAGTCAAGCAGGTTTATTGGCTGTGGGGCCTGGCTGCCAGCTGTGAACCCCTTTCTTTCCCCTACGACGTTATTCACCTCCCCCTGCCTGTGCTGGTGTTCTTGGTACGCAGTGGGGAGCAGGGGGGGTCTCAGCTTTGCCTTTAAGGACCCCCAGATTCTCTGTCAAATACCCTGTGTCCACAGTCCCTCTATTGACATGGGGTTTGCAGCGACCACAAGACATCAGAGACCACAGGACGTTATACAAACAGGCCGCATGAGACTGCCGCCGGCCTCTGCAGAGAGCGGCTGAGCGCAGACCTTCGAAAAGCTGAGTGGTAGAAAACGGCGGGGTGATTTCAGATCAAACCTGATGCATAAGATTAACCAGCAGCAGAAACCGCAGGCGCGGGGTTGCATACTGAACAGATCTGCACACTCTTTCCTGTGCCTAAAACCCCACGTTTCCCCGCCACTCCATCAGCCAGCTGTACCTGGCAGGAGCTGAGTGGCCAGCGAAGGCGGCGGTGGCCTCCCCTGGTGGAGTGTTAGCTCAACATCCTGCCGGACCCCACTCCCTGGAACCCCCGCTCCTGTGCCTCCCTGCCTTGCCCCTGAGGAGTCCATCACTATTTTGAACCTCAGTTGCTTCATCTGTAAAATGGGAGGCAGGCAGACACAACTTTTCTCACTGTGTGCACAGCTCAGGGCACATAGTGGGTGCTCCTGTTCCATGACTGTCTGACACATAACGAGCATCCCTGTCTTGTGGCTGACTAGCGCATAGCGGGTACTGCCAGGACCAGGGCACCTTGTTCCCATCTGTCTCTTACCTGCCCTGTGCAGTCGTAATGCCTCTAGAATATGAGAACCTGCGAGTTGAACCCTCAATGCCGGGATGTCCAGAGCTGGGGACTCGTCGGCTCCACCTTGGTCTCCACCAGGCTGTGGTGGCGATGGAGTCGCCTGCTCAGTCTTGCTTTTCCCTGAGGTCGGCACAAGACAGTGGATGAAGTGCAGTTGAGATCGGCTCAGCAAGCTGATGAGAGCATCCTGGAACCGAACCAGACAGGGAATCAGAGCCGGTATCTCAGGGAGACGCAGACAGGCACACACTGAGCCACGCCTGGACATCCTTGGGGACTCCCTGTGTCCCACGCCCAAGACCTTGTACTTACAGTGATTTATGTTCAGGAGAGATAAGGGGCCTGGTGGGCACAGTTGGAGAAACTGGGGCATGGGAGAGGCCAGTGAGTGGGACTAGGTCACAGAGACAATCCCCCCCTCCCAGCAGAGAAACTATGACTGGAATCTAGGACTTAGGACTTGGGGCTAATACTCTGTGAGAGTCTCATTCTTCAAACACATCCTTCCCACAGGCAATTGCAGTTCTCATTCACACTCAGCCTGACCAGTGACCAATCCGATGCTCACATTCCTTCTCAGGCTAAGGTAGCATGCTCACATCGGTGCTGGATCCTGCTGCCTGCACCCCACCAGAGGGGGTGTCTCAGGAAGAAGGGCAGGTGGAGCTCAGACAAGGGGCAATGGTGACCCATGGGTACCCCGGACCCAAGGTCCTCAGCTCAGCATCAAACACCCAAGGCTCTGTCTGGCCTTGGACCTCGGTGAGTCACTTCTCAGAGGTGGCCAATGGCCACCCTTCCCTGTGTCCCTCTCAGCAGAATGGGGAAAACCTACCCCTGTGGTTTGGCAGGGCATGGTAGAAGTGAGCAGAGCCTGCTCGGGTGGTGGTCCCTGTCATGGAAGTCCAAGGTCACACGGGTCATAGCCTAGCTCCCTCACTCACCATCTGCAGCTTGATCTGGGCACAGGGGGCCTTCCTCTTCAGGGCCGCAGTGTTACTCGCGAAAGCCCTCCTCACCACACGCCCCCGGTGCAGAGCCTGCTGAGAGGTCCCCTGGAGCCCTGCCACCGCACGGCACACAGGAGGCAGCTTGGCCCGGGCCTGGAAGAGGTTCTGCAGCTCCTCCCTAGTGAGGAAGAGAGACGGGGTAGCAAGGGACTCTCTGGCAAGCTCATCCCTGTGGAAAGGAAGGCATAAGCCCCTCTGTTTACAAGCTTCCTGTCTCAGAAATGCTGGCTCCTTCCGGAGCAACCCTCTGTTCACTGCCCACGAGAGTCTCCCTCCTGGCAATCCCACAAAGCCTCCCCAACCTGCAGGCACAGTCATGTTAACTATCCCTAGAACAGGCCAGGTATACAGTAGGCGCCAACTGTATGACTATAAGAATGAAAGACTCATGGCTACAAGATAATAATGAAGTGCCCAGGCTCACACCCAAGCAGTCTCCACCCTCCCTCAGCCTCCCCACAACTGGCCTCTTCCAACACATATTTTGAGGGTGCCTGGCTCCTAAGGCTCCCTCATGAATGCAAGCAGGCATTGCTCAAGGGCAGAGATATGGAACCAACTAGGTGCCCAACAGAGGAGTGGATAAAGAAATGTGGCTTGTATAACAACAGAACTCTTTGTATCCATGAAGAAGAATGGAGTTAGGCCAGCTGCAGAAAAGTAACTATAAATGGAAACAGTCACATGAAAAGACCCCAGTCAGTCCCAGAAAGACAGAACCACTGTTTTCTCTGTCTGTGGGTCCCAGACTTGATACAAACATAAGGCCCATATATGTTCTGATCTATGTCATGCACAGGAGAAGCAAATTCATCTGGGAGCGAAGAGTACTAATGGGAGGAGAAGACAATGAGGCAGAGGAAGAGCAGGACCAAAGCACATATACGCTACGGAGTGGCTGCCATCCAATTCTTCAGACAGAGCAGTCCACATGGGGGCCAGGAAAATGACTTCATATAATCCTGCATCATAATTTTAAGTAACATATCAACGTTATTTTTTTTTTTCAGAAAGAAAAAGGTGGCTAGGCAGAACCCACTGCTCCAGGGAAGGGGCTAGGACCCAGAGCCGTGGTGCCTGCCATGTGCCACCAACCCTGTCTCCCCGTGAAGCATTGGGGGATCTTTTGTCAGTACCCTAAAGCCCAGGTCGCACTCCAGGCCCAGCCCCAGAGACACGTGATCCAGACCACAGCACACTGGCTCATGGGAGCCAAAGGTGTGCCAAATGGATTAAAAGCATAAGCAGGTGGCAAGACTCGGCAGAAGTGTGGCATACGGTGCTGACATCAGGGTCTAACCAGAATGCTGAGGCAGCACCCAGGAGCCACGAGCCTGGGGTGGAGACGGCAGGCGCTCCCAAACCCAGCCTTGGCCTGATGTGTGGCTCCATCCCATGGAATGGACGGACTCCTCTGTTTTTCTGTCTTTCATGTGACCTTGGGCAAGTCCCCGGTTCTCTCCGGGAGACCTCAGCTCCCAGCTATAAATGACCAAAACAATACTTGTAGCTCTCGGAACACACAACCTTAGGTAAGCCTTTGAGACCACAGGTGGAGCTCTAGAGACCCGTTGAACCCAGTCCTGGTGGGTTCACTGAGGGTCTGACTATAAATCCTCACTCTGAGATCCAGCAGGGCTTGCTCTCACAGTCACCAGGGTTAGGATCTGCTGGCAGCCAGCTGCAACAAGTTCAAAATGTTCTTTGAGTTTCGTTTATTTGTGTTGTTGTTGTTGTTTGAAACAGGGTTTCACTGTGAGACCTGGCTAGCCTGGAATTTACTATGTGACCAGCCAGGCTGGTCTCAACTCACAGTGACCCATCTGCCTCCAGAGTGCTGGGATTAAAAGTGTGCATCACCACGCCTGGCAAAACATTCTAATAGGATTTATGCCCAGTAGTACTTTGCCTTTCAGCCCTCGTCCTGGCACTAAGACCCTGGCTCACCCGGTCAGTGAGAGTTTGCCTCACTTGGCTTCTGATGCAGGGTCTCAGAGCACAGAGGAGCTCTACGAGACCCCAAGGCATGCCCTGAGAGTCTGCTGCCACCCGGGCTCCTCCCTAAGCCTCCTGCCACTTTATATTGTAGACGTTTTAGTAAACACCCACGTGTGGCCACCGCTCCCACATCTCACGCTGTGGAGTGGAGGCCCAGGGTTTCCAGTGTGAGCCGGGAAGAAACTGAGGCACATTCTATACATCCCCTGCCTATGAGGCAGAGGCAGCCTGCTGAATCTCCTAGTTGGTATGGTGGAGGAAGCCATGGGAGAAAGAGACTGCTCACCACCACACCCAAAGACGGAACTAGGGCTTGAGCCCTGTGTCCCAGATCCCCACTAACTAACCCTCCTTTTGCCTCATTCTCCATCTGGGTCTCTGCTAGAGCTATGAACTCCTGTGGCCTTCTGGATTTGGGGGTTCCAATGAACTCTGACCATAAGAGCTTCCCTGAGCATCGTTGAGGTTCAAGCCGTACCCCAGCTCTGCCCACAGAGTCAACTCCACGGTCAAAAAAAGGAAGGAACATCACCACTGGGGACGTGTTTCCCCATCTGTAAAAATAGAACTGAGGATGCAGCGGTCCTCCAAAGAGTGATAAGACAGAGCACACAGTAGGCAGTCTGCATACACCCCTTCCTGATCAGTCTGCCTACCTGAGAGGCTAGTCCCTCCTCCTCTGCCTGCCTTGAGGCTCTGCCCCACTAGGCTCTCAGCGTTGAACCTGAGCTGCATGCAGCCCCGCAAAGCAAGCGTTTTCTATTAACCTGGAAGTGGAGTCTGGATGGCTGCAGGCCTCCTGCTCGTGCTTCTGGGACGAGCGAGCAGGGAGTGCAAAGAGCCTTTTCTACTGCTACAAAACATATCATTTTGGTTTTATGAGCCCCTGGGTTCTGGAATGTCCATAAAAGTTACTCCAGTCACATCGTCTCTCAGATACTTAATGAAAGGTGGAAAGCCAAAACAGAGAGACACGGCTTTTTCCGCTGTGAGCTGACTCCCCCGAAGGCCTGCTCTGCTCTGCCACTGGGTCTGCTCTGTCCCCGGGGGAGACATTGTACTACTCCAATTGGAGTCATGGCCTTCGTTCCGCGGCAGACAGGATGGAATTTCTAGACTGCCCTTGCTCACTGGGTTGTTGCTGAACAGGAGCAGCTGCAGGGGACGGATGCACCTGCCCTGTCCCACGCCTGGCTCGGCTCACCTTTGTGACTGCTGCAGGACCTGGGGGGCCTCCAGGGCTGAGAGGTTGGGCTTGGCTCTGCGAAGCCAGCCCGTGAGGTCATAGCGCACAGGGTCCTGTCCCAGCCGGTGGAAGAGCTCACACTGAAGGGGCTGCTCACAGGTCCGCAGCACGGGGGGGCCTGGAATCAGATGGTAGCATGAGTGGTGGGGATCCGCCAGGAATGTATGCACGCTGTTCGCACACCCCACCACCAAATTTAAAGATAGTCAATGTGTTTCTAGACAGCTAAAGCCGGTAGTCCCGGTGCGCACACTCCCCACAGTAGTGAGGTGCACACACTACTTCCAGGTCTGTTCCTTTCTGTGTTCTTAAGACCCAGACACTTATTTTGCCCAAACATTAGAGAACACACAAGCACATTCTTTGAAAAAGAAGCATTTGACCCTTAGCCTGGTGTACATGAGCACCATCTCTTTCCTACCATGCATGGAGATAAGTAGCTGTTAAATACTTTAAAACATACATCCCTGTGCAATCTAAAACTGTCTGAAGTACCAAACAAAGGCTCGTTTGGGTGATACTGGCCCCAGCCCCTTGACAGATAGAGACACAAAGGGCCTCAGTCTCAGGGTGAGAGGGAATTCGAACTCACTGGAATGAATTACTGTGCAAACGGGACTGAGCCATAGAGTCTCTCTCTCTGAGCCTTAGCTCCCTGGTCTGCAAAGTGGGGCTTAAATAATGCATACCTGCCAAGGTGGGTCAGAGGCAAAGGATGCATAAAACATTTAGATGCCACATGGCACTCAGCAAGCAGCTGCATCGCCACCACTGTTTACTAAAGTTAACCTCCGGGTGATGCTTCAGAATCACAAAGTGTTTATCTCTCTCTCTTCTCCTTAGTGCTCAGGGTCTGGCTTGGTGTATGGATTGTAGGAAGCACTGGGGATGGATGGATGGATGGATGGATGGATGGATGGATGGATGGATGGATGGGTGGGTGGGTGGATGGGTGTGTGGATGGATGGGTGGGTGAGTGGATGGGTGGGTGGATGGATGAATGGATGGGTGGATGGATGGATGGGTGGATGGGTGTGTAGATGGGTGGATAGGTGTGTGGATGGGTGGATGGATGGATGGATGGATGGATGGATGGATGGATGGATGGATGGGCAGGTGGATGGGCGTGTGGATGGGTGAATGGGTGGGTGGATGGGCGTGTGGATGGATGGATGGATAGATGGATGGGTGGATGGGTGGGTGGATGGGCGTGTGGATGGATGGATGGATGGATGGATAGATGAATGGGTGGATGGATGGATGGATGGATGGATGGGTGGATGGATGGGTGGATGGATGGGTGGGTGGATGGGTGGATGGATGGGTGGATGGGTGGGTGGATGGGTGGGTGCATGGGTGTGTGGATGGGTGGATGGATGCTAGAGAGATAAAGCCTTGTCTTGTATTGTTTCCATCTTTGATTAACTCCCCCACAAGACTGGATCTCCAGGCAGGGTCCTTCAGCCCTTTCTGTTCAGCCCTTAGCACAGAATGCATATGATATGACTGTCCGGGGACACAGGTCCCTGGGGGCTCCTCCAACCATTGTTGGGCTCTGTGGTGGTTTAAAAATGGTCCCCATTAAGGCTCATAGATTTGAATACTTGGTCATCAGGGAGTGGCACTATTTGAAGGATTAAGAGGTATGGCCTTGTTGGAGGAAGTGTGTTACTGGGGGTGGCCTTTGAGGTTTCAAAAAGCCCATTCCAAGTCAAGAGTCTCTCTCTTCCTGCTGTCTGTGGATCTGGATCTCAGCAACTTCTCCCGCACCATGTCTGCCTGCATGCCACCATGCTCCTCGCTATGATGAAAATGGACTGTACCTCTGAACTGTTAGCCAGCCCCAATTAAATGCTCTCTTTGATAAGAGTTGCGGCAATCATGGTCTCTTCACAGCAATAGAACATCGACAAAGACAGGCTCACTAGCCTGTGTGAGGACACTCAGCTGAGGTCAGAGTGTCTACCCCAGATTTTGTTCTCAAGAGCTCAGAGCTCATTAGAAAAATCTGGAGAGGGAGAAAAAGCCTTTGAAACCAAAATGCCTAAATCACTGTGTCTTTCTTGGCCCATTCAGGACAAAGGACAGAGTCTCCCCCTGGGAACAGAGAGCCTTAGGGTGTCTGGCTCAGAGTATCTGGGATTGGACAATCAAGCCTACGTAAAGAAAGGTTTGCAGACATCAGTGGGTCCCTTCCTACCCCAGCCACGCTCCACAAGACACCGTCTCCATCTGACCCAACTTCCAGTCTCCTTTGCTTTAAAGTCGGGATGCAGATGGCACTGCGTTTGAAAATTTTCATTTCATTGGCTCCGCATCATTAAGTTTTCACATATTCATCAATTTTGTGTCAGGAACCTGTGCACCTAATTACACCAGGGCTATTCTAGGGGCTGCCCCTTGAGGGAACCAGCCCAGCTCTCATCCCCAACAAGCTGGCCTACCCTGAGATGGGCATGTCTGATGAGAAAGCATGTGAGGTCAGGTGGCGGAGAAGAATAAAGGAGTGCAGATAATACGGGGTATTGTTTTATACAAGGTGGTGCTCAGAAAGGGCCCCAAGGCTCAAAGGATGTGGGGAAGTCCACCCATGGTGCTGGGATGAGGAGGAAGGGTGCCCTGGTGCATGGACGGAACTGACAGTACACAGCCCCCGGGTGGGGGTGCCCATGGCACGTTCGAGGAGCCACAGAGAGGTTCACCTAACTGTGCACTGTTCCCCTTTCATGACCATAGCCTAAGGCAGGCTCCTGTATTTTTAAAAAGATCTTTTTAACTTCATAGTTTTGGTTCAAACAGCATGCTGTGGAGTTTCTCTGGGATTTCCCTGGCTACATTATACTGTGGCAGGGGGGTGTGTGTGTGTGTGTGTGTGTGTGTGTGTGTGTGTGTGTGTACATGTAATCCTGTTTTATTAGTGTTACAATATACAGACCATGTTACTAATATACAGGCCTACATCACATGTGTATGTGTATATGTGTAAACATTGTATTTAACCTGATTTCCCCCCCTGCATTTAATAGACGTTAGCACATGTTTGTAACCTCCTAAAACAGCCCCAGGCATTGTGATTGCCTAGCAAAGAAGGTGGAGCCTCTCCCAACTGGTATAGACAGACTCCCACAAGGCAGGACTCACCCCCATCCCCACCCCCTGCCTCCTTACCATCAGCCTCAGCTGCCTTCTTCTCAAAGGCTGCACGTAGACGCTCAAGTACCACACTGTCACTGGACCCTTCCACCTGGACTTCTTCATCCAAGACCCAGAAGAGGCCCCCGGCATCCTCAGCCCCTCTTCCAGCTGGGAAGTGGACCTGGTGGAAGATGCTGAGAGTCAGTTGGGGATGTCTCCTCCCAGCCCTCAGGGCTAAGCATGCCTGGAGGGCCCTGTGATCCTGCTCGGGCTTCACTCTCACTACTGAAGCCAAGCACTGCCTGCAAAGGACCTGAAACCTCCTGCCTCCATCTTTTTTATTATTATTAATTATGTATACAGCATGTATGACTGTGGGCCAGAAGAGGGCACCAGATCTCATTACAGATGGTTATGAGCCACCATGTGGTCACTGGGAATTGAACTCAGGACCTCTGGAAGAGCAGTCAGTGCTGTTAACCTCTGAACCATTTCTCCAGCCCCTCCTGCTTCCATCTTTAACTCCTATATGACGTTGCACAATCTAATGTACCCCTCTGAGACTTGTTTCCTCAAGTGTAAAACAGAGCCTGGACAGGCCTTACCCAGAGGGCTGCCCTGGGGATTTAAGAAGGATGTGACTGCTTGTGATTCCTCCCTGCCACACACACACACACACACACACACACACACACACACATACACACACACACACAGGGAGCTGGGGTACGCGCACAGCCAGCCCAACATATCACTCCCTCTTAGAAATCTTGGTATTTTATTATACTGAGATCTCAGGGTACAAATTTAAAGAGACAAGCACTCAAGGAATATTCTAGAGAACATGAACTTGATTTCATAGCAGACATGGAATTTTAAAGCTAACCACAGCAACCTTCCAGGAAACCTGTGGGTTTGCTTGTTGGTATACGAGAGAGACCTGGTGAGGTTTGAGTTGGCACAAGAACACAATGGGCTGAGTACAGATGGGGGCAGGGGGTGTGGCAATGCCAGCCAACCCCGTGTGCCTGGGGCCCTGGGCTGAATCAGGGCTCTGGTGACCTTTCGGTCTCTAAAGCCTGGAGAGATCAAGGGACATTATTCAGGGTTGCATGGTGGTCCCCAGGGACAAGCCTAGAGGACCGTTGGCCTTCATCACTGGGCTCAAGATGGACAAGCTGGTCCATCCTCAGGAGAGGCCCCCAGAAGCCACAGCTCAGGTCCCTCGGACCACTGCGCTCTCCCAGCTGACCCTTGCAGACAGATGATGGACAGGTAAGGAAACCTGTATAGTGAGAACAGCTCCAGACCTTCTAATGGGGGGCTCAGCACACAGCCACTCCCCAGGGCTGTGGAGGAGGAGGCTTCACAAGGGCAGTTGGTACACTGTGGCCAGGAGGAGCCGTGGCAGCAGGAGACAGGATGAGGAAGTGCAGCCTAAGGCAGAAGGGCCCCTGACAGGACCCATCTGTCACACTCAGTCACAAGGTGCTTGCTGTTCAGCGTTTTGGTGAGGTTATACCCACTCAGAGAAACACACTGTACCCACTTTGGAGAAACGGAAACTGAGGCTGAGAGAGGTGAAAAGCTGGGCTTGAGGCCATCAAGATTGAACCCATGCCTGCATTGCTCCATAGCTCACGAATTTTCACACCAAAAAGCGAAGGGCCGAAAATAAAAATAAGATGCCAGGGTCAGAGGTCAAAGGTCTGCGACAAGGGTGAGCTGGCTGGGGGACTAATCACTAAGTTTGGGAACTGAGAATGGTGTGGGTGTGAGTCCTCTCCCACAGAAGCCTGTCTGCCTCCAAGGTTGTCCCTCCCTCCAGGATCTGCAGCTGAATCCCAGATGGCCCCGGGTGGGAGCCGCTGGAGCCCCGGCGCGTTTGGGCCACATGAGTCTGGCCTAAGATATATCTCTGTGGCGCAGAGCTGAGTGGCAGGCCTTAGGTCCCAAGGCATCTCCACGTCCACACCCCACACCAATCCATGTCGCTAACTATTCCTGGGAAATCCTGGTTCAGAGAGCTTGGATAATGGGCATCCCAAAGCCTGTACGCTGTGGTTTCATGTCTGAGAGCCCCAGGGCCCTGGTTGCTCTCTTACCTGGGAGGGGTTATGATCCACAACAGCCACCGTAGTTCCTGGGGAGGATTCTGGGAGGTCAACGTGCACAGGAATGCCTTCCTGAAATCCATAGGGTGTGTACATTAGTTCCCTCCTAAGCTTGGTGGGTAGAAAAAAAATTGCCAGGCGGTGGTGGCACAGGCCTTTAATCCCAGCTCCCAGAGGCAGAGCCAGGCGGATCTCTGTGAGTTCAAGGCCAGCCTGGGCTACCAAGTGAGTTCCAGGAAAGGCGCAAAGCTACACAGAGAAACCCTGTCTCAAAAGACCAAAAAAAAAAAAAAAAAAAAAGAAAGAAAGTGAAGATTCCAACGCTATTAAGCCATCCTTTCAAAGTTAGTTTTAAAATTGTCCTGAAATGTGCGTAACAGAAACTCTGCCCCGCCGACCGTTTGTTGATTGGTGGCATTGATGCTGGGATGCCACCATCTCCACTGTCCCCCAGAACTTTTAAAATCGACCGTGTGCACGTTAACCGTGTTTGATAAGAGCTTTTAATGTGTGCTGACAGCTTTCACCCTGTGAAATGGAAACGGCCCACTACACAGCTGCCCACACTTCCCGTGTGCTAAAGCTTCAGATGATCTGACCTTCCGGCCCTGTGACTTTGCAGTCAGCGCCCCACATAGGAGGCACCACACAGCATGTATCCTTTAGCGCCTGGTTCGCGTCACTTAGCAGAATGTCCTCAAAGTTTGCCCACACTGTAGCAGGCACCAGAGTTAATGTCCTAAAGATTGGGTGATGTCCCACAGAGCCCGTCGGCCATGTTTTCTTGATCTGTGCTTGCACTGGACACTTGGGTGGGTGACCTAGCACAGCCCTCTGCAGTGACTCGTGCTGTTACGGACATGGGTGTAGAAACACGTCTTTAAAAATGTTTGGGGTGTGTACCCAGAAGTGGACCACGGGCCCCAGAGCCACGTCCAGACCCAAGTGCCATCCTGGTTCCCTGGAGACTTTCTGAGCAATAACAGAAGGGCCTCGCGGTGCCGCGTCTTCAAGGCAGTTTGTTGGACAGATGTGCTGTCCGCAGTGATAACAGATATAGGAATATCACCCTCAGTTTCCCATGTGATGAAATCAAGGGTCAGAGAAGGCGCTCAGGCTTTCCAAGGCCACACAGCCAATCAATGCCAGATGTAGAGTGAGACTCTCCAACCCATAATTATTCATTCGTGCCTGACCCATGTTGGCTCCAACTAAAGAAATGGCTGCAACTCCAACACCCCTTATCCTACAGAGGGCAAGATGGTCGTTTCTATCACCCTCCCTGAGCACTCACTGCAGGAGCACTCACTGGAGGAGCACTCACTGCAGGAGCACTCACTGCAGGAGCACTCACTGCAGGAGCACTCACTGCAGGAGCACTCACTGCAGGAGCACTCACTGCAGGAGCACCTGGGGTCCCAACCTCATCATCACCCAGGAAGTGGACACACACTGTGTCCATCTGGAGATGCTCTCTTTGTGCACACACTCAGGGTTTGTGTGTCCCTCTGTGCTGACAGTTTATGCCCCCTCTGATGGCCAGCACGGATGCAGGAAGAAAGGCCAGTCAGAAGCAACTGGGTCTTATGTGTTCCTGGCCCACAAGCTAACGGTTTATGGACGGCCCCACAGAAGGCCTGTGGCCAGGCGCATACACCTGCGACTCCGTTCGAAATGGCTGCTTGTGCGCCCCCCCCCGCCCCCCAAGGGTGGTCACCCTTGTGTCTGTACACAGCAGCAGCTCGTGAGGGGCCGTCTGCACCAGGGCAGAGGTGGAGGAAGCCAGAGCTGGAGCAAGGTGCTCTGTAGGTGATGCAGACCACTTGAGGCGGGTATTCACTCCACCTGTTTGGCCTCACCCCTGGGGCCCAGGCCTGGGGGGCCCCGGTCTAGCTAACACACACCTCTTGGTATCTCTCCAGAGTCGAGACAAAGGTCCTGTGGTAGAACAGCAGCTGCAAACGCTCCTGGGCGTAATTGTAACACAGCTCCTCGAAGGTGGCCGCCCGGTCTTTGCCCTGGTGCCGAGGATTCTGAAAGCCGGGAGAGTCGACCACCATGATGGAGGCCATAGACAGATGGTGGGAGGAGAAAGATCTGGGGAGAAAAGAGGAAGGCTCTGAGTTCACGTGGAGTCTGCTGGTTCAAGCAGAGATAGAGAAACTGAGGCAGCACTCTAGGCGGATTTGGAGATCTGGCAGATCTGGTTTCCAATCCAAGCTCACCATTCACAGGCTGTGTGACCCCCAGGCACATTACTTAACCTCTCTGAGCATGACTTTGCCCAGCTGTTAAAAGATGACAGGAGTGAGCTGGTCCAGGGCTGCCGTGAAGGAAGTGGGGTGTAAGTGACAGCGTGTCCTGCGATGCGGGGATGCAGCAAGCTTTCAGCAAATGTGGCTTCTCTGTCAGGCCCCAAGTCAGAAGCCGCCTGACAAATTCCCTCTCTTTCCCCACGGCACACTGTAGCTGAGAAACCCATACTGTGTATGTTTTATAGAGGTGTGTGTGGTGTTTTTGTTTTTGTTTTGAGCTATTGCCTCCCCAGATACTCCCAATGCTTCTGTCAGGGGAGACAGCCTGGGTGGCTTGAATCAAAAGGCAGGACGGAAAGATTCTGAAGCCCGGGCTGCCATCCTACTCCGCCAGAGAGGCGCTGTGGGTTTCTGGGGAGCTGTCTGACCTCTCTGGTGCTTGGTTGTGAAATGATTAAAGGCAGAGGCTAGCTCCAAAGGCCTCTGGGAGAATGGGATGTCACACCACACCTGCTGCCATGGCCATGCGGCTGGCCCTGTGATTGGCGCTCATCAAAGTCCCCAGCTCTCGTCACCACCAGCAACATCTGCCGTCAGATCTGGAGAGCATGCTTTGAACCTTAGTTCTCCATTCTCCTTATGAGGACTTTTCTATCTATAAAACGTGGTCAAGAGGGGCAGCCGCCACAGAGACGTGTGTGAGAGGAGGGTGAAGTTGGGGAGGCAGGCACCTGAAGAGACCATAAACCCGCCCCGTGACCTCCCTTCTCATCAAAGCCTCTATGGCGGAGACGCCGGCAGGCCCAGGGCAGGAGAGGTGACCGCTCTGCCGCCCTTCCCCAAAGCACCATGATCCCTTGGTTTCCAGATAAGGTGCCCGCGCCTCCCGACGGATGGTAATTACTCAGACAGCGATAAAGGGAGTCGATTCCAAGGCCCTGGCGCCTGGAGATCCCGGCTGCTCGGTTGCTACGCAGCAGCGGCTCATCCCTAACAGGATTCAGAAGTCTAATTATGCTGTGCACTCTTGTGGGGAAGGGGCCCCCTCCTCGTGTTCCCCACGGGTCATGCTGGAGCTGCTCAATGGGCTTCTGGAGACGCTGGGCTCGGAGCAGCCCGCCACACTCCCTGGACTGCCACCCCGCAGGCCATCCTGCCATTCTGTCCTACGTGTCCCCCACTCCGGAAAGGAGAAGTTAGAAAAATAAATGACAAGAGCAGCGTGCTGGGAGAGAGCGGCTGAGGGTGGCATCTTACTGGCTCCCCCTCCACACCTCCTTCCATCCCATTTGTCCACTGGACAGGTGTGAGCAGGAATCATTAGGGCCGGCCCCAGCCCCCAGCAGGTGTTCCCAAATCCGGAAGTTTTGTTGGTGTGTGTGTGTGTGTGTGTGTGTGTGTGTGTGTGTGTGTGTGTGCACATACATGGGTGTGCACGTGTATATGCGTGCATGTGTATGTATGTGTGTGTTTGTATGTGTATATAGAGGCCAGAGGTTCATGTTGGGCATCATCTGCTGTTACTCATCTCCATACCTTCTGAGGCAGGTTCCCTCACCGAACGTGGAGCTCGATGCTTTGGCTCGCCAACGATCTGCCTGGCTTCCCCTCCGCAGCGCTGGGATTACAGGCGTGTGTAGTGGTGTGTGCCTTCATGCCTGTTTTTTTTTTAAGGTGTGTGCTGGGCTCTGAACTTTGTCCCCTGGCTTGAGAGGGGGAACGCTGCCTACTGAGCTGTGCTCCCAGGCCCTGCTGTGGGTCCTTTCACCGTTAGAACCTGATTTCGATGTCTTCTTGCTCACTCCTTCTAATGTCCCAATAAGCCGGGAGGAAACAGCGAATTTTAAGTTGTGGAGACCAGAGAGGTAAATGGACTTGGTGAAGTCACACAGCAAGGGTGAGATTTAAACCCAGCTCTGCCTTACAAGTCCCCACTCTGTTCAAAGTATCCTATTCCGCAAAATGTCCCTGGTTTGTGCCCAATGTGCACTGCGGGAGGTCTGGGCTCAGCCTGACAAGGGCCCCGATACCTGTTGATGAGAGAGACCACAGCCGCGAAGAGCTCTTGGTACAGGCCGGAGGCCATCCCCTCCACACACTCCACGCCCGTCATCTTGAGCCCTGGGATTGGGGAGACAGGAAAGGATCAGTATTCGGAGGTCACGACCCCTCCCAGGGCCAAGGGCATCGACAGGGAGCAGCCAGGGTCACCGGAGTGAGAAGCCACATCCCTCAGGGCTCAAATAATGTGCACGTGGCTTTAAGAAAGGTGCTAACACCCTAGTGGAACCCCAGAGCGTCCCCCAGCACACACCACGCCTCAGATGTTCCTCAGGGAGCCACTGAAATCTTTGGATAAGAATAGCTCCTGTGGGCTAACACGTGTGAATATCTGTGTCCAGCTGGTGGAACTACATGGGAAGGATTGGGAGCTGTGACCTTGTGGGAGGAGGTGAGGTCTTCAAGGTTTCAAAAGGCTGGAACCATTGCCCATTAGCTCTCTCTGCCATGCTTGGGGCTCGAGGTGTGCGCATTCTGCTGCTGTCCCAGCCCGTCACCTGCCGCCATGCCAAACGCTCTCTTTTAGCAGCTACACTGGTGACGGTGTCTTACCACAGGGATAGAAAAGTAACCAGTGCACCACTCTATCTTGGACGTGGTGTCATATTCCGTGCTTAGTCCTCAGCGTGGCACTACCTCAAGAGGGCAGAAACTTGAAGAGGCAGAGCCCGGAGCGGGTGCAAGGTCACTAGGAGTGTGTCCTTGAATGGTGGGACCCTTGATTGCGCTCTCAGCCCAAATAACCCTGGTGAATGTGACCAGCTCCCTTCCTTTGTACAGTACACGGAGAGCTGATTGCAGAGTTGCACCTTAAGGGAGATGCCCTGACACCCCCACCCTTCAGCCCACTGCCAGCCCTGGTCTGGGCATAAAGCATCCCCTTTATACTTATACTTTATACCTATACTTTGCTTTTGTGGTCCTTATTATTTTAAACTATGTCTCCCTTCTGAGACTGGGAGTGCCCCAGAGTGAGGAACCATCTCTGGGGCGGGGCTTTCAGTCTCCAGGCACAGAATGGAAGCATGGACGATGTTCATTGTGCCTGTTTCTCTGGAAGCAGTCAAGGCTCATACTCAGGCTCGATCACTTCACTCCTAAGATTTTACTCAGGGGAAATATTCTGAGCAGCACAGCAGTCTGGGTTCACAGAGTCTTCCAATTGTTTGAATTGCCCAGCATCGTTTTGTTGAGATAACTTGGCCATCCAAGCAAAGACAATCAGACTCCGTCAGCACAGAAGCCCAAGTCGGGCACCGAAGGGTGGGAAACAGGAGAAGCTCTCTCTCCACTGGTGGGGCATGGAGGAACTTAGCAGGTCTCAGACTTGACTGAACACAGGGGCACAAGTGAGTCCCATGAAAGCAGCTGGCCTGGACGAGGCTGTGCAGTGGCGGAGAGTGGCCAGTCACAGCTCCTGACCTTCCACCCTGTTCCTTTCATAGCATTAGACTCCACTTCCCCTCAAGAAAAACACTCCCGCTTCACATTCTGCACGGCCTGCCCACTGCCGCTCCCAAGCCTTTCCCATCTCTCCTTTATCTCCATCCCCGCCCTGGGCTGTTGCTAGGCAACCCACAGCCTCACAGCATTGATCTGAGGCACACTGGTCCCTTGTCTGTCTCTGACACCTTTGCTGGACAGACCAACGCAGACTCAAGAAGTGGGGTGTCTGTCTTTCTGTCTGCCCATCTGTCTTGTGTGCATTCTGTGCCCACCTCTTTTTATGTGTGCAGCACACGTATCCATGTGTGCACATGCTGCTTACCTATGCCCATGTGTGCACACATCTGTGGACATGGGTGTGCACACACCAGCGTGCTGTTCCTGTGTGTGGTGTGCTCTGAATGAGAGGAAGAGGCAGCAGAGTACAAGCCGGGAGAGAAACAGAAGACCCATCCACCTCATCGGAAGGCTGACAGCTCCAGGGACCCACAGGGCAGAGGTTTGTCCCCAAGTCAGCTCAGACAGCCCCTCCTCCTCCTCCTCCTCCTCACAAGCCCTGCTGTCCCACAAAGCACATCTCTGTCTTCTTCAACCACAGCCTCAGGGCCCTGGAGAGCCCCGCTCGCGGGTACAGCCCTCTCACCTGTCCAGAGAAATACCCAGACTTGTCCCCAGGGCTCCTCAGGCCCAATCCAAGATGGCGTCCCTGCGCTTACTGTGTTAGCTCAGTGTGAACCCTAGACCCAGCATCTGTCCCTATTCCCCTTTTCACCTAGTGACGTGTGTGTGTGTGTGTGTGTGTGTGTGTGTGTGTGTATAAGTGTGTGTGAGTATGTTTGTGTGTGTGAGTGTGTGTTTTTATGTGAGTGTGTGTGAGTGTTTGTGTGTGTATGTGTGTGAGTGTATGTGTGTGTGCATTTGTGTGTGTGAGTGTTTGTGTGTGTGTGCATTTGTGAGTATGTGAGTATATGCATGTTTGTGTGTGTGAGTGTGTGTTTTTGTGTGTGTGTGTAAGTGTGTGTGTGAGTGTTTTGTGTGTGTGTGTGTGTGTGTGTGTGTGTGTGTGTGTGTGTGTGTATGTGTGAAGGCCAGAAGGTCACACTGGTGTCTCCTTCCATCACTTTGTGTCTTTTTTTTTTTTTTTTTTTTTGAGACAAGGCCTCTGGCTGAGCCCGGAACTCACAGACTCAGTGGGCCCCAGGGCCTTGTCTCTGCTTCCTCAGGGCTGACATGCACTGCTGTGCCCAGCTCCTGGGTGGGTCCTCGGGAATCCAAACTCAGGGTCTCACGCTTGCACGGCGGGAACTCTGCCCTCTGAGTCATGTCCCAGCCCTTGCCTGAGGTTTCTACAAGTTCTCAGCTCTCCTCCTCCTCCCCTCCTCCTCCTCCTCCCCTCCTCCTCCTCCTCCTCCTCCTCCTCCTCCTCCTCCTCATCCCTGCTCAGTTTTCCAGCTGAGATTTCCTGAGAACAAGGTAAGCCTCATCCTTCCCCGTGAAGCCATTCCTCAGTCTTTGCAAACTGCGCGTACTGATAGGCCCCTGCCCTCCAGCCTCTCCCACATCCCTCCAGGTTCCAGACACACCAGCCTCGCTCTCGTCCCTCACACAGGTAGGCCTGCCTCCCCCTCCTGTCAAGAGTTCCACAAACAGAAACCACAATGGAAACACATCAGCCTCTGGGCACTGCCTAACTGGCCCCCTCTCCCGGCACAGAGGACCCACCCAGGGCTCAGCAGCCTCCATGGTTACCGGCCAGAGAGAGCTGTTTGGCCATAAGCACCAGACAGGGAAAGAACCATTTCCTTTTCCACCAATGCTGGTGCTCCCTGGCCCGGCCCCTGTGCGCAGAGCAGCTCTCCTTAGACGTCTTGATGAACACGGGAAAGCGTGTAGCGCAGCCCCCAGTGCGGCTGCTGCGAGGAGCCAGGCACCCACCCAGCGTGTGGCCTTGAGGGCTTGGTACCTGAGCAGGCGTCCTTGTCCTCCAGGCCCTGGCGCTGTGGCCCTGATGTCATCTGCTCGATAATCTGCCGCAGGTGGTGCTTGAAGGTGGCGGTATTCAGCTCCTCGTAGTCACAGCCCAGGGCCTCGGCAGCGTGGCTGGCCCACTCAAACCGCATGAACTGCTTCCGGCCCACTGCGCGGAGGAGGGTGAGGAAGAGGTGTGGGGTGAGATGGCAGGCACAGGGTGGCAGCGTGCCCAAGAACACCCCGGGGAGTCCTGCCACCACCCCCTATCTATTTTACTAAGGTACTAAATATAGCAAAGGGAAACACCCTGAATGGAGAACAGGGTAGAGTTAGGACATCCCCCACCATGTGTTTATTTATGTGCACATCCGCTGTCTCTTGACCCCTGCCTACCCACTCAACCACCCGACCACTTACCCAGTTCCCCAGCCACACATCCAACCAGCCACCTGTATGTTCAAGCACCTATTTACGGAGTACCTTTGATGTGACAGAAAGTCACACACAGTGACCGCGCTCACGCATCTCACAGTCCAGTGAGGGGGCTAGGCACGAAGCAAGCAGACGGACAGACAGACAAATGAGATGACGTCAGGCGGTACACATTGTAAGAAGAAACCAAAGCAGAATGATGGACAGAGAGGTGGAGGTTGTGTTGGTGTCTGTCGGTCAGAGGAACCCTGGGGAGATGTGACCAGTAAGGAGCCTAGAGGTGAGGAGTCAGTGCCAAGGCCCTGGGGCAGAGATGAGTGTGGTGTGTCTAAGATGCCAGCCCAGCCGGAGCACAGCGGGGAGGAGGGCAGCAGCGTAAAGTCGTCAGAGACCTGGGAAGCCGGCGAGGGGTGTGAGGTCACTGAAAACCCTCCCTGACTCTGTGTAGCACAGACGGTGCTCACAGATGGGGTTAAGGAAAAGGGGGTGAAAAACCAGCCCACAAGATGCTGTAAAGTCATTTCTAACGCGCTATTACACTGAGAAAAGCGGGGAGGGGATGGTGAGATGGCTCAGCGGGTGGGGGGCTTGCTGCCAAGCCTGAAAGACCAGAGTTCAATCCCCGGCTCCCACAGGCCGGAATGTGAGAACTAACTCCTGCAGGCTGTCTATGCACGCGCCACACACACACACACACACACACACACACACACACACACACACACACAGAGATATTTTAATTTTTTTAAAAATTACATGACAAGCAGAAATGTAGTCAGACGGTAATCGTGACAGGGTGAAGAACTGACATTTTCTAAATTCTCGACAGTAGCTGTGGACGGATGTTGTGATCCAAATACAAATAACCGACTAATTAAAACAAATCACAGTGCGCTCCTTCCCAGCGCTCCCTGTCTCCGGACTTCTTGTGGACGTGTACACAAACCGCAGCTACCTGCGGGCGTCCCTCTGTCCCCAGGTGACTGCAGGGACCAGTGGGCCACGGAGACGTCTGACAATCAGGGTGAAGTTGGAAAGCTGGGGGAGGTTCCGCCTGAGACTTTAACCAGTGCTGCCTGGGGAGGACCACGGGTACCGGCTGCTTCCGGGGTGTTTCCGTGTCCCAGCTACGCAGGGACGCTCACCACAAGTGCCGCTTCCCAATGCGGTGAAACTGCAGCTTGGGGGGTCGGTCAACAATGATGGCATGGATGGTGATGGCGCTGATAGTGATGGTGGTGATGATGGTGATGGTGATGGTGATGGTGATGATGGTGATGATGGTGATGGTGGTGATGGTGATGGTGGTGATGGTGGTGGTGATGGTGGTGATGGTGGTGATGGTGGTGATGGTGATGGTGGTGATGGTGGTGATGATGGTGGTGATGGTGATGATGATGATGATGATGGTGATGGTGATGGTGGTGATGGTGGTGATGGTGATGGTGGTGGTGGTGGTGGTGGTGGTGATGATGGTGATGGTGATGGTGGTGATGGTGATGGTGGTGATGGTGATGGTGATGGTGGTGATGGTGGTGATGGTGGTGATGGTGATGGTGATGGTGATGGTGGTGGTGGTGAGGATGGTGGTGATGATGATGGTGGTGATGATGGTGGTGGTGATGGTGATGATGATGGTGATGGTGATGGTGGTGATGGTGATGATGATGGTGATGGTGATGGTGGTGATGGTGATGGTGGTGATAGTGAGGATGGTGGTAGTGATGGTGATGGTGGTGATGGTGGTGATGGTGATGGTGGTGATGATGGTGATGGTGGTGGTGATGGTGATGACAGTGATGGTGGTGATACTGGTGGTGGTGACAATGATATTAAGTGATGGTGATGGTGGTAATGATGGCAGTGGTGAGTATGGTGTAAACAATAAGGGCAGTGACTATAAGGGTTATACTTTATGGACCTTATCTTATTGAACATGCCATATTTCTCAGCTCACCTCATTTGGAACTCTGTTGCCCGTGGAGAACATCTTGGCACGTGTTAGCCCATCTACTGTTTATCGTCACTGTTAAATTTTCACGAGCATCCCAGCGCTGCTACCATTTGTGCTTTTTTGTCGATTACTCCTGTGAGACGGCGTCTCACCACTCAGCCCAGGCTCACGACAGAGCCTGGGCTCTCAGTCTCCTGCCTTCACCTCGGCTGCGGAGGTGGGGGGTCACTGAGAGATGAGACAAACAACTCAGGGAATCACCAGACAGACAACAGACAGCCACCGAGTGGAAGAACTTCCTGACACCAAAGCCCACCCTTCAGATGCCACCTTTAGGAAACTCGGCACGTCCCGAGGACCCCAGCTCCACATTCCCCGACACGTACCCAGTCGTCTATTTCTCTTAGACGAACACATTGTGAGAGGAGACGTTAGTTCTCTCTCTCTCTGAAGTGAGAATCGTTGTCAGCCGTCACGACAGAAAGCAGAAATAAACACAATGCGGGGACCAGCGGGCCATTAGAGTCTAATTAGATCCGTTGCCTCCCAGGCTGAAGCTGGCTCTCTCTCTTTGTTAAAAAGGGAGCTGAGCAGGCCTTAGAGATAGGCTGGAAGGCCCGTTACCCCAGAAGAACCTTCCTTCCTCATGGGCGTGGGCACTGCTCGCACTAACAGGAGGTGACTTCCCCTCGGGTGTGTCTTGTCCTCCCCTGACCCCCACCACGCACATCTGCTCTGGAGTCCCTGCCCCCGTCACGCCCTACGGTGACCAGACCAGCCTCAAGGGGCTTGTGAAGCCGGGGAGGGGGTTGGAGTTGAGGTTTCTGGGAGGAGCTGAGGATTCTGAGAGGGTCCTCTGGGCTCTGTGGGTCCTCGTGGCCTACGGGCACATTTCCAGGTTCTGTTGAAGGGCCTCCAGCTAGTGAAACCAAAGTGGCCTGTCGGGAGCTTAACCAAAACTTGACTCCTCTGTCTTTGCTCAAACAGGGGCAGTGGCCCCAGTCCAGCCCGCCCCAGGAGGGCCAAGGACTGAGAGGAGCCGCCTGACGGGGAGAGAGACGGGACTGGGTGAGATCACCAGGAGGAATCAGCCTCAGATTCCAAATTCCACCACTGCCTTTCCCAGCTGACTACTGCTCCGGCGGCTGCCCAGTTATCATGATCCATGAAAGACCACAAGAGCCTCCAAGATCCTCTAAGAATCTGGGTGGAGACAGACAGGAACGGCCAGCGCACTGTCATTGCAATTCCACCTGTAAACTCCAGGGCGCGCTCTTTTCCAGGTCCCTGCAGTGCAGAGCGCCCCCTGAAGGTCTGTCGGCGGTCGTGTACCAAGGAGACCGAGACGGCTAGCATTGGAGAACAGCATCACCATCACCTCTGGGGGCCCTCAATTGACTAAGCCTACTTCTCTACTGAAAGGAGGTCCTGTGTTAGCCCAGTGTCTGCAACCAACGCCCTCTAAAGCCAGGCACATCGCTGTGCTCCTCAAAAGGCCACCCCCTGAGGTTGCACAAGCGGGGGTGGAGGTTCCCAGCGTCTGGAGGAACAAGGACATCCCTGGGTTTGATCCCTTCCCCCACGAAGCCATCAGTTAACAGTAATGACAGCCATAGAGATTTGAGCACGGCTTACATGCCAGGGACACCGCCCGGGCCTCGGCTGTGGATGCTTACAAGAACCCTCCGGGAGAATGCGCCGATAGAAAGACAACTACGCATGCGCAAGTTTCCTGTCCAGGGGGCTACCGGAAGGGGCTTGGAGCCTGGCCAGGCCCTGTGGAGAAGCTGCTAGGCTCTTCCGCCTTCCACGGAGGCGTGGAGAACTGAGGGCTCCCTGCTGTAACCAAGCTCCTGCCTTGGACTTGTGATGAGTCACCCGGAGAGGAGTGAGTCCAGGAGTGGATGGGCTAGTGGCTGCTGGCCCGCCCTGGTCACCCTGCCCTTGCCTCCCCCTCCCAAGACTTGGGAAAGAGAATGAACATCCGACCCTCTGCCCCCGGGGAGCCAGCCATGTGGACCATCAGAAGAGCGGGAAAACTTCAAGCTGAAGATAAAACCAAAGGGAACTGGGCAGAGGGACAGGAAGGGACCGTCAGAGAGATCAGAACTAGTTCTGACAGGGAGCAAGGAGGGCCTCTCCCTGCTGCAGGCGGTGTGGTGCCCACAGTAGCCTGACGCTTTTCTCACTACCCGCTAGGGGTGCAGAGGCTGCACCTGAAATATCCCCTGGGCACAGAGGGCACTCCCCAGTATGCACTGGATTGCTGGCCATTTCTTGGGTTTCTGGAGAGAAACAAGCCTCCTCTGTGACTAGGGGACAGGCAGGGCTGACCCTCGCTCCCCAGATCTCTCGCTCAGCCCTTCCTGGCGCCTTCTAGCCTCATATCACATGTGCCTCGGCATCTTCACCCCATCAAGGTAGAAAACCAAGGAAAGGCTCCAGAGGGGCCACCGGCCATGATCGCAGAAACCAATGTCTAGCTGGGTTCCCTTCCAAATGGCGGCGGCCAAGGAAAGAGAGTCCAGAGAGGAAGCCAACCTCTCAGCAAGCTGCCTTCTCTCCTGCCATCTCGTTTATTCCCCAGAGGCTACCTGCAGGTCAGACAGAGCCCAGGCTCAAGCCGTCAGCAACCTGGGCCAGGCAGGGCTGACTCAGTGATTCTCAGTCACAACAGAGGTGTGGGACAGGGCAAGATGGCCTCAGCATTGGGTGCAGGTCTCCCCAAAGTTCATCTAGCATACTAGAGAGAAAAGTGACTCCTGGGCTGCAGAGGTGGC